TATATTGTCATTCATTGTGAGCTATTAAGTATGTTTTTGGGCACGTTATTGCCTGGAATAGCAGGCATTATTTGACGTTAGTTTAAATTTTGTAAAGCTTATTTTTGAAAATAGGGACGGCCTGGGACGCGCTTGTTGAATGTTTTTAAGGCGATCTTGGGTTCAAGTGCAACGAATTGGCGATGAGTATTGAATTTACGTTTGTGATACGCTAATTATGCTGCCAAATACGGCAAAAAAAGTTCCAAGAACATTGGTTTTACGTCATGCTCGTTTCAAGGGCAGATAAAGTTCAAGGTGGCGTTCCAATCTCATCCCGTAACTACACACATGAAAAATCAAGGTACACTTGTGAACCACATAAAATTGGTCGGTTGCATTTCTGCTCTTGATGTGAGCAAGCAAACTTCGATTTTTCGACTTGAAAATGCTCTTGAAAATTTACAGCCACCCTCGCACCTCGTCTCTTTGGTCGCGCTGCTTGCTTATGTAACGAACTTAACTTCGTTTGTTGCATGTCTGTATAATAAGCAAGTCTTTAGTCGCGCTGCTTGCTTCCGTCTTTGTCATTAGCAAGTCTGGTAGCCCTGCTACCAAAGACTTGTTGGTACGTCTTTCTTCTCGCGCCTTGAAACGAGCATAACTTCGATCGCTGCTCGTTTTTAAAGCGACAAACCTACGGTAGCTATTTGCATTTAAAACGAGTTAGTCTTCGTTCGCAGCTTGCATTCAAATCGACCAGACTTGTGGTCGCAGCTCGCCTTCAATGCCTCCATACCTTACAAGTTCGCCTTCAAATAGAGCTGAGCCCACGAAAGTTGAACTTTATACGGACATACACCAGTATTTTAACTGAATAAAATGTTGGTTCTGACACAATACAAGTATCTTAATTAATTAGCAAGGAAGGAGCTAAGAGTTGGCCCTATTAAGGAAGAATTCGATGCTGCGAGTGAATGTCATGCAAGTTCATAAATTATATCTGATGTTATTTCTTCCTTCACCGATTACAGCTAATCTGTTTTCAGTTTGAATCTCAAATATTAATTCACTGGCATATAGAGCCATGAATCCTAGTGATTAACGTTTTTGTATACATTTCAAGGTACGCCTGCCATCTAAGCCTAAATTTTCACAACGAAATTCAGTTTTCCAATGCAATTAATGGCATTGATGTGCTGTAAAGAAATTTTGGGCTGCCACGATGCAATTGAACCTTTAATTTATCATTCATCGCTCTGGTCGTCAAGACTTAGGCTAGAATCTAGATCAATGTTAGATCCTTTCAAACTAACTCCACTGGAGATTTATATCAATCTTAACGTAAACCACATTCCTGTGTGTATGTCGCACCATACATATCACATGCAAACAGACAAACCACTGCGAGTATACAGCAAAGTTCTGTGTATATTCGCGAGATTCTGTACCTACCACCCAGAATGTCTGCTAAAGCCATCTGAAGAGACAAGCCGGACCCTAATCCGCAAATTGCAAGCGAGGAAACGCTCCTCAAGCCTCGCATTAGGAGACGTTGTCCTGTCACGGTTTCCGTTGATAAACATAAATTACGCAGGGTTTTTATTATTTACCCAAGTGTCATCATGGTTTTCAATGATGGACCAAACTGTCGTCACAATTTTCTTTGTTGAATCGAAGTCAAATCACGGTTTTCATTGATGAACAGAAGGAAAATCTTTATAAAAAAGTTGAATAAAAAATACAAAATAAAAAAACTTTCATGACTATTCGTTGTCAAAGTTTCTTCAGCCTAAGTTTACTTTCATTCAATTCCTTCTCTCGAGTGATCTTTCAGATTTTTCATTCGTATTTTTAACGCGTTAAATTATAACACGATAATGAAACGCAATATATTCATGATCACCGCGCTAGTGTTCGTCCACCTTGACAGGCTCGATTATGTGTTTACGTTTCATCGTAAAGATTTTACTGAAGTACACGCATGACACGTGAAACATGTGCCTAGCTTGCAGGTCATCTGGCACTTTATTTTTGTACCCGCCGTGAGCATTGGAATTTAAAAAGAATGAACGCAGGTGGTGTAAATGAAACCAGTGCAGCTGGTCGCATGAAGGCTGCAAATTACACCCCATGTGCCAGCCTCATGGCGTCAGAAAAACGTCATCGCCAGAGCCACTGAGTTGAACCCTATATATATTGTGGCCAGTAGGTGATCCAAAATATGTTATAGGCTTATAGCTAAATGTACATAAATAGATTGATATACTTTTGAATCTCCACGCTGGCATTTATGCGCAAATTTTTATTCACTGTGAATGAATGCGAATGAATTGCGAGACCAGCGAATTAATTTTTATTCACTGTGAATGAATGCGAATGTTCTGCGAGACCAGCGAATGAATTTTTATTCACTTTGCGCTGGTCTTGCATAGTGAAAGTGGTCATTGTAAATTCCTGACTAAAATGACTCCAAGAAATATGTATTCCGATTATCTAGCGTAATCGAGAGGCAAGGATTTTTTTAATTCATATTTGAATTTCATGCAAGTTTGAATTAACAGTTGGATATGTGGCACTTACTGCTACTATTGCAGTAAGAGTCACGTACGCGTCATTAATTATTATTGTGCTCGGTACTTTCGCGTTATCGGTTTAGTATTCTCAGCACATTCGCGGCGACAGTTATTGATAACTTTTCTCCATACGGAGAGTACTAGCTGAAAAATGCAAGTCCCGTCTAAATCTTTTATCAAATAAAAAAAAACGCGCCCGAAAAGTAATATTAGTTCCCAATATTTTCCAGAATAAAAAAAGTTATTATCTTCAATAGCACCGATTATTTGAATACGGCACACGAAATATTCGTGACGAACAAGTCTCAACTCGCTTCTGCTTTAAATATTTTTATTGTAAGTAAGATTCATTCAGCTCCACAACTGAGTTAAATATTTATGCTACCCCTGTAACACTTACGCGCAGAGGGTAAACTTGGTATGAATCTGTTAAGTAAACTCTGCGAATCCGTGAGCTAGGTGTGTTCTATAGAATGAACACTATGTATCGAATGAAGCAGTGAACTCGTATGCCGAAACAATTTTAATGAAAATGCAAAATCTGTGCTGGTATAGAAGAGATTTTGACAATCAGAGCAAGTAACCTGAAACTTGGTCATTCTGGCAAGCACGAGACGAAATATTGTTACGAGAGAGACGAGCCGTCGTGAGGACGTGGAAGAGAGACGAGCTGTCGTGCGGACGTGGAAGAGAGACGAGCCGTCGTGAGGATGTGGAAGAGAGACGAGCTGTCGTGAGGAAGTGGAAGAGAGATTAGCTATCGTGAGGACGTGGAAGAGAGACGAGCCGTCGTGAGGACGTGGAAGAGAAACGAGCCGTCGTGAGGACGTGGAAGAGAGACGAGCCGTCGTGAGGACGTGGAAGAGAGACGAGCTGTCGTGAGGACGTGGAAGAGANGGAGTAGAGAAGAACCATCGTGAGAACGTGGAGTAGAGAAGAACCATCGTGAGAACGCGGAGTAGAGAAGAACCATCGTGAGAACGTGGAGTAGAGAAGAACCATCGTGAGAACGTGGAGTAGAGAAGAACCATCGTGAGAACGCGGAGGAGAAGATTGCAAACTGCAGCGTTCATATTCATTTGTTTCTTCTACCGTGCAGCTGCCCTGTGACTGTCCACGGTATAAACAACTCAAGACTCAAGACCGAAAAGACTTTTTGAGGTTCTCAAAAATGATCTGGCAATGACTGATTGCCACCAAATCCGTCTACGACCTAAGTTTCAGCAAATAGAATGCTTATCTTAGTTTATACTCATTAATTTTTGTGAACTTTCAGGCTTAACAAACTAGTCCCGATGTTAGGCTCGACGTAAATTATTTATCATACTGATCCTCAAGGCTAAAACCACGAGGTCACATTTTCCTATGTTGGACACTAAGAATAGCCACAAATTTGACCGTGTGCCGCGCGCTTGCCATTTTTATCGCCAAAACTGCTCATAAAAGCGATAGTGATGAACGGAGTGTACACATTGAGAGGAAGAGGTGCCAAGGGGCAAACTAAACTCCACCACGATACTGGCTGCTCCGACCTGGTATACATAACCGCCCTATTCAGGAACAACACGAGCTACGTGTGAGACAGATTTGCACGGGGATTATCGCGAATTTTTATATTTATACTACCCGTTCATTGCCTTACAATGTTTAAAAATTTTTATTAAAGTTAACTGTAGCTAGAGCAAGACGTGAAGTTTGCATTTTTTAATATAAGAAAGGATACGCGTGGAATTGTATGCAAGATAATGACGTAAGCGCCATCGAACAAAGGGACTGCGGACGTCTATTATCCCAGTCTCCATGTATAATATATGTTATCTAGTGACATCGAACCTGATTGTTCTAAAAGAGAAGAGGTGCTTGCTCTCCGGCTCGATATAATTAGTATTTCATATACCTATGTATATTATTTTACTTTTTCTTTTAATACCATCAATTAGTGACGTAATTTGCTTCAAATTTTAGCAGTTTTTGTCTCTTTCAAAGCATGCGTCGGATGAATTTGTTATCAGGCCGTGACATCCTCATAGAGGATCATGTTTAATTGATTAAACTTGTTTCGTGCAAAACATAACTTGAACTACAGTAAAATAAATAGCCTGCGTCTAATATTATAAAGAGCCTAACGAGTAGATTGCGATAAAAGGTAAAATAATGCTCAATCTGACTATCTATATTAAAATTTAGTCAATGGCAATCTGTACAACTGTGGGAGCAGCGTGTGAGAGAATGTTTGAAGGCATATATATATCACCACCGCTGGTGCTCTAAACCTGACTCAAGTACACGTGAACGCTTGGGAGAAGCAAAGATAACACGGAAATTGCCCTGCTGTCGAACGTTCACACGGACCTTTCTGATGACTTGGTTCATAAATTATGAAAATTATTAGTATGTCAAGTATGGTACGATACAATGATTATTAATTACAGCATACTTACGTACATCCTTTGATTTAGTCGAGCGATGTTTCGGAAATCTGCTAGCAAGTCCCACACTTGTTTTGGTTCACGACCCGGAATAAAAAATTCGTAACGCCGTTCTTGATGCCCACGTTTTAAGAAAATCACCAGTAGAAAAGTAATCGATGCAATTAGCATTATTTTTTCGCGACTAACACGAGGCATGGTCAGTTGTACCCTTGCCTCCTAGCATAACACGACTATTGATAGATAATGTCAGACCGCTCGCTTCCATCAGCTGTTGCTGGAGAACTGAATGCGCATCGAGGCGGAGCTACGAGCTTTCAGATGCCAGATAGAAGCACATTCCAGTTTCTAGCACAGTTTCTAGTTGCGCACATCTAGTTAATGTGATTTGGCAAGCGATTCTTGCTAAGCCGAATAATAGATTTTCTCACATGCAAGCCTCGATTTACGATTTTGATCCACCAGTGATTGTTCGTCGATTAACTGGGTCTATAGTTTTACTGATTGTCTAGTATTTTTTTTACTTGCTTGAATAGATTCAAAACATGAGATCTTGATTTGCAAAATAATTTATGTCTTATGCGGAACAAATGACTTTTGCTTCATTTTATCAGCTATTTTAATCCTGAGACATAATTAACTAGATGGTCATTACAAGGGTGATTCTTGGTGCTCGGAACACACTTCCGAGTTCTGAGGATATTCCGGCATTTAGTTAGTCAATTAAGTGTCGGACTTTAAACTTGTTTATATTTTTTAAAACGATTTTTAAAGGATTATTTCTAGAATTTTTGTAAAAAATTAAGGCTGAAACGTAGGAAAAACTATAAATATCGTACGAATCCGGTATTGCTCGGAGACTGTCAGTCTATCGTATTTTGAAAAATTTAGTGAACTTGTATGTACGCATAGGGGCAGTTCATAGTGGCACTGGCAATTTGGCAAACGAGTGACCGTAGAAATCTTTTTGATTTACATTTTCGTTATCCAGTCTACTTCAATATTTTATTGAATGTCTTGTGTATGATACAGCTGGTATCCACTCTACTTACTGGTCTATTTATAGGACATGAATGAGGAAGGTCAACAAAAAAGTCTCTCGTACGCCACTAAGCACTAACTTACTAAGTCTAAGGTCACCGCACTCGGCACTCGTACTGTCGTACTCGGGATTCGGGAATAATTGCATAGTTATCTTGAAGGTGGGGTAGCCGGGTAGGTAGCTAATAAGGTAAAGGCTTTGATGCAAGAGGAAAACTAATTACGTGTTATTTTGTAAATTCTAACTTTTGAATTGCAACAAAGCAGTGAGAAAGGACTGGTGGACTGCAAGTGCCAAGGCGGCAAGGCCTTTGGTTTGGATCTTGTCCAGAGCCTCAGATGTATAATGCTAATGTAATGATGCCGCTAGCCTAATTACTAACTAAGAATTACTGTTTGCTAACTAGCTTAGTTAAATTGTTTCTAAGTTATCTGATTGACTCAATGACTGATTTCAGCATGGTTGGACCAGAAATATTTTTATTATAATTTTTCAGCATTCAGTCTTGGATTATGGATCTGTAGAATTTATCCATGGTATGTATTTTCCAACTGGATTGGAGTTTTCCTGCTTATTGCAGAAATCTTGCAGCCCTGGACTGGAGACTGGAGAGTGGAACATAGTGCAATTCTAGGATTGAGATTGGCAGTACTTTTTGGTCTTGTGGTCTTGGCAAAGGGTGCCCAGGTTTGGTCAATGGTCCCCCACTCCCCCCCCCCTGCAGGACAGCCTGGACAGGAGACAGGACTTCTGACCAACTAAAGTTAGGAATTTAAATAATTAAATTTCTGATCAAAGACAAATTGGTAGTCACCTTAAATTCTTATATTGAATGTAAACTGCAAATAAATAATTGAATTTTGCTACTTGTCAAGTTGTCAATCAATAATGACAATAAGTAGCAAGTTAGAGCAAATCACCACTTTCTCAGAGTTGGCAGAGCAATAGAATAGTGCAGTACAATACCACATACATCCATACAATACCTCTTGTACAAATCGCAATGCACGAAATAAATTTGAAAATAAAATAATTGAATTGGTGTCTAAAGGATGGCATCACGGCACTCAGGCACTGAATCGTGAGTTGCAATGTGGGATTGGCCACCATATTTTTTACATGGTCTAGCTTTTGTCTTTGAGCAGAAAATTGACAATGGAATGCTTTTCTTCAGTTTACCAGCCATCAATGCCATTATTGCCATGTATATTGTATCACTTTTCATTGTACTGATATAGTACATATTGTATATCAATTTATATGCTGGAAATATTCATGATGCATGATGCTATGTATTTTCCTGGGGCATAATCTGTTACTTGCCACTAGAGAAGCTACATAAGCAAGAATAAAAGTAAGAATATTTACAGATCAAATTACACATCCTTAGTCCTCACCTTCACTGTGGCAGCAATGACATTGTTGTTGCAGTTGGCTGGTTTGTGGGTGTATAGGTATCTCCTGCACCCATCCATCCACAAATTGCTTGTATGCTTCAAGAGTCAAGTATCTCATATGCCTTGAATTCTTGCAAGGTGTATTGGCTAATGCCAAAAACCAAATAGTTCAGTAAATCACCATGTGAAATGGGAGGCAGGCTTGCAAAACCTGAGCACCACTGCTTTGCCGCTTTTTATTGCCAGCACTTCATATAGGGATCAACATGGTTAATGTCGAACAATTTTCTTAATTACCAGACTCTTGCTAAAGGAAAGAGGTTTTACACGAGCTTAATTCTTTCTACTTTGCTCTTTCTTGCTCCATTGCTACCAAAATATCCAAACATATAGGAACAAAAGAACAAGCTAGTGTGCAACAAACATGGTGGCTTAACAACGGGGCTGATGTAGGAATGTGGGTGCTTGGCAAGCCCGATAGTAATATATCTTACTTATTTCCATAGGTTGCAAAATGGCAACAATGACTGACAAAATGACAATGACCTACTTTCATAGGTTTCACAGCAACTCGTATGACAATTCAAAGTTTATTCACTCCTTTGTTCATATTTCAAACTTAATGGCTCACTACAATGTTGCCAAAGACTTGAGAACTGCATATTTCAAAATGTTGGAATCAAAAGTATTCCCATATCTAAACTGGAAAGATTCGCAATAAAAATATCCACAATATCCGAGAAACAAATTAAGCACCACCATGCTTGCCAGTTCAAACCAAGCTAGAGAGTTGGAGGCGGTACCTTGCAGTGACATCACATGTGCAATGCAGAGCGTCACATGCCATATATCATAAAGTAATTATTTTTGTAATTATATATTTTATTATAAATTCTCCTATTAAAATATGCTTTAATTTTTATTAAATGTTATAAAATTGTACAAATGATACTTGTTAATATTTGACATCAACAAATAAACTTGTGGCAAAGTAATTTGATTTGATATTAATTTTCTTTATGGCTGTAGCTCCTAGAAAACATTTCACAGATAAACTTTGTTACATACTTGTAATAAGGCATTCATGTGACATTAGTTTTCACATTTTACATGAAAATTTCCATTTCAAGTGATGAATTTTACTTGTAACAAAGCATAGAAATATGGAGATATAACTTCTATGATAAATTAGTAGCATAAACACATGTCTACTTCATTACATTAGCAATCAATGTCCATAGACATTTGTATATACAGTAATACATTTGATTGGACCAATAGATTCTATAAGCAGTTTTGACCAGCAAATATAGCCTAATTATAATTTGACAATTGTAAACAATAAGAGACATTCTTTGAAGTTTCACAATGCTGACAGCATTTAAATCCATGTGGAAACATGAATTTTTTATATTTTTAGGCACTTTATGGCTTATAACCTGACTTCAGTAAGTACTTTTTATTTTGAAAAATTTTAAATTTCTTGTCTGTAGATTCTTGTAACTTCTGTTGTTGTTGACTGATGCTGTCTAATGTTTATTTAGTACACCTTTGTGTCTTGTGAGAAGTGGTGTTAGTGTGCTGTGGACTGGTCCATAAACCTTGATGATCAGTTCAAAATCTTAAAATACAATGTTATTTTATATTAACTATAGAATTGCATCATGAAGTCGAGTAACAAAATTTCAATAAATTTGTACTTTGAATGCATGGCATTAAAATTAAAGCTAATTTTAGCCTTTTTTTACAGCTGCTTAGGTTTTTTGCATGAAAATTTGTAAAAACATGAGTGGACTTTGGTTTAATATTTTATGACATGAATTGGAATGAATGCCATTTTAGTCTAGAGATTAAAAAAGTGCTAATGTGTTTGAGGTAACATTTGTAAGCTCCGAGAAGAATTATTTATTGAATATTAGAGGAGATATGTTCATTGGTCTAAAAGCTTTGCCAGTATTGGAATAATTTGAAAGAAGCACTGTAAACATGGAGTCCTTACCCAATGATGTCACCCGTGTCTTCCTTGCCACTGCCAACATTGCCACTTGTTTTGAACAGGTGAGGCCTTTAATATAATAAGGCTAATTAGAATTTCATGTACTTTAGAATGTTTAAAAGTTGTGATAATAGATGTTGAATTGAATAAAATAAAGGAAATATTCTTTTTTTTGATACCAAATATGTGATGATAATTTGAAACTTTTTTGAATCATTTTCCTTCTTTTGTCAAAGTACAATTAGTGTAAATTACTTCTAATTTCCCCTTTTGTCCCATTTTCAATTTACTTGCATATCAAGGTGTCTAATTCTAGTGGTGAAATACAGGGTACAACATTCTGCCATATTAAATTGTTAAGTAGAATTTTTAAATATATCATTACATTAAGTATACTGGTATATTAAACCTGACCAGAATATTTATCATTCTATTATTCACTGCATTGTTAATTCTGCTGGACTTACTCTAACACTAAGCAGCATTCAACATAACTTCCTGATTGTCTGGTCAGTTGACATCCAGAACAAACACACTAAATTTGTAATCACTTAAAAAAACATTATAATTTCAATTTATTTATGACAAGCTTTACTTTTAAAGATTCCCCATGTGCTAATATTTTTGTACACTCCTTTCTTCTAATGTTATTAATCTTTGCTTCATTCTTCCAGCCCCACAGCATGGTTGAGGCTTGGATGGACCAAATGCTCAAGGTTGGTGATGAGTAACAAATTTTTAACACTTGTATCAACTAGAACAAGTTGAAGCTTATTTTATAATTTTTTTTCAACTATTATCCTCTCTTTTTAGTGCATTTTCTCATTTATTGAAAAAATGCACTAATGTGCTCGCCATGTCAGTCCGTCTGTCTGTCCATCCGTCTGTCTGTCCGTGACCTCAAGTTTTTGTTGACGAGAAAATGCGCTCTCTGTCACTCACTGCAGTGAGTACCGAGTTATGTTTTTTCTTATAATTGTAAGGTTAATTAGTAAGAATGGCAGTTAGCACACAAAACCTTCTGATTTTTTAAAAAGTTTTGGTTTAGTATCTTTTGGAATTCAAATCAGTCATTGCCATTGTTATGCTGTGAAGTAACTGCTCCAAATTTTCTCCAGCTGTTTTTCCTTATCTTCCATGTTTGCAGGGGCTACCCGAGGATAAGCCTGGCTTTGTGGCATTGCACTGCCAGGAAGTTGGTGGAAAAAATTACCTCAAACCTCTGCACTCCAGGGAGAAGTTTCTTGAGTAAGGGTACACCCAGTTCTATTGTCAGAAGTGATGTATGACGATATCATCTAGTAAGAACCGTCTTGAAGATAGCAATTTTGTTTACAGCTTATTGAATTGTATCTCAGTGAAAATTATTTTATTTTGAAGCATTTTATGTTCAACCTGTTGGGCATGGACTTATTTTTCTTCAACCTAATTTTATTTCTAACTTGTAATTTTGGGTGTTACACAGGGAACTCCTAGGACGGCCTGAGCTGCAGGACTACAATCGCTGCCTCATTTATCTTGATGGTGACACAGCATCTCCTGATAAGTTCACGGTAATAACTATATCCTGTTTGAATTGAATTGCATTCTCTGATTCATATCAATATTTACCAGCTCAAACTTGTATAAATAATCCATATTGTTTTTATGACATGGGTTGTTGAATTCTTATTCATTACTTTTAATAATGTCTAAAACTTGTTCATTATACCTGCATATTATTTATACTAATTGGTTTAGCTTTTGAAAATTATCTTTTAAAAATACCAGTTGTATATTTTTACTGTGTTCTAGGTGCCTTTGGTGCATTTTAGATACTATCACTAATGGAGATCATCCAAGTAATAAATTTAATGGGTTATTTTTCCTTAGTCAACCTACTGTCATAGATTTGATTTTTATACATGATGAAATGGAATAAAGTTTGCAATGAGATTTGAGATTTCAAGGAGAAAAGAAAGACAGGTTACAAATTATTCTTCTAAATTTAATCTTTAATTGTTGGAAACCTTGAGATTTAAGCATTTTTTCAGGCTCTTGGTAGTTTGTACTTCATCCACAAAAATGTTGAGGACGTCCAGACCTGGAACTTTGCAGGTAAATAACATCACACCACCCAAGTTCATCTCACTCTTTGCAATAAACACAAAGCCCTTGTTCAAATGTTCTGAGCACTGAATAGTGATCATTTAAAGCTAATTACTGTTGAATTATCATTCTAATATTAGATTATGTGCACATTAATGATCCAATGAAGCTCCTGTCACTGAGTATTGATCATGGTTCTTCAGTTAAGCTGAGCTTGCTGTGAGTTATTGAGAAAGACTTGCCATTAATTACTGTCATAATATCTAAAGACAGTTTTTTTCTTCAACTTAACTTGGTTCTATGTTAATGACATTTTTCATGAGTTTCCCATTTATATTGTATGTAGGTATTTGCCTCTGATTTAGACTTGTGTTAATTCTGATTTGAAGTGATTATCATGTTGAAATCAAGTCATTGTTAGTTACTCAAACAACTCTGCTCGAAGTAAATTATTTATTACTGAGAGAAACACTCCAAATTCTATATAACATTGTTATTGTTGCATAAGCTATCCTATAATATATAAGCTTTATAAACTTAATAAACTTAAACTTTATAATACATAAGCTTTATAAACATATAATTGCTTTATAAACTTTATTTATATTGGACAGAGGGATGCTACGTGAAGGTAGAGGGGCGTACACAGTACACGGGTGATCTCACTGATGCACACACTAAGGAAAAGGTCAAGTTTCCCAGAGAATTTTTCCCAGAGGTAAGATTTTTTTAATCTTTCATGCCAATTTATTTTCATATCCATGATAATTTTTCTACTGCAATATCAATGTATAATGTATAATTTAAAATTTTGTCTTAAATGAAATTGCAAAACATAATTTTGATCTGTGTTCTGAAATAAATGTTTATTTTTTTACAAAATGTCCTTCTAATTGTGCCACTTTTAATATTTTTCTTGTATTGTTTTTGTTATTAGGGGAAATTGCTCACACTTGAAACAAGCGGGTTACATATTAGTCAATTTCGGACGTCATGACATGATAGCTTAGTTCTGCTCTCACGTGCATGTCACTCAGCATGATGTCTTTGTGTTTTCCCCTTGAGCTGAAATCCTTGTATGTGGTTCTGGTTCATAAACAGGGCTTTGACTCTGAAACGACTTCTCAATTCAACTAAAGACAATGCTCAAAAGCTATATATTTTTTTCAAATTAACCTCTTTTTGCCATTGTCCAAAATACATCAGAAGGTTCTAAAATGATATATGGCAGACCACTGTTTAAGTTCACATGCACATTACTTGTAAGTAGCTGAGCTGAATTGGAAAAAGTTTCCTGTTCTGCGTTTTTGGAACTCATTGTATGTTACTGCCTATGTTTATTTCTTGCTTCCTTATAATTTATTAGTTTATTCCTTAATCTGTTGATTATATCTATTGTCCATATCCTCTGTTTGGATATTGATGTTTGGTTTTGTTTTCAGTGCAAGTGGTCACGTAAAGGCTTCATGCGGACGCGATGGCGCATCAACGGCACAGAATTAGACTTCATCAACATCCACCTCTTCCATGACGCCTCCAACTTTCTCGCCATGCAGGAGGTATGATCAGCATTGTTAAATTCCACTTTTGGATTTTTTAATTATTTTGGCTCAGCAAGGAACTTATGATGTAAACTCTTATATGGCTCAGCTAAATCTATTGCATCAACTGCAAGGAATGTCACATTCAAAATGCAATGGAATATAATTGGTTCAGTCTACAGAAGCCATAATGTTCAGTATTTGTTTCCTTCTTTCAATGCATGATTTTAGGTCAAAAGTTGCATATTAGTAATGAATTTTTAGGCAATTTATTAAACAGAATGAGGACAATAAAAAAGCCATGTGAAATGTGAAAGCATTTTTTCCCCTACTAGGTGAATGCCGACAAGGTACAATGATCTTCCTCACAACTCAAATTAAGTTACTGCATCGTTTTGAAAGTTAGTGTAATGTAAACTATATACGTATATACCCATTTCAGTGCCCATCTGTCTACACCCTCAACAGACGAAGGGCGCTTAACCACGCCTTGGACAGGTGAGGCATGTCAAGGCCAATTTTGTCCCATTATATTGCCCCTCAGGGGGACTTCTGACGCGTGTCTGTGCTCGTCAGAAGTCGTATGGGATTTCGCGCTCCTTACAAGTTATTATATAGGTAGGATTCCTTACATTAAGTTATTATGTAGGTAGGATTCCTTACAAAAAGTTATTATGTAGGTAGGATTCCTTACATTAAGTTATTATGTAGGTAGGATTCCTTACATTAACTTATTATGTAGGTAAGATTCCTTACATTTCCCTTCTCTGTCTCTCTCGTGCGGGCGGCCGACGTCCCGTGTAAGCGACCTCTTGTTCGAGTGTCTTCGTTTCTGTTGCTTTTCACCTGTCCCTCCTTGTCACTTCGTCTCTTTGAGATGCTAACGCTGCTTCTTTCGAGCCAGCTTCAGCGGGCTGAAAAATTGAGAACTTCCGCCCCTTGTGTGTGATGATTAACTTGAGATATTGAATAATTAAAACCTCCCGCCTTGCTGGCGATGTTACATTTTGACCTCCGGTTCGAAATAGCTTGATAGCTGAAGCGCTAGCAAACCATTATACTACTACTATCCCATTATATTGACGAGCCTTTGATGATCATTTAAGGTAAATTATTTATTATTTCTTCACGGTTTTCACCCAAATGGTAAACAAAAGATTTTTCACTATGATTTTATCTCTATACGTTATTCGTTTTCAATTCCTAGTTAGGGAATATTCTCAGAAATTTATGTTCTTCAGCATGTTCCTTGGGTGCGTACTTATGTTACGAGATATACGTGTTCCGATGTGTCGTTGTTTTTGATGAAAACGTCAAATAATTACGTACACTTCTCAATGAGCATGTATACACAGCAGTGTACTATGTTCTTCATAATCCAATGTAATATGTTTCCTTGTTCTTCAGGTTTCAAAATGACGAGCTGCCAAACGTGCCATTCTTTATATTTGGTGACTTCAACTTCCGTTTAAATACAAAGTCGGTTGTAGAGGTCAGTTTTGGTTAAATAAGAACAACAGCAACTAGTTTGCTTGAATCATTCATTCGATGATTGATATTGTGCAAAAATAACCATATATCTGATTGGAAATGACGTATTTAGTATATTTCCTGTCAGTTGCAAAATGGAAATTCGTTTTAGAAATCAATATGAAAATGTTACTCGGTTGTGGATACCATGCAGCTGAGAATAGATGTTGAATCGTTTACTCATGTTGATTATATGCGTTGATATGCCATATGAGAGTAAGTAGCTACGGTATTTGGACACAATTCTGAAGTTTTTTTCTTATTCTTTTACTTGTTCCAGAATTTGACAGCAGGCTGCGTCTCGTCTTCAGTAGCTTTACCAAACTCCGTTGATGAAGAACGTCACTATCACAAAAGAGAGAGAGAGTCGCAGGGTGATGATACCTTGGAAGGTGATGCCCAAGAAACGTCCGACGAAGGCAGTATCAGCCGAAGGAGTTCCTGCGACGGTCTGCTCAAATCCTGTGATCCCGAACTTATCGTCTCAAAACGAGGCTTCCGACACTCACAGCACCAGATCATCTTTCAGGAGAACAGAGGAGAGTGGGTCAGTTCATCCTTCCTAATTTTTCCCGCCTGCTATAATAGGGAATTTCTGAATTGTACTCCTCTACTGGAAACTGTGATACTAGATCTGCTTCTTGGTTACTTGAATTCCATTCTGCAGCTTTGGTTCTAGATTATTTCAGGAGCGTTCACGTGCCTTTGTTTTATTCTGTATTTATTGATCTTGTATGGGCTGATACAAATGTATTTTATTGCGGACAATTATGCCTCGTATAGTCTAATTTCATATTTATTGTATCGTAAGTTATCAGTACCGTAAAATGGGGTAACTTAGACCGGCGGGGTAACTTAGACCACTTTTCGTTTTTTGCATGTTTCAATTCAAGTTTAATTTAGCTAGTAAAAAAATGGCATCATTTATAAAATAAAAAGTGGTCTAAGTTACCCCATTTTACGGTATTGCTAGTTGTTCATCATGCCTTTTGGGCGCGAGATAGCTCGACCTGTAGCGCTAGCAATTATGTCCACTGGACTTATCCGATTTTTTACATGATGATAAATTATATTTACTGAAGTTTAATAAATCTGAGTTTTTTTTTTTTTTTTGCATGTACAAGAATCTCAGCTCAATTTCAGAAGAGTCCGAACAAAATTACTCAAAATTATGAGTTCCATCACTGACCATTGTTTCTTATATTGATGATTTGATGATAAAAGGTGCTTAATACCCCCGTGATGACCAACACCATTGTTCCTAATAACTATGGGTAATTTAACCTTAACAGCAGCCGCAAATTGTTTGTTCAGTTGCGGCAATACGACTACGAAGTGCAGAGCTTCTCGTCGCGGGTCAGCGAGTTACCGATCACCTTTCCGCCATCATACCCCTTCGCGGAGGAGCCTGATCCTCCTTCACTGGGCAGACTCCAACCTGGGGACGTGAACAGAGCTTCGTCCATCGTGTCTACGGATGAGGGCTCTACCTTGTACGATGCAAGCACATCTGCAGACGCTGGTACCTTTACTTTATGTTGTACACATTTTTTTTGATTAACTGTGGCTTGTCATGTCGAGACAGATACTGAGACTACTTGTCCTGTCTAAATTAGGCTGACGTGAACAATTTCGTCATTCACTGGAGCATAAGAGACAGGATCTAGAAACTTATAAAATGTCATTTCTGAAAACAAAAAGAGATGATCTTTTGATTCTACAGGAACTGTGATGTTCAATATTCGTTTCATCTTGTCAAAGTTTGTTTGTAATTTTAAAAGCTGCCCATCAGTAATGATTCCTTGAAAACTATTAAGGAAAGAGATCAAAGACAGAGCAAAACGCGCTTTTTTGCTTTCCATACGGTAACCGGCCTAATTGAACGGTAAAATATGTTCATCGAGAGTTGGTCATTTTTTACTTCTCTCCTCTAAGAAAGAATTTAAACCAAACGAAAGAGCTAGTTTCAGTCCACACATTTAGGCCAAGATGTCTAACGAACTGCTCGCCTTCAGGAGGTGGTGAAGCGAGTGCTGTAGTGGGTTACCACTACGCCTACACGCGCGTGCCCGCGTGGTGTGACCGCGTGCTCTTCAGTAAAGACGCCCAACATCTCCTCAGTAAGGTCAGTCATATCTTCTTCATTCCTCAGCACGAAATATAAGAAAATGGTGGGCAATTAATGATTTATTGAGTATTGGAGACGCACAGCATATCATCTATTATGTCAGTCTGGTCGAATTTAACCCTCAGCACAAACTACGATAAAGTGGAAGATATACTTAACGCTTTATAAGATATTAGAAACGCCCAACATCTGCCCTGTGAGATTAGTCTAAATCCTCTTTATCCCTCAGCACGAACTATGAGAAAGTGGAGGGCTAATAGGTGCTTTATTAAGTATGGGGGACGAACAGCGTTACAATCTGTAATCCTATGCACGAACCATGAATAAGTGGAGGACTGTTTACTTCTATCTAAAGTTTTTCGGACGCTTAGCATCTTCTATTAGGTCAGCCTTGCCCACTTCAACTCTCAGCACGAGTGATAAACGTCGGACTTCTAACCGCTTTACTTCGCGTGTAGCCTAGTCTTCAAACAATCTTAGTAGGAGCAAGCTTACTTTTTACAGAACAGAGCACTCCATGTGTGTAGACTTGATCGCACAATTTGTAGAACATTTTCAGGAATTATACCTTCTATACGGTTTTCTATGTAGCGCTGTTCAAGGAAAGGGTTCAGTTCAATTTGTGAAGGATGATTTAGAGAGCGAAGATGACTAACTATTCTCTCCTCTTTTATACAAGGTTGACTATTTTTTCTTTCATTGTTGTTGCTTCCATCCTGCCCTTGTTGCGTGACTAGGTAAGCGCTCATCCTACATAAAAACCACCTGCTCATTCCGCAGCTGCAGACTCAATTAGCTGTTATATTCCCTTTAACACTTTGACTCCGATTGCTTCATCTTGTACTATTATTTCATTTTTGTACTGTTTTTAAACAGGGTTGCCAGACGGTCATTTTTTCCGCACAAATTGCGTGATTTAGTTTTTCTCAAATGCGTTGGCCGGCTAAAATTTATGATAGGGGTACTTCCTAATTAATTTTTAAATATTGCAAAAAGAAAATAAATGGAATTTTTATAGCGGAACCGGAGTCAACGTGTTAAGCAGCCATGTCTGGGTATTACTGCTACTGTGAGGAATTTAACTAGACTTGATGATGTGATTAGCAATCGTGGGTCATTAAACTCATGTTTGTATTTGTTGAGCAAGAATGATGGCCGGCCTCAACGAATTATTATGAGATCATTTCTTCCTGCTGATGGAAACACGCGTTTTTGTTTTTGCGGCCCATGGGTAGGGGCATGATGTTTACATAATGTCAATGTCGAGCTTGGATCATTTATAATAGAAAATTATTTGACAACTTCTTTCTCGTTCTCATTTTATTTATTATAATTTTTTGCTTTAAAATTGTTACCCGCCTCTAGCAAATGTTTAAATCTCTGTCAACAATTTGCAGACTCAACATCTGGGGGCTCGCTACGATATGCTGGGATTGGATACGCCAATGGGAGATCACAAGGTAAGTGTTGCATTTAAAATCTCAACTTTAAAGCTACTTTGCATTTAGCTTCTGATGACCGTCAGCATACAGTGACTGCTCTTCTTGCTTGAATTGTCTACTAAAATCATAACTTCGCAATTTAATTGAATTCATTTCTGTTATCAATCTTTGCTTTTATCTATCGGCAACAGCTACTTATGCGGAATTCAATCCGAATATTAATAGATTCCCTGAAGAATTGATGCCCGTAATTTGAATGGGAAACTGATGTACATATCAAGCTAAGAAATAAAATGTGTTTGGATTGATGTTAGCCCTCATTTTCTCTCTACTTATAAACATTCGTTCTGATATCGGGTGTCTTACCCTGCAGCCTGTCTTCTTGGATTTCTACCTGACCAAGTAAGGTGTGTATCTGCAATGTGCCATATTTCGGTTACGTCGTTCCCGTGTGTAGGGTTCTTGCATCTATGATACTTAACTAAACTGTAGTTCAGTTTGGTTCTTAGTTGCGCTCTTTTGACGGAAAATGCAACAATTTTAGTGTCAGGCTATCCCGAATCTGCTTCTCTCTGAATTTGTAGTTTTGCATATTATTCGTATTCAGCATTTATTAATTTTAGGCTAATCGAAGTAAAATTAATTCAATAAGCATTAGCATTTTAACATTAGAGGGTTGATTTGAACATAGCGCTTATGTTTGGGTTTTATACGTAACGAGATACTAACTTGGAAATAGTTAATCATGAGATCGGTGAAAATAATGTCAGCGTACAATTGCTTCACCTTTTAGTGATTAATCTCTGTAGTTTATCTGATTACCACCTCTAACTTCCGCCATTACGTCACTAATCAAATTCAACAGTAGATGGAAATTTATTTGAAACTCGTTCAGTGCTAAAAATTGGTACCTGAAATTTCCACCATACTATATTTAGGTGTTCGTTAGCTTCTTGGCTTCTTGTCGCCGTTTTAAATTCTTTTTTGTTGGTTTTTAGCGAATATTTCTTATCTTTTGTTGCTGTTGTTTAATTTGTATGTGATCATTGCGACTTACTCGTGTGTTTCATCTTGTTGCCTACTAATCTCCACCTGCCTACTAATCTCAATCCGTTCCATAAAGTGTCATTGTTCACAAATTTTAAGCTCACCATGACGTAGTATAATTCGTTCATGATTTCAAATAGGTAAAAACAAATTACAAATGGTGATAATTTATGAATAACAGCAAGGAGCTTGCTTGATATTTTACCCTTCAAAGATTGTTCTTATTTACTCAGGGGCCGTACCATCAAAAATAGTTGAAAATTCTCCGCCAATCACTGGCGGCGTTGTTCCTTGACTCTGTAACTTATCCTGTTTTGTTGTGTGCAGCCTGTTTGCTTGGTGACGCACATACCTCACCACCAGGGCCCGGGCAAGTTCGACGGTTCCCCAGCTCCTCTTTCTCCTCCTGTGTGCTTGTGCCACCGACTGACGAAATGTCCCTCGTTCTCTAAGAGAGCCCGAGTTGTGTACCCCAACCCATGCCACATTAGTTCCCAGCGAGAGCTCTCTACAGAGAGCGGCCCTAGTTTTAGCTATGTAATAAGTAAGGAGAGTTCCAGGGACAATCCAGATGATGTGTGCGTACCTCTTACCAAAACCAGTATTATTGATCAAAACCAATCCATACGTACGTGTGAAAGCCCCTCTAACTCTAGTTCTTCCGATTCAGTGCTCAGTGGTTGCATGCTACTGGAGTCGGACCAAGGAACCGTGCAGTTTAACTCTAAAAATATTAGTAATACTACTGATATCCAGTGTCCAAGCGACCGAGTTAATTGCTTAGTGTCAAGTACAGCTATTCCTAAAATGGTTAACCACCGATTCGAGAAACACGAAAACCATGAAGATAGAGCGACGAGCGAAGTGATCCTAGGCGGCGTGAGCGTTTCGTCAAGCACGAGAATGGCGTGCGACTCGGTCATTGACAAAAGTATCACAGACGTGAGTGAATCGAATTCTTGTTTGGCGAGTACAAAGTCGACTGCAATCTTGGATTCTCTGTGTGAAGATAATGGGCCAGACGAAACTACTTGGTTAATTGCGACGACTCCAGTTATTATTAGTGTTAGTTCTGCAGATAAGAGCATTGACGACAGAGTTGTTGGATCAAAGTCTGCTTCACTGATGTCAGGGAAGGAAGACGGCGAGTGTGTGAGCCTCACCCTATCGACTGGCACTTTCGAGTTGACCGACGACGCTAATGCTTGTGGTATTTCTTTGTTAGACGAAGGTTGTGGTAAGCCTAAAGATATCTACAGTAAACTGGAGTTGATGCGTAAAACCAAACGCTCGGCTGAGGCGAAACACTCTCTCAACAACCTCCTATTGTCAGACTACGCCAATGAACACGCGTCCGAGTCTAGTTTGAGCGGCGTGTGCAGTGAGGTCTCAACCTACGGCAGGAAAAGCAAAGACGAAGCTGAATCCATATCACAAGTGAACAGCGATGACTCGGAATCCCTAAAGCACCGCCCGAGCAAAGATCCGGAAAGCGTCTCACAGTTCTACGCTAGTGAAGACTCGGCGTCATGTGACAAGACGAGACTGGCTAAAGACTTCGAGAGCATATCGCAGTCACCCACGTACGACATCGCTGACGTAGATAGCATCGATGAGCGCACTAAGAACGCAAGTGATGAGGGTGGTGCCTTGGTGCCGCCGTCGTCAACGCATAAGGTAGCTCGCAGGAAGCGTGGCTTGTTCAGGAGAAAGCCACCAGTGGAAGACCAGACCAGTGCCAGCAACGATGAAAGTGGCAATAGAAGTGGTAGATGCTGCTGCTCTTGAGGTTACCTTCATCCATTCTTATGGTGTTTAATGACAGACTCCTTTGTGATAAGCATGCGATGGCATTCTCGTTTACTACGCATCTCGTGCTGGCGTTGCATTTGATGCTTACCTCGTCCAGTACAAGTCAACTTCCTGCACCATAACTATTCGTAGACAATGCAATATTGGCTCATGTACTACAAATTACAGATCCTAACGCACTAAGAAGATAAGTTTCGGTGTTGCAGAGAAAATCAGTTTTTGAAATTAAACTTTCTAAATAGATTCTGACGGCTAAATCTACGGTCCCCATGTATTCCATGAAATCGCAATGGAAATGTTTTCTTTCTTGTTCACTAACTCAGTTCTAATTCGGTCGTTTCTGAATATTGGTATCGGTAAGTAGTCTGATGTGAAGACGTTTCATGTTCAGTGGACACAGTAGTATGAAGATGTCATCTTATGTGAATTGATAAAATATTTTTAGAAGGACGATATCCCAGGTAAGATTGATATTTTTTTATTTGACCCACTACAACTTCTAGTCTAAGTCATCGAAAGTAATTAAATCATGATTAATATGGTAAAAAGTTGATAATTTTTTTATACTCCTGTTCTGACTAAAGGCTATTGTTTTAACTTGGAGTTGCGCGACGGTCTATCTTGCTCCAAGAAGAGATCAAACTGAAGTTGAAACAGCTTTCTTCTGACGAGTGTCAATTCAGTTGAGTTTTGTACTCAATTTGCAGTTCGAGTTAAATTATACCACCTTTCCATGCACTTAGTTGATTGAAAGGCATCGTTTCACTTATTTTCATGGTTTTTCTCCATGCTAGTAGATGATTTGATATAATTTAATTAGAGAATATTTACTGACGATGAAATAACTTTGTTGAGTAATGAAAAAAATCGTGGCAACATCAGCCTATTCTCGGTGCCAACGTTCCACTGACAATATTCCGTAAAGAACTAAACTTGACATTCTTTTATAAGTGATCCTGCTGAAGAAACTTCGTATCTTTGTCTTGAACGGAATCTATAGTTTTTAAGCCTATTGTACGTAGTAAGGCTTTCAAGTTTGGTGTGGTACCCATTTCAATGTTTTTGGAAAGATCTATTCCCATCAGAACATATACGGCATTTCAATGTTCATTTCTGCGATTGTCTTCATTGTTTAGGAAACCCGGTGTCATTAACGCCTCTTACTGCTCTCTCCGTTTACATACAAATAAAGAAGGTATGGCAGGAGACCCTAGTGTATTATATCTAATCATATTACATCATGACTATCTATTTTGTATCTCGCTTTTCGCGGAAGTCACCTGTTATTAGTTGTAAGTGTCTCAAAATGAGCTTTCTAGTGTATCGTAATGTGGTCTCTTCCTAATGTGGTTTCGTGTAAAACAGTCTAGTCGGTACTCCTGCTAGAGCACAATCCAATAATATCTTGTGGTCATTTTTTTTTTTTTTTGAACGTGCAACCGTACACTGTTCCATGTAAGTGCAGTCCCAGTCCATGCTTCAAAATTCTGTCCTAAAGTGGAGAACCGAAATGTCTTTACCTTTACCTCTTCCTGGGTCGAGAGAGCGGCCAAGTCCATTCGTCTAGGAATGTTCCACACTCTAGACATTCACTATAAGTGAAATCTCATATCGTGTCAAGAAGTTAACTGTGTTTCGTGTAGAAAATGTGTATCTTGTGTGCCATCATAGCATGTAGTTAACTCCCAACACTATAGGCATAAGTGAAGGCTTCACAGTATTTATTTTTGTTGATTAAGGCTTTCTTCTAATCTGATTTCCTTGCCTTATCGAGTTCCGTAGCAACGAGGAGGAAATAAGTTTCCACTCTAATGTTCATGCCGCTTGACCGCGCGGTACTTGGCTTTGTTTCATTATTCTAAGTTTCAAACGGATTACTTCATCAAATAATTCAGTCATTGTTGAACATAACAGTAAGATAGCTTCAGATCAATCAGTGTATAGAACAACCCTTAGCTGTTGCTTGTTGTGCGTTGTATTTTCTTTAATATTCCCGCATGGTTGTGGTGGAGTGTCGCATAGCTCAAATCCTGAATGCGTTAGAATGCTTGACCAAACATCAATCGACTTGGCTCCTCTACTGTCTAGTCTTTTTCTCCAGAGTTATTCTCCATGCTAGTTTCTTTCCTCTTCTCTCGTCACGAGTGTACAAATTTCTGACGTAGACTCTATGCCATTTAAGAATATTTTAATATGCAGTTACTTCCTTTAATGAGGACTCAATGTGAAACAGGATTTTCCATCTTCGATAACATAAGTTTGATAACTGAGGGACTAGTTAACACTGCTTGTACCTGTAAATTGTGGTAGCCAGTAACAAAAATTGTTCATAAGCTGAGAAAACTGTATCCGCTACAGCCACTTCCTGTTTCAATTTTAATAAGTGTTAGTTACTGTGAGAGATTCCAGGCCCGTGCATTATTTCTACAAATAGTGTAAGAAGAAGACCAATGTATTAAGTTATTTTTTACCTAGAAGTTACGAAGGATTGCCAGTTATTTTTTCTGAAGCCTCATTGCTCTTAATATTGTAAGGCATTTACCGAGTTGAACTCTGGACTCGAATATTTCGGATCAATGCTTCGCTGTGTTACGCAGTTCAGAGAATTGTTCGATTGCTGTTTTCTTATAGGTTCGCATGTCATGACTGTTAAGGTAACTGCATAGGTTTCCATTTATTTTCATAGTGTTCAAAAATGAATTACATTCTCTTCTGGTCGTCCCGGACACGCTGATAGAATCCACTTCCTCGTTCCATAAATGTTTATTTTCTCTTCGATTTAGAATAAGGATTCGAGATGTAAATAAGACTGCAAGCAAGTGGGTATTAGCCAACTATTTTGTTTAGTTATTTTAGGTTTGTTGCCTCGGAATTGTGGGGTTAGGTTTGTTGCAGTTACTACTAAGCTTTTAGATGTCGAAAGTTTCTAGTCCACTTAGAAGAAAAACAACGTTCTTGATGGTTTCCAATATTGTGCGAACTTCATCCCAAATTTTTTGGTGTATTCGCATATATGAAATTTCCAAGTTTTTGTTTCAAACATGTGTCGGTCATTTTTCATGTCATTCCAAAATTGAAATTTTGGCTTTTATCACAAACAGTCGAAAAATGGAGATGCTGTCTTGAGTTGAATATTTTAGGTTATGTACAAATAACGATATTAGAATGGAGTGGTGCCATATATCTATTGTTTTATTATTGTCGTTTTTGAGATTTTTTATGGATGAGGATTGAGGATTTATTGAGGATTTATGTCTTTTCACGTGCCGTGTTAACATTCTCTTATCCTTAGCATTATTTTCATTACTGAAGGATGTTCATCTTTAACGATTAGCCTACCGTTGCATCTTCACCGTAGTGCACGAAATTGAGCTGTATTTCTACGCGTGGAGTAAACGGTTGTAAGTTTACGCTATGTAAATTCGATTGTCTATCATAAAACTGAACGACTTGATAGCATGAGGCAGCAATGAGTTGCGTTGACTTTCTGACATAGGTAGATTTACCCTTTTTGCTTTCCTGATGCACGTCTCGCAAGCATAGCAGTGTTTTATTTCATCCAGTCACAGGTCTGAATCGTGCTCGTATACATTCAACTACAAGTAGTCTACTCAAGCCTGTATCTAAGAAAGATCACGGTTTCAATGACAATTTTTTGTCGGATATTTCGCTCGAACTGAAAGCAATCGAGTTCTAGTACGTCTGATCTGTCGTCATATGTTCGATGTAATACACGTTTATTTGTCGTCGTTGGGCATCCTCAGAGGCTGTAGTGTTGGCGTCACTGTTGTATGCAAATTTCGTCCTATTGTAGAGATTGTCTTGTCTGGATGTTCCGAGTGTTGATGTGCTGATCAGTGTCCGGTGAGCCCGTATTCACTGTTCTCGATACCATCTGCTGGTATTCACTGTTCTCGATACCATAGATGATGAATGCTTTTCCATCGACATGCAAGTTCCTGATTTTACTTACTGACATTCTATCATATGGGAATACTTTTTAGCAAAGAGCGTGGCCTCTAAATGAACGAAGGCTCGTCAAACTGAGGAAACTTTTTTGTTTTGTACACAATTTCGATAGGTTGATATCTAGCGACAGAAGAAATTTCACACACGCGTGTCCATCTTTTTGTCGAATTATAAGAACTATTTTACGAGGTCATCAGAGCTAAATTATGCAAGAGGCTTGGTTGTGAAGACTCCACGAATGATAGCATTACTGAATCTAATTACTCGAGTATAACGAAATATAACACCAACCTCCCATCGTTTGGAACCATTGGGTACAAATTAGATGATAGCCGCCATTCTGTTCCCGTTAGGACACATGCAAACTGGAAAATAAATGTATGTAATATTTTTGTTATTGTTGATTAAAACCTTGACAATATTGACAACTCTTTCTCCCTTATCTGTAGGAAGAACTTAACAATTCAATTTACAATATGCTTTTCTGCATTTATTGCCATCTCCCACCGCTCTCGCCAGTTATTGAATCCACATCAGCCAGTGATAATTCGTGACATCGGATGACAAGTTAACTTGACTGATTTATCTGAACGAAATATTGATCAGGTGCATTACTGGAAGTATTATCGGATAAGGATAAATCTTCATGGAAAGAAATTTTGAAATTATCTTTACTAGTAAATTAATCCGCTTTTCACACATTCGCGGACAAAATATCAAACTGATGCATAATAAATTTTGGACGAACTGTTTAGTTCATGAACAAGGGTATGATTGCGTACGCGACAAGCTCTCAAGATGAAAAACCTTCAGTTGCTGTTCATAAAGCTCTCTTTGCAACATGTACTGCATCATCAGCTTTGAACCTTTCAGAATGAATCAGCGACAAGAAATATTAATTTTAATGATCAGGCATAATCCCCTTTAAAATTACTCATTAAAATTAAATTCGCAGTGGCAATTTGCCGATTGATTAAGTTAATTGCATTTCAATCGAGAATAAATGCCACGATTGCAGCGGAAATGTGCGCGTCATTATTGCCCAAGTTAGATTCATTCCCAAGCTGAAAAGCATGCGCGCTAACATATCATGAAAGAACAGGAATAAATATAAAGAATGACTTTTAAACTGTTACCATAGACACCCTGACTTGCACTCGCTCCTAGAAGTAATAAGCTAAAGAATAAAATGACAGAATCGCTCTTCTGGCTCTTGATATTTCAAGGGAATTAGCTTCATATATTTTCAAAAAATACCTCTGGGTTCCATACATATTTTCGAAAAATTGCGCTATTAAGTTCCCAACTGACGTCACAGATTTCAATAAATGCAAATTATCAAATTTTGTAAACAAAGTAATCCTAAATCAGACTGTCTTGCAGTCAAAGATCCGGAGTTACATTTTAGCCTTAGTGACTTTAAAACACAGGCCAACACAAATGTAACTTTTAATTGGAAACGTACAATGTGGGCAAGTGATCCAATCCATTCCATATAGACAGTGCCGATTGATATTAAAAGAAGGCAGCATTAGCTACGTGGCACACTGAACTGTAATCAGTTTCAAGACAATTTAAACACTTCATAAAAAAACAGCCAACAGTGTGGTCTAAGCAGCGAAAGAAGGATCAATTTGATTACATGTTTGTTAATAAAGGGGCTGATGAAACCTGATCAAACAAAGAAGATGGGACTCAGGCAAGGGAGCTGTTGAGTGATAAAATTGTTCAACGAAAATATCATGAGATATGTTCCTAAAAAATTTTCCTGTCATATTAGAGTTCAAAATGTATGTTAAGTAATTATTACTACAAAATTTGTAGAGAATTTTTTTTAACCTTTTCTGCCATTATAAACACAAAATCGAATTTTAGCTGGCAGAAAAGCAGGTATAAGCTAAATAATGCAGAATGAATTGCCTTTGGAACAGTTGTCTCTAAGGCTTCTAATTTAATGTTTGGGCAAAAGGGCATTGGTCAACATGGCAAGTACCGTAGTAAGGAGTAAAATCCAAATTCAGATTTTGCAGCAGTTGTCAAGTACCATTAGGTGCCTCTAAGAATCTATTAACTGATAAGTAACGATACAGTAGTTTCATAGCTCAATTGTCAAGAAAAAGCCTCACTAAACCCATGATGTACGTTTCGAGATAAACGTCGCGTAACTACAAACCTGTAAACGAATGTTTTTGATGATAGATATGATCGATCCCATAATACATTTTCAGTAATATCAAGTCAAAAGTACATTAAAGGTACAAAGCCAGTTATCACTCCCATGTCGAGTAAACTCTGGTTTAATTCGTCGGGAGTTCTGACCTAAAGGCATATTCCTTTATAACCGAGAAATAGTAAAAAACGACCAAGACGCAGTAAAGGGTTGGACTGCGCCTCAGTTGTGTTTGACCAAAGAGCTCTGGTCGGTGAGGGCACCGAAGCGGTTGTTGGTGCGCAGCATGGGCGGTCGGTACGCTTGGGGGTTGTTGGGCGTGTCACGTCCTCGAGGCGTGTTGTGCGACACACGAACCTCAGGCACGTCACGGTCGTCTCTGAAAAAATTCAATAGCGTTCAGCTTCACTGGTATTATCTCTTGAAGAACAATTGTTTCTTTTAGAGAGGAAAAGATGTTTCTACTTCATCTTCTTTTAGCCATGGGCACTTTCTTCTGGCTTGAATTAATTTGAGGAAATAATATGTGATGAAAACAGTGATGAACCGCAACTAACTTGAATTCCACTCACAACAGTGGTTCCTCTCAAATGAAATTAAAACCATTACTCATTCATAATATTCAACACTTAGAATTCAACCATCCTATGATGATAACTCACAAGACTTTCTTGCGGGGGTTGACAGTCTTGGCATCAGCGAGAGTGGGGAAGGCTGTAGCATTGGTGATATCAGGGGCCTCTTTTTTGCGTCGCGAACCTGAACAATACAAAATAATTAGCCTTAGTCATAAGCAGAGGCAATGAAGAACCAATAAAAAATGTATGATAAAATTTTACTCAACATTTTTTTAAATGTTATGGCTTAACTTCATAGAATTAGAGCATGAACCTCCATTACAAATGATCTTGAAACTAAAGGATTCTGAATATGTCAAAAACCATTCAATTTCAAGATTACAAGATAATGCAGGACTTGGTGAAGCCTAGTTAAACAAAAAGGAATGAATATTGCATGGTTCATTCAAGCATTTCTAGTTAAGTGGACGGTTATTTCCACAACTTTTTCCAAGTACTTCCTTATAATTGAAATATTACTAGCCTGGTATCGCGCGAGAGCCTCGGGGCAGAGGAGCGGCTTTCATTTCTGAGGCATTTTGGCTGGTCCACCGAGGCTGGGCATTCCTGGCTGCTATTTGGGCCTTAACTCCTTGCATATCATCGTCGGCATCTAAGGCCTGACAAGCAAATCGGAACACTTTGAATAAAACAAAGCATAGCAAAGTCAGCATCAACAATCTCATCATAATTTCAAACTAATAACTTCTCAAGCTCTTATGCTGCATAGTTATGAATATTGCATATAGGTACACATTTAACAACAACCAAACTTTCAGTCTACTTACCTAAGAATACTATTAGCAAAGAATTCAATAATTTATATATATACATTATTTTATGAAAAAATATATAATAGTATTAAATACATGAGTGAAAGTATCTGTCTCTTGATTGCAGAAATTGTAGAAATACATGAAAACTATGGAAACAAAAGTTCATTCACTACCTGGTAGGTACATCTTAACTTGTTCACTAACTTAGGTACCAGTAGTTAATTGGTCATCTACTGACTTAATACTAATTATAAGGTTGCTCAAGAAATAAATTATTAATAGAACATAATACACTACCACTACTACATTTAAGAATTAAAAACGCAAGGAAGAATGTCTCACCTCACAAATTGTGCTCTCCAAAGACTTCTGTTGTTCTTCAATTTTCCAAACGCCCTCTTTTTTGTCATCACCAGAATTCAGTTTACTGTCATCACCTCCTTCACCAGAAGCACGGCCACCTTCATCATCATTGTCTGTGATCATATTTGTGATCCGTAGATTGCTGACGTCTACAGCATAATCATCTTTAAAATCATCCCATTGTTCTTCTTCAACCTGAGAAAAACAAGAAATCATGAGTAACTAAATAAATCATGTCATACCAGTATTATAAAGAACAAGTGAAATGCAGTTTGCTCAACATTCAAATCAGTCAAAAATTAGTCCTCTGGTGTAAGATATAGGTACAATAATTTGAAACCCATAGCATTCTTATAGTCTAAAAATACTTGCTTTAGAAGTCAATTCAGAAAAAACTTGATTTATATCCAGTTTCAATTAGCTGAAAATATAAAAAACTGAAATTCAGATAAATTATATAAAGCAGCTCAATCTCATGATTTGCTGAACCAACTCTAATGATTTGTTCTTTGGATTCCATCCTAAATATAATCATTTTTTTATGTTTCATAAAAGAATATTCATTAAACCATTAAGCTAATTCGGAAAATTTGTCGGAAGATATTGACAAGCATCAGTAGTACATAGGGGCCCCAAAACTATTGCAAGATACAAGATACGTACACATATTTTCAGATGGCATAATCAATAAACAAAATAGAAAAAGACTGTCCTCTAATTGCTTGTTGATCCAAATTGCCACAGGTGTGCTGGAAAATTTCCTTCACTAGCCAACAACAATATAAAGATAATGACAAATCTCAGACTTGTCTGTTGGGACATTCATCAGATGTGATACATATATACATTTCACAGTACTGTACATATATAAAACATTCTTATACATACATTTTTCAAAGTACCATAAAATGGGGTAACTTAGACCACTTTTTTATAAATGATGCCATTTTTTTACTAGCTAAATTAAATTTGAATTGAAACATGCAAAATACAGGTCTATACTCTAGCTTCATTCACCATAAATTGCTGGCTCTTGCCTCTCATAGTCTTTAGGTAATTTCAAAAAAAAGTGATGGTTTTTGTTACCCCAGCTCTTGGGGTATCTTAGACCAGGTGGTAAAATCAATTATATTTTTTGGTAAAATAACTACAAATAACTCCAGGTTTTGGTGCATTGTAGTAGAACTCTTCTAGTTACATATGCAAATGACAAACTTGATTAAAGTGTCATAATTTGCAAATGGGGGGCACCGCCCCATAATGGGTGAAATGTGACTACCAAATGGCAGCCCTGACAGGGTAATATTGACTGGCTTGGAAATTAAGCTAAAATTACCATATATAAGACTCTGTAGAGTCTGAAACATAAAGAAAAAACATAAATAGGCTGTCAAACATAAAATATGTTATATATGGTAATTTTATATTAACTTCCAAGCCGGTCTATGTTACCCCGTCAGGGCTCACATTAGGTGGTCTAAGTTCCCCCATTTGAGGGCAGCACCCCCCATTTGCAAACTATGACACTTTCCTAAAATTTGTCATTTGCATATGTAACTAGAAGAGTTCTACTACAATGCATCAAAACCTGGAGTTATTTAACCAAAAAATAAAAAAATTGGAGGGGGTACTCTGACAGGCTTTAAATAATAGCTTTTTTTTTTTGTGGGTCACATTTTTAATTTTTTAACCTATCAGATATGCAAACTTTTTAAATCTTTCTATTGTGTTATGTAGCCTCAGTATTAGGCCTTTTATGCCCATTGACAAAATTTTTCTATGTCAAATAGTTTTTGAGTTTTGAGGGTTTTTGTTAAAAAAACGAAAAGTGGTCAAAGTTACCCCGCTGGTCAAAGTAACCCCATTTTACGGTACTGATTTCACAGTACTGTAAAATGATGTGACTTGGACCATTTTTAGCACTTGCCTTTTTGTGATACTAATAGTCACATATTAAATATATAAAATAAACCTGTTCATTTCATTTGTAAGTCATCTCATGGTACTTCAAGAGCCATCAACACAATTCGTCCATGGCGAGAACTTTTTGAGTATAGGGTTTTTTTCTTGTGTAGTCTGCTTGACCAGCACAACCCTAAGCTGCCAACTTGCAATGAAATCATCACCCGCGCAACATTGGAGACCTGCGCCAGCATCATCATGCACCATGTGGTGTCTCAATACTACAAGACAAACAATAGCAGAGGTTGTAGGCCAATTTGTAGGCCACTTGATTTATCGGGACATTGAAGTTGTTCTCATAATGATTTTAAATTTTGATTGATAACCATATCTATGATAACTTTGGTAGGTATGTACTTAAAGTACTTAAGTTTTAAAACTCTTCACCTATTTCAGAATGAAGATGAACATTGAATATTTGAAACATTGTATTCCAGTAAAATTTCATTTGGTAACCTGCTTTTCAATCTTCCAGCACCAGCAAGAAATTATGTTTGGCATATTGATAGAAACAGCAAGAACATTATTAACAAAAAGCATGCTCTAGTCTTCAATCAAACTGCACTACTATGATGTTGCCACTTGCAAAATGTCAAATAGAAACAATCTAGTTTATATAGAATCAATGTTGGCAATGATTAAATCAAACTGATTAAATCATTTGATTTTTTATAAAAAAAATCATGATTTTTATTTACTTGATTTTGTAAATATTTAAATATATTGAGTGGCAGTCTTTAATTTATTTTGAGGTATTGTCATTCATGGTTTAGTATAAATTTACTATGACAAATTGGAACATAAACCCGTTGTCTTTAGTGAATTGTATGTTATTGGTACAGAGGCATCAAGTGTTTCAATACATTGTACATAGCTAGCAGCTTAGCTAATTCTTATAAGGCTATAAGTAGTCTTTAACTAACTATTTGACTATTTGTTATATATTAATGACATTATACAATTACATGTGTTAGCTAGCTTATAGAAGGGTTGGTTGAGATTGCATTGACCTTTTAGGCATTTAGAAAGATTTTCACCCAAATATGAGTATTCTAATTAAAATATTTAATTTCAATCTTTAAATAGGGTAAACACACCATATTCCAACACCTTAAGGACGTAGCAAGAAATAAATGGCTATAAATAGATTATATACCGTATGAGCAACTCAAGTTCTGATTGGTTTACGTCGTCACTCTCAAAACACCACACTATGCGCCAGCAATGATGAAACGTCACAAACTGTTGTCATATTTATTTAAAAGCCCTTAGAATTAAAATCTACAAAATTGCTGAATTCCAACACTGTGTGTGACTAAATGCGGCATATTGAGAGACTAATTCCGACAGCGCTTCAAATCGTAATTCATAATTCCAACACCCTGTGTCAGAATACAACACCCTGTGTCAGGCTGTGTCATAATTCCGACACCTTGTGCTTGAATAAGTTTTTGTGTGTCTAAAACCGTCTCTTAAATCAATCATCTATTAATTTATTTACCACTTAAAATCAGCAAATACAAGTATACTTAAAAGGATTCCTAATATATTCACAGACTTATTTAAAAGTCTCAAACCATAATATTCTTTTTACACAAACAGTTTATCACTATTTGGTAAAGCAAGGTCAACTATCAACTTTCATACATGTTTCGATGTTCTCACTAGTTGACTTGGACTTTTGCTCTGTGGATCTTAACATTTTCCTGCTAGACCTTGTGTTTTGCGGTAATCTTGTACGCAATAGTATGACGTCACTATTTCAACCATCTAGGCATGCGTGGAACTAAGACCAAGCTTAATATAAAGGAAAAAGTTGAGGGGTGTTGGAATTACCCACAGTGTAATAATATGTTGCGTTTACCCTATGTGAATTTATAACTAGAAACAAAACAATTACAATTATAAAACTATATATGAAATAATCTAATGCAGTGAATGGAAATAAATTATTTGAATTGTATACATGTTTATTTCAAACAGTGTTAGCTTTTCTCATAACATAAGTCTTGTTTCAAGTCGTTTGAGGTTTAATTGGTTGTTGTTTAGTTTATGTTTAGTATTGGTTTATTGGTCTGAATCAAATGAGAACAGTACAGTCAGATTCAGTCATTCAGTCACTACTAGTCACAGTAGTCAGTGTGTTTAGAGGGTAGAGTCTGGTAGATTTATAGGACATTAAACTAGTAGATCTATTGATAGTGCTGCGCACTGTTGACTGTGCTATCAGCTATGAGCTACCTAACTGTTATGTGACTCTTCAATGTATTGAAGATCCACATTCCTGAAGTGTTGTTGTGTATTGTTTGAAGCCAGTTAAGTGGTTAATATTTAGCTCATTACCTAGATCCATACAAACTTTACAGAGCTAATGAATAGACTTGTCAATACCTAATTGTTTACCCAGAAGTCCCAAAGTGGTAAACACCACCTTGGCCATTCTTGAAGGCAATAACTGCCCTTTTTAGCCATCCATTGGCATATAGTGCTGCTATTGTTAGTAGGCTAATTGCAAAAAAAAAAACATTTCAAAAAGACAAAAAAAAAAAACTGAAAAAAATCAAATAAAAAAATATTACCCACCGGTACCAACCCTGCATCAGTTTTTTTTCAGTTCCTCAGCCTCAGGTTTTCTTCTTAATTTACTCAGAAAATAAATAAATATGTATATTTTTACTTGCCATTTCTGAAATTCACCCATAGGCCATGAGCCCATGACAGTTGTTATTGCACATGATTTTTAGAAAAAAATCTGCCTATTATTTTAGATTGCATAGGACTCATTGGACACTATAACTTGAGAAGTTGAGTTGAGAGTAGGGTAAACGCGGTATATTCCGACATCGTAGGTAATTCCGTCACTTCTCTAGTTTTTCCTTTATATTAAGCTTTGTTTTAGTTCCATCATCAATGTAGGGTAAACGCGGTATATTCCGACATCGTAGGTAATTCCGTCACTTCTCTAGTTTTTCCTTTATATTAAGCTTTGTTTTAGTTCCATGCGTTCATTGATGGTTGAAATGGTGACGTCATACATTTGCGTGTCGAAATACTGCAAAAACACTAGGTCTTGGCCATCTATAAAAGCCTAATAGCTGTTAATTAAAACGTAATTAAGTAGTGTTCAATATTCGTTAGTGTTCTAATTCAAAGCCGTGTTGTATCCCAATACAGCTCACACAGCAAAAGGAATTCGAACACGTGGATGTCGGCAATACGGATCAGTTAAATTTGAAGCGCTGACGCAATACGACTCACCACGTGTCGGATGTTGCCACACAAAGTGATGGAATATAGGGACATAGTGGCAAAGCAGAGAGTTTTTTAGACTCTCCCTCAAGTTCATTTTTGAGTCCTATAAGTAGACCAGTAAAGTATCATGCATAGTGGCAAAGCAGAGAGTTTTTTAGACTCTCCCTCAAGTTCATTTTTGAGTCCTATAAGTAGACCAGTAAAGTATCCTGTATACCAGCACCATCATACATAAGAAATTGGTTTAAAACTTGGGTAAATGAGGAAATTAAAGTTGAACTGATTCTAAAAAATCTCTGATTTGTCACTATGTTAATAGGGATTTGGTAGGTTTCCATTCTAAAGGCTTTTTAATAAATATGGCAACATTTTGTGACGTTTCATAAATTCATCGTTTCTGACGCGTAGTGAAGTGTTTTGAGAGTCATGTGAAGGCAACAGAACTTACTTAACGCATACGGTTTTTTTTATAGTTTTTCATTTCTCGATGCGTCCTTAAAGTGTCGGAATATACCGCGTTTACCCTACCTAATCTAATGTAATACTTTTGTCATTGTCATAACTGGCAAGTTGTTATTTATGAGTTAATGTTATTTGTTAACAATGATAGCTAGCAGTGATAGCACTACACAGTAAGTACACTCCGACACTAGGTACACTATCACTATGATACTTAGTGAACTCACTGAACTGACTATGAGAATTTGAGAATGACCAATCAGACCAATACCTAGCCTACTCAACAGTTTTTAGTAGGAATTTAGGAACAAAAACTTACCACTTTCTTTTCATCAACTTCTGGTATTTTTTCTATAGATGAAACTTCAGCATCATCCAACTCTGGCACGGCAGTTATTTTAGATGTGCTTAATCCATCTTCACATTCTTCTAATTTTTTAGAAATTTCATTTTTGGTCGCCGAAGCCACTTTCTTCTCTGTATCATTTAACCTCCTGGCAATTTCTTCAGTGGTAGTGAATTTTTTACCTTTCACTTTCTTTTTATCTTTTTTGGCAAAAAAACTATCGAGATCTGCCATAATGAATGATTGTTTCTGTGATATAATCAAGGATACGAGGAACAATAGATTGATGTTTTATATAAAAAATGATGCAAAGTTCTATCCATTCGGACGACACGTTATGCACTCACCACCCAGGTTCTGAGAGCATACTGGTTCTTCTTCTTCTTAGTCACCGGGTTGTCGCTAAATATAACTCACAACTCTTATTGAAAGAAATTCTCAGGTTCTGAACAGGGTTAATTATTTTATCTAAAAACAATCCAGTGAATTCGTTTCAGAATTGGTCATCCAAAATTGAGAGAGAAAAAATTTGAAATCTCAAAAAATCAGCCCGCAATAATGCCAGAGATTCGCATATTGCATAAGCTCCAGAATATTTTTGTCATAGCAGCTACAAATCTGTATAGTCACTATAAAAATTTAGTTAAGGTGCGATCTAAAGTTTGTTCAATATGTCATTTGCCTGCTAAATTCAACAAAAAGAACCCGAAAGTTTTCTTTTTGTACGCCAGCTCGAAGACAAAGCTCGGTATTTCTGACTTGAAAGAAGATCAACGAAAGATTTCCTCTGATGAAGGCAAGGCTGATGAAGGCAAGGCTGATGTTATTTTAATAAGTTTTTTTAAGTAGCGTATTCGCTGAGGAGGACTTGAACAGTATTCCAGCTATTGAGGAGGGCCCAGTAGGCTCTAAATTAGCAAGTTTTGAAATACAAGAAGATGTTCTCAAACGCCTGGTCGCTCTAAACCCAACAAGTCAAGTGGACCGGACGGCTTCCAACCCAGATTACTCAAAGAATTAGCAACCGTCTTAGCCAGCCCTTTGACGGCATTTTTTCGAAAAAATTTGAACGACGGGATCTTGCCGGATGACTGGAAAGAAGCTCATGTGACACAACTGTTCAAAAAAGGTGACAAAAGATGCCCGGGCAACTATCGCCCTGTCAGTTTGACAAGTGTCGTTTACAAGGTAAGGGAATCTTTTGTGAGGAATCGTCGAATCGATTGATCGATCATTTGACTGTTAATAATCTCCTAGGCTTCCCAGCAGACTGTCAACATGGCTTTATTGCCGGTAGATCCTGCACCACTAACCTCTTGTTTACTTTGAGACAATGGACCTGTCTGCTGAACGAGAGGACGCCAGTAGATGCAGTGTACCTCGATTTTGCCAAGGCATTTAACAAAGTCCCACACAAGCGGTTGTTGCGTAAAATGAAATCTCAGGGAATTTTGAGTAATGTACTCAAACGAATCAGAGATTTTCTAGTCGGGAGGCGACTAGGTGTCAGTATTATTAGGACCGTATCAGGCTGGGCTTCTGTGCGCAGCGGCGTGCGCCAAGGAAGCGTTCTCGGGCCTTTTTTTCGCTGTGTTTATAAACGATCTGCAAGAAGCTGTGCCTAGCGTGTGCTCGATGTATGCTGACGACACAAAAATTTGCAATTCAGGGAAGAATACGTCGCAAAAAGTACAGTTGCAAGGTGATTTTGACAGGTTAGTTGAGTGGGCTGAAACGTGACAGCTGCGTTTTAATGCTGACAAGTGTAAAGTAATCCACCTTGGCATGAACAATAAAGAGCAAGATTACAGTATGAGAAGACATTGTTGCAACGAGAGAGTGATGATGTCGAAGTCGACAATGGAAAAAGATTTAGAAGCTTAAGTCGACAATGAAGAAAGATTAAAAATTATTAAGCTTCCAAGCCTCTGTTTTCGACGTTTGCGCGGTGACCTCATCAAAGTATACAAGTATACTCACAGTTTATCCAAGATCCCAGAAGGAGTCCTAGAATTTGAAACAAGAACAACACCTAGGGCCACTGCTATAAACTAAAAAAACTACGTTGTAGCACATGCATGCGACTACATTTCTTCTCGCTTCGAGTCACCGACATGTGGAACAGCCTCCCTGATGTCATCGTTGACGCTTCTAGTTTGAACGCGTTCAAGAACAGACTAGATAAAACTATGGAAAATATATGTAAAGATTTAAAATGCCTAACACCATATCGAACCCGGTGGAAGTCTAGTAGCTATTTCAAACTATCGTCAGTCATGAAAAGATCCGGTCAAATGACACGATTTTAGATCTTCAATGAACAAGTCACAAAAAGTTCAAGATTCGGCGACAGTCCACATCAGGCCTACTCCTCAGCGCCGACATCACTATGTTATGTTATGTTATGGGGTAATGAGCCACTCATATGTAACTTATTTTTTATCTTTAATGCTCAATCATACAAATTTGCTTGGCCAATTCTAGATTAATACTCTTGCGTAAATAATTTGCATTCCAACGTATCGGCGTTTGAAGCTCCTGATGTAACTTTATTATATTGTATTGATTATATATTGATGAAACTTGATTAACCGCTGGGCAGGGTGGCCCAGTGGTTAAAGTTCAGAGTACCAAGATTGGCGCAGAGAGGCGCGGGTTCGACCCCAGCTCTGTGCGTCAGTTTCTGGTCAGAATCGGCGAGGAGACCGGGCGGTTAAGGAAAGCAGAATTGTAGCAGTGAGTTGCGCGTTCGAGACCGGAAAATGCTGTAACTGTTCTGCGATGTTAAGAATTGGGGACAGGCCTACAGCCTACTAAACGCTTAAGCCGCTATTATTATTATTATTATTATATAGTGATTCCCATCGTTCGTAGTTAGATGCTCTCACTTACGAAATATCATGTAATTACCACCCATATTTAATATTTGGAAAGCTTAGACTCACTTGCAGACTATTTGCATGCAGATCCAAATTTTAGAAATTTAACAATAATTTGTCGTGCTCTCACTTCTCTAAAATAATAAAAAAATCCGATATACATAATAAAGACTGATAGTGACATTGTGTGCTCCTTATGAAGCACTGTTCATAACCGAAAAGCTATTGTACTTTTTTATTAGATTTACCATCTTTCATCATCGTTTTAACATCTCAGCTACTGAATATATTATAGCTTTTATCGACCGCTTCCAATCGGACGGCTCGCTTGCCATGTGACAATTCTCGCGTGCAGCTTGAAGGTCTTTTACGAACACTAATAACAGCCTGTTGATTATGATAAAAATGACTGATATGGATTTTCAAATTCCCCAGCAGATAGCATAAGTTCCTTTACTCTTCACAAAACGTAGTGGATTGTCATATATGCCTGTGGTGCTACTGTGACAGCTGACATGGACGTGGTTGTGTGGCGATGCTTGCTCGTTTTTTTCGTTATAACAGGCAAGGGAAACTTTCTCGCGACCAAATATTTTTTAGATTTAGGTCATTGTCATTCTTGATAAATATGAAAATTTTTTAATAAATGTGAACAGAAAGACGGACTCATTCACCTTAGTCCGTGCTTCCTCCGCAGGAGTGACGAGCTCTGAAGACCTGGGGACGCAGCAGTTCTTCGATGGCTTCCCTGACGACGTCTGGGACTCGCTGGAGACTGAGGATGTGGTTTCAATTGTCAGCCAATTTATAGAAGGTGATTCTATTATATTGCTATCTAAACTTGAAAAATATCTGTTTCAATAGATTATCTAGTAACTTGCTATAAAATTTCGTTCCATCACAGTTTTCACACCATTCTCTCCTGAAGCGTTTTTGTTGGTGGACTTTTTGTAATATCATGTGAAATGCTTTAAAAATAAGACATTGCAGAGTTATCATCGCTTGACTCGCTAACTCCACGTGACCTGAACCCTCCGCTGCTGGAGGCAAACGACGAGCGCTCCAAGGTATTCTGCGAGGCGTGTCACTTGGCCGTGGGGCGCTTGATCGGCGCCTACGTCAATGGCACGTCTTTGGACGTCCTCTTCAACCGCACGGTTGATTTGTGCATTAATCTCAACATCTCAAGTCCTATGTTTTGTGAACAGATGATCGAAACATCCAAGGTGAGCAGCAGTGATATCAACAGTTTGGGATAGATCAATATCCGGGCTTTAGTAATATCCAGACTATCACGAAAGATAAGTTCATGCAGGCAATGTCACGAGAAATGCGCTCATTCAAATTTAAACACGTCCATAAAAGCAACAGTTGCATTCATAGCGGAGTGACCAAATCAGTGCTACAATGAGTGAGTGAGTTTATTGTGTCTAAATACCTGAAAAATAGTTGTATTTAAAAAATCGGCGCAGCATTTTTTTAAGTTAAATACCATGAGCCAGGTACTGATAAATAATTGTGCGAGTAACAAAACGTTTATGATACATACATTCTCTGATTCTAAATTGAGGCGTCTTAACCTGTACTTGTCATATTTTGCGTGCAGCCTCAAGTCAGTTGGATCATCACACACTCGAACCTGACGGCCAAAGACGTGTGTGGGGTCTTGTTTGTGGGGCAGGACTGTAAGTCCGACAACCCTGAACGGGAATGGCAAATCGACCTGCCGTCAAACGAAAAACCACCGCTCAAAAACATAACCATTGCCCCGGTGAGAGCGAGCAAGGAGTCTTAACTCGAGTAACGCTAGAACTCCAAATTACCGCGGTCAAAGAAAAATCGGTCGCAATTCCAGCACACTTCCTTCAATTGACAATAATTCACACAGCATTTTAATCCAGTGCTTCTTGTGAACCCGTGCTTCTTCATACTAAAGGTTGTATAACATTAATGGCAGCACATGAGCCTTTGAGCGCTCGAACTAATGTCATAGCCTACTTCCACTCAAATGTTGAATAGATATTTTTGTTCGTGTTCGTTTCATGCTTTCAACATTCTCAGGTAATAATTTTCACACTCATTAGCATTTACGAGAAACTATTATTCCACCAGGGATCTCCGACATTGAAAGTACTGCACCTGGCAGACACCCACTTCGACCCTTACTACAAGCCAGGCTCCAACGCGGTGTGTGACGAAATCTTCTTTTGTTGCCGTGAAGAGAGTGGTGAGTAGATTTTATAAAGCATCTAAATTACGTTGTATAGTGAAAATGTTTACAAATAGTTGAGGAAAATCATTAGATGAGTTCAAAGGATATTATCAATCACGTTAGACGAAGCAATATTGTAAAAAGTGTCGTACGGACCGTGATTCTTACAATGTACTCGTAGCTAATGACCTGGTGTTGATTCATCTGTCATTCATAGTATGGTATTCAAGACATAAGAAATTTTATCGGATTTTTGTATAAAGTCTTATTATTATTATCAGGGCCCGTAAAAGCACCCGAGGACGCGGCTGGCTTCTGGGGCGACTACCGAGCTTGTGACTTACCCAAATGGACCATTGAGGCCATCTACGAGCACATTCTCGCCGAGCACCCGGTTTGTAGTTTATTAAAACTTCCATTTTGTACATGCATCTTTCAAATAACTCCAGTCAATAACATAAAATATTTAACTTATAATTGAATAGTGTTTCAAACTCTCGCGTTCTGCTCCAGGACATTTCGTTCATCATTTGGACGGGTGACCTGGTGCCGCACGACGTCTGGAACACGTCCCGAGAGGGCAACCTGAACATCATCCGCGAGTCCGTGGCTACGGTGGCACAGTACTTCCCATCCATCCCCGTCTTCCCTGCTCTGGGGAATCACGAATCCGATCCAGTGAACGCGTCAGTCGGCAGCAATGGACTTTGCAGTTATTATGATATGGGACTTGTTCAAACACGACTATTGAACGGAAACTATTCCAAGGTTTCTGAAAAATTTGTCCACTCGTTATAAAACGATAGTTTACTGCAAAAGAACTTCGCTGCTGACAAAGTAATTTTGTTATAATTGATTCATTAGTATTTACCTATTTTGATTTAAAAAGAACTTGTATGCGAATTGATGGGAAGAAATTTACTTTAAAACAGATTCTCTCAACCATACATCGACAACGAGTTCAGCATGGACTGGCTGTACGGCGAGGTGGCAAGCCTCTGGCAGACGTGGCTCCCGGAAGACGTTGCAACAACAATTGCTTACTCCGGTTACTACATTGTTGACGTGAGTAGCTTACACAAATTTTTCGTTTGCAATCGATCACTGATGTCTTCAGTCTTCAATTTTATGCTAACCTGCAATATGCTTCGTAAAACACAGTATAAAGCAAACACTATACAGTTATTCCTTAATTTTGTTCCAGGTTTTTCCTGATCTACGATTGATCTCCGTGAACACGAACTATTGCTACAACTATAACTGGTAAGATGTAGAGGTGGTGATGGTGGTGCCACTAGGAAATATGGGAAAAGATCAGGACGTGGCTCTGGGTGACTAGAAAGAAGAAGGGGGAACGGAAACGATGGTAGAAAGCGAAAAGTCGCTTGGAGCATAATTCGGTTTGACATGAGTTTTTTTACTGGTTCAGTGGAATAGAAAACCCATCAGGGCTCTGTAGAGTATTAGGTACGTGAGGCTTGCTTTTTAGTACATTACTTTTTTTAGTAAATTATTTATACACGTCATACTAATTTTTATTCCTTTTTTATCATTATGTATCTTTTGGTGATTTTTTATTGTTATATTTTTATTCTTATATATTTTTTTTTAATTGTACTTTTACATTTAATTTATATGGTCGCTTGACCAGCGCGAAAATGGAAGGAGATGATGAAGATGAATAATATGTGATGGTAATATAACATTTTTCTTTTCAAACGTGACAGTCGCGATTAATAAAATTTGCAACATTATGCGCGGGAGCTGTGGTGGTCAGTAACTGTAGCTTCACATTGTCCGCAGGTGGCTGCTGTACGACTCAGTGGACCCTGGGGAGGTGCTTAAGTGGATGGCTGGGGAGTTGCAGAGGGCTGAGGATGATGGGGTGTACGTGTACCTCATCAGCCACATCCCCTCAGGGAATGACTGCCACTACACTTGGAGCAGGGAATACTCGAAGATCGTTTCTAGGTGAAACTGGAAATGGCAATATACTCCTATACTTAAATTATATTTTCACTGTAGTTTTCTGCTTTGGCAATGTATAGTCACATCATGCATGGTCCAAACTTGAATATCTTCAATTGAACGATTCGTATGACATCCGTTTATATTTTACATGATTGCGCAGATATGAAGGAGTTATCGCTGGCATCTTCTACGGCCACACTCACAACGACCAATTCCAAATGTTCTTTGACTATGACAATCCATCACGGCCGATCGAAGTTGGCTTTGTGGCTCAAAGCCAGACAACTTACTCGGACCTGAATTCTGGATACAAGATATACACCATCGATGGCGGCCACGAAAACTCAACCTACGTAAGGACATTTTGAAGCAAACGAGCAAAAACTCTTCAAACGCACATTAATCGGAAGCTAGGAGTTGAAATCTTGATTGGCCACACAAGAGGAAACCGAGGTAGACAGTTTCAGCACGACATCAAACCCTGTTTCACATATATATTATTGTGTTCCAGACCGTCTTGGACCACGAGAACTGGTACTTCGACTTGGATAGGGCAAACTTTGAGATGGTACCAACCTTTGAAATTCTGTACTCTGCCAAGGATGCTTATGGGTGAGTGCAATTCTTCACCAAAGGGTGAACGGAAGTGTGTGTGTGCATGTGACCACGTTCAAATAATTTTCTGTAAATTCGAATCAAAATTAATAAATGAATAGTAAAAACGTTTCCACAAGCCAACTTTTAAAAATAACTATGTGATTAGCCTAATCTTTGTTTTTGGTATACTATTGTGAGACAAAAATTGTGATCATTGCCACCTAATTCTTTTCGACATCGAAATGATTAACTCCTTAAGCACTTATTCGTGGTCAGCATGCCAGACTTGAGCCCGCAGTCGCACCTTGATCTTATCTACGAGATGGCGCAGAACAACAGCGCTACATTCGACCTTTTCTACAGGTGAGCTTCGATCTGAAGTGGTCGGTAGATACTGATGAAGTTGTGATATTTATTGTCTAGTACCTTTAAAGTTAGTGAAACTTTTATGATGTTGGTGAGTAATGAAGCCATTTATTGTCAAGGAAAAGCCCATCTTCGCTAATGATGAACAGGTTACAATTAAATAAAATCTTACATTTTAGTGAAGAAAAATTCAGCATAAACTACAATCAGCTTCACTGAATTATTTTTCGTCATACGTTCAACTTTATTGCCTAACTTTGTGTGAAATTAGAGGCGAATTCCCATAACAAAATATTGACGCCTGCGACAACCATAATATTTTTTTGAATATTTGATTTCAGTACAAACATGACAAATTTTCACCCTTTTTAGCGCATTTTCTCATTTATGGAAAAAATGCACTATTGTGCTCGCCATGTCCGTCTGTCCGTCCGTCTGTCCGTGACCTCAAGTTTTCGTCGACGAGAAAATGCGCTCTCTGTCACTCACTGCAGTGAGTACTGAGTTATATTTTTTGAATATTTATTTGATCAATCGCACGTATTTTAAGCCATTATAAAGCAATAAAATCTCAAATCAACGAGTGATGAGCCATTAAAATTATTCACAATGTACTTGTACTTCACAAATGAAATAAAAAAAAAACAGGTAACACATGTGGAAAAAAAATTGTTTGTTCAACAATATTAGATAGTAAATCGTTATCGGACATCTGGCGCACATATATATTTGGTATCGAGAACACATTACCTTGTCCCACATCGAACAAAATGATATCGGAAAATCAGACACACACAATTATTTGATAACACGTGTGATAACATAATACGTTGTCCCACAAAGAAAATAAAAAACATAACTCAGTACTCACTGCAGTGAGTGACAGAGAGCGCATTTTCTCGTCGATGAAAACGTGAAGTCACGGACGGACAGACAGACGGACATGGCGAGCACAATAGTGCATTTTTTCATCATAAATGAGAAATTGCGCTAAAAATCGTTATCCTCCCTCAGGAACTACGTGAAGGCCGGCAGACCGAGGATGGAAGAAGGCTGTGACGAGGACTGCAAGAGCGACCTGCTGTGTAGGCTGCTGGTGGCCGACACGTCAGACCGCTCCATCTGTAAGCAAGTTCTGTAACTTGCATTTTGTTGCTATTTGTAATTTAACTGAGAAAATTATTTAAATTTCCCATTTTATAATTATTTGCGGCTTATGATCATGCTTATTTTGATTATTTATTATTACAACAGTTTGCTCTAAATAAGCTGACGATTAGCTTCAGAATATTAGTGTTGGGATTATACGAAAGACTGCGCTCGGTCAAACACGAATTCGAGAACACTTTTTCTTGAAAAACTGGCTTCGTCGATTGTAATGGTTTTTAATTTGACCGAGATTATTTCATGGTTTAATTTAATGCATTAGACATGAAATAATTTCAATATGTTCAGTAATTTACCAAAAATCTCGCAGTCACTTCTGCAGCAAAGGAACCGTGTATTTTTACTGCTTATTTGGCCTAGTCACAATTTTTGCCGCAAGTCGTCAATTCTTTCACAAAAATTAGTGTTCTCTCATGCTTGAGATTTCCATATCCCACACCGACACTGATTTCTTATAATTAATAAGGTGAAACTTCAAACAATGAGTGACTTTGACAGCCGATGCGAACATACTGCCTAGATATTGAATTAATGCAGGATATAATTAGATTCAATATTGAAAGTGGATCGCTCTACTCATTTTCTAAATTGTATTCCTTTGTGCAACACATTTTTGTTCCATGAATAAATTTTACATATACTAACATTTGCAACTTTAAACGTAATTTAACTTTGATAAATTCAAGCTGCTACATATTCTTAATGAATAGCATTTTACACTTACTAAACTACAAGTATTTGCCATACTAAAATTTAGGAACAGGATTCATTCTTCAGCACAAACATTGAGTAGCAGTAGTCTTTGCACTGATAATTCACCGTATGGTATATAATAACAGGACAGGATTTATTAAACGTGTGACTTTCGGTTCTGTATGAGTTGTTCAAGCAAAACGCTGGCCTGCCTAACCTGTAGCTATTCAGGGCTGAATATAAAATTAAAACTTAAATCTACCGTAGTGATTAATCAGAATGTCAAAATATATAATAATCTGTGTCAATTAATGTTCAGTATTTTGAGTTGAATCGCGTAGCTATTTTTACATGGGGAATGGAAGTACGAAAGTAATTAGGAAATGTGCTCTCTTTTTCTGAGCACATTTACTCCTTTCAGGTGCACTGTTAGAAAAAACGTTGAAAAAACGGTCCCGCCGGCGTTCTAGTGGCCGGTCGCTCCGTGAAAATAAACTGTTTCGCCGTTTTTATCAGATGTTTTACGGATTTCTAGTGTTAAATTAGAATAAAAACGGTGACACGGTGTTTCTTTTCAAGTGCCGACCGGCCACTGAAACGCCGGTAATACCGTTAACGGGAATTTTTCTAACAGTGTGGCAGAGTGTTTTTCAATGCAATAATTTCCCAATTTTAACCGGAGAATAATGTACTTCATATAGAATTATATACTACGATTGTTATTACTATTATTGTTTTGTATTTTTACTTCATTGTTTTATGGTTCCAGATGTAGCAAATATATATTGTGAAATAAACAATATTATTTTCCTCATTGTTCTAAAAGTACCTACTAAATCGTGGTAAAAAAATTGTTTAGTTTGCTATCGCTGGTGCTTCTTGATGAAGCTGGCAGGAGGGCCGGCATAATAATAATAATAATAATAATAATAATAATAATAATAATAATAATACTAAAAATAATAATAATAATAATAATAATAATAATCGATTCTTAACTTCGCAGAACATCCACAGCTTGTTGCGGGCTCGAACTCGCAACTCACTGCTTCAAATTTTGCTTTGCTTAACCGCCCGGCCTCCTTGCCGATTCTGACCAGAAACTGGCGCACAGAGCTGGGATCGAACCCGCGCCTCTCTGTTCCAATCTTGGTACTGTGAACTTTAACCACTGGGCCACCCTGCCTATTAGTTCATTCCACTGCTCATTATGGTCGAAACACTTATCGGAATATTTTTTGAAATAATAGGCAGGCATCTAAAGTTGTGCCCCAGCGTGCCCTAGCTAAATAGTGCCTCATAACGAACTCCGACTGCGCGTTATCGTAGAATAGCCTTATCAGCTGCGTTTTCTCCTAACACATGCCTCATCTGAATATATTGAACATGACTTACGTCAATATATTGAACATGACTTACGTCCCAGAATAAACTTCAAGGCAGCAATAAAGTTTTGAGATAAGGTTCTGCGCATAAGAGGCTCGCAGCAGTCACCAACGAGGCGTTTAATTTTTCATATTTATTTCTGCGATCAAATATGAAATGCAACTCAGTTTTCTTATTTTTCAACTGCAGTTTACTTCATTTTTGGCGCATTTTCTCATTTATTGAAAAAATTACCTATTGTGCTCGTCATGTCCGTCTGTCTGACCGTCCGTCTGTCTGTGACTTCACGTTTTCGTCGACGAGAAAATGCGCTGTCTGTTACTCACTGCAGTGAGTACTGAGTTATATTTTTTTATAGAGTGACAATGATGCAAAGTAATTTTTAGCGCATTTTCTCATTTATGGAAAAATGCACTATTGTGCTCGCCATGTCCGTCTGTCTGTCTGTCTGTCTGTCCGTGACCTCAAGTTTTCGTCGACGAGAAATGCGCTCTCTGTCACTCACTGCAGTGAGTACTGAGTTATATTTTTTTATTTATCCCTCTTAATTTATGAAGAGAACTGAAGAGACATGGAAATTCTTTGAAGAGGTTAATGATGAGGGTTCTGCTTAATTCAGGGCTGAATAAATATTGTAGATCAGGAGTTCAAGAGAAGGCTCAATGTTTTTTCAGTGCTTTTTTTTTACTAAAGAATGATACCATCTCCCAACACCTGAGCCAGATGCACGTATTGAATGATATTGAATGAACGCAATAAAACAATATCGAAAATAGGAAATATACAGGGATACCAATATATAGAAGTACATTATCTGAAATCTTATATAAGCTCACTCCAAACTGTTGTTCACTTGACAGCGATGAAAGAGAAATTAGACTTGGAAAATAGCGACTGGCCAACGGTCCAATTTAATATTTCGGTCCCAGTTTGAAAATAAATTCATAATGTTAATTTTTTTAACGATTCGACAAACTTTTGAAAGTACTCTCTTCGTCTACATAGCTAGATATAACTGAAAAATTACAGGAGATTTATTCGTTCTTACGAATTGATTACAGAAAATGAGTGGATCGAACACTTATATAATAATAACACCACAATAATGAAATAATATACGAATAAAATAGATGAAATTTGGCGTAGCTAAGTTAAGAAAAAAGGTACGGAATTTGACAGTTTTGCTAACAGTTCTCAACGTCTCAGTTCATTATGATCAAAACACTTATCAAAATATTTTTTACACTTGTATTGTACCTCGAGATTTTCCACATATTTTCAGTGTCAGTACATATTAGCTGATGATTCTAATGGAATAATAATATAACATCTCACTCGCCGCAAAAGTTACGAAGGAACGTCCAACTCATGCTATGTATATAAATATCACACTCTGAAATATGATGTATATATTGTCAGTTTCAAAGGTTGCTTATTTATTTAATTTTCCTCTTATATTTATTTATATTTTAGTATGTCGTATCACATGGAAACGTACAAATCAATCACGCTTTTGAACAGAAACTATCGACGTGTAGCTTCCGTCTCAGACACTCTCACTTCTACATCAAATTGCACCAAAAATTATGAATTGATCAGGCGTGGCACCCTAGTGGTTCACGTCTCAACTCAGATACGAAGAAATTTCTATTCCAATTGTTGAAAAATCAACACGTTCCTAGGATAAATTTGCGAAGATTTTTGTGAAAAATAAATTTATTCGTTTTATTGGAGGTATGAATACTATGTTCTTTTAGGATAAGCTATAATTTATACTTTAATTCAAAATTGGTATTAATAAATTCTGCATAAAACTGGCCGAAGGTGGGATAAAGAATATGAGGTAAAATTGTTATTAAACTCGTAAATTATTTCTTTCGTTGATAATTAATTGCAAGACGTGCCTTATCATATACCCTAGTGCAATGTTATGCCCAGGTGCGGCTCTCGCAACCTGGGGGTTGATGCCCAGCGATTTATACACACGTTATGCATTTAGATTCGACTTTCCTTGTTCTCACTCCACATGCATTCGAATTCTTCTATAATAAAAAAATATAACTCAGTACTCACTGCAGTGAGTGACAGAGAGCGCATTTTCTCGTCGACGAAAACGTGAAGTCACGGGCGGACAGACAGACATGGCGAGCACAATAGTGCATTTTTTCATATATGAGAAAATGCGCTAAAAATAGTTTATGACTCATATGAATTTGAATATTATTGAAAATTCTGTAATGAAATTTGCATGTGATACAATTCTTGAATATCAAGCAAATGTAGTGTTTCTGAAATTCGGGAAAAAATGTCCACCGCAATGTTAAAATCTGGTTATATTTAAGAAACGTGCTAAGTTCATTTTATTCGAATTATTTCTTATGCGGAAAGGAGAGATTACTAAAATTATCAAGTTTCGTTAGATGTGGTTTAAAATATCCCGACTTCTGAAATTCGGCGGTAAACTGTATGCTCAAATCTCTCTTCAGCAAAACTATTTCGACATGAACATAGTTGCAATCAGCTACTTGGACTTGATGGTCTTCTATATCGGTTTCTATGCATCATACCTTTCAGCTTCTCTACTGCAATTTGACGCTAAATCCCATTCATCATTATTCATGATCGTTTCATAACGTAGTCCCGCACATTACCACTTTTATCAATCTCTGAGATTTCTAGCCATATGACAGTTCTCACGTGCAGCAATAGGCAATTTCACGAAGCACATGGTCAGCCTGTTGATTAAGAAGTAAATAACTTGTATAATCATACAGGCTCCAATTCCTCTGCAGATGGCATAAATCTTTGTTTCTCCACGAAACGAAGAGGTTATACGTGTGCGTTTCTATAGTGCAGCTGCGACCGCAGACATGAACACGGTAGCCCGGCTATGCTTGTTCTTTTTAATCACCAAAACAGGCAAGGGAGACTTTCTTATGACAAACATCTCTTAGTTTTTAGTCATTGACGAAATTTTGCTATATTTAAACAATTATTGAAAAGACGGAGTCATAGATCATCGTCTGTAATCTCCTCCTCCCGCAGGAGTAACTAGTTCTGAGGACCAAAGGACACAGCAGTTCTTCGATGGCTTCCCTGACGACGTCTGGGACTCGCTGGAGTCGTTGGAGTTGGAATCAATCATTAGCCAAGTTGTGCAAGGTGATTTTGCTCTCATTGCTGTTCATATATCTATGTTGATAGTTAGTGTGTCTTTTGTTGCTAATCAATCTTTCTCTTTTTCAGGCATTTAATTTGGTTAGATTCAATGCGTGACTTGCGTCGCCAATTAGAAGATTGATTTCAAAAATAAAATTGGCAGAGTTGGTGAAATGCAATTAAATTGTTTTCAAGGATCGATCAAGGCACCAAAGATGCATATTTTTATTAAGGTTCTCATTTAGTAAAGAGGCAGAAGCTAATAAAAAAGGTTGAAATACCAAACACAGGTACGATTAATTGAATTTTCATGGTAAAACATCACGGGTGCGTGTCCAAGACAGTTGAAGAGTTGCAAGGGAACATTTCTCTGTACGAGTGCCAGTATAAGACAAACAGGACAACTTGAAAGTAAAATAGTCAATAGACACATATTGAGCTTTGCCTCGAGCAAAAGCATATGACGCGTAAAATAGTATATACAGTAGTATCGGCGTTGAAAAACAGGCGAAGTTTGGCCTATCTTTCGTGAGTTGGCTGTACTTTGTCATTCTTCTCTCTGTTTGAACTCTTTACTGCGCGCATGATTTTATCAGTACGTTCAGAAGAACCGAATTACTCTCTTTTAAAACACTTCATCTCTTACAGAGTTATCATCTCTGGACTCACTGAGCCCCCGCGACCTGAACCCCGCGCTGCTGGAGGCGGACGGCGAGCGCACGGTCGTGTTCTGCGAGGCGTGTCACTTGGGCGTGGGCCGCTTGATCGACGCCTACGCCAATGGCACGTCTTTGGATGTCATCTTCAACCGCACGGTTGACTTGTGCATTAATCTCAACATCTCAAGTCCGATGTTCTGTGAAAATATGGTCGAAATTTCTAAGGTGAGTAAATGTTCTGTCGACTACTATAGCCTATAATCTAGTTCTGGATTTAAATTTTAGACATTTTCTGCATGCGCAGGGCTCAATGTTGCACTAGTAAGTCGAAGGTAGAGATCTTATTAACTTCTAACAATAATATACCGACAACTGTAGCTAGCAAGACGAACCCATCGTACTCAAAACTTTGCAGAAGTTTGGCATTTCCTATTGAATAATTTATCTCAGAATAGGGTGCTTTAGAAAAATATTCATAATGATATGTAATCAATAAAACTAAGTATGATTGCTTAAGTTTCTCCTGAGTCATTTAAGAGCTAGATACCGTAACACTTGGCATGTTGAAAGTTTTTAATCGTAACACATGGCGTGTTGGTAGGTGGCGTGTTGCAATGGGAACATTTCGTTGCAAGATTATCTTGGGTTTGGTAGCAAGTATTTTGTTGAGCAAGCATAACTACTTAAAAATATAACTCAATACTCACTGCAGTGAGTGACAGAGGGCGCATTTTCTCGAACGTCCGTCCGTGAAATCACGGACAGAAAGACGGACATTCAGACGGACGGACATGACGAGCACAATAGCGCCATTTTTTACATAAATGAGAAAATTCGCTAAAAATAGCTCGTGAACTCGAACGTTTTTGCGTGCCACCTGAAAGGCCCTTGCGTTTCATTAGTTATACAAGTACTACACACACTTAAAAAGCCCTGCGTTAAACAACATTTTTCCATACCCACGTTGCAGCCGCAAGTCAGTTGGATCATCACACACACGAACCTGACGGCCAAGGACGTATGTGGCGTTTTGTTCGTGAGGCAAGATTGTCAGTCCGACAACCCCGAGCGGGAGTGGCAAATTGACCTGCCGTCGGACGTGAAACCACCACTCGTAAAAATTCCTATTCCTCCGGTGAGTGCATGCTAACCCAATGTTTATGATAAGTTATGCTTATGACCCTATATATGGCCCGATGAGGGACAGAATAAGTCCACGCATTCTCGTGATGCCGGTATTGTTGCGCGCACGCAGTCATCCGATTATATTGCGATTAAAGAAAAAGAATCAACAATTCAATCACAATTAATACTCCCAGTTTACCATGCTATTATTGGAAATTGTGTCTTGACTCTCGAGCTACTTTTACCGTAATACAAGTCTTCTACAAAATTATTGAATAGTATGTATGGAGGCTTGTTCTCATATGCAAAATATAGAATGTCATCAAGTAAACTGCTTTCTCTATAAGTAACAAGTCCCGCTTGCTCCTACTTATATAGTGATACAGATATTTTCATTGCTGTTTTATGCTTACAAGCAGCTTTTGTGTTAATTTCACACTCATACGCATTTACGAGAAACTGTGTTATTCCACCAGGAATCTCCGACATTGAAAGTCCTGCACCTGGCAGATACCCACTTCGACCCTTACTACAAGCCAGGCTCCAACGCCGTGTGTGACGAAATTTTCTTTTGTTGCCGTGAAGAGAGTGGTGAGTGGATGGAGTAAAGACAGTTCAACTATAATGGGCAGTTCAATGACGTTGTTGGAAAAACTTTGGCAAACATTATGAAGAAACATTGATCAATGAACCCATTTCAAGCGAGTGAAAAGTTGCAAAGTTATGTATCAGTGACACCGAAATTTCAGCAGATAACCTGATGGATGGGTTAACCTACATTCACCGGAGTTTGAATTCTTTAACATAATTACAATATTCACCGTATGAAGCGTTTCTCACAACAATTTGTTGTTATTAGGACCCGTGAAAGCACCCGAGGACGCGGCCGGTTTTTGGGGTGACTACAGAGCTTGTGACATACCCAAATGGACCATCGAGGCAATATACGAGCACATTCTCGCCGAGCACCCGGTTAGTATGTAGTTTATCAGAATTAATGTACATGAATCGTTGCAAACACGTCCCCCTATGAACATGATAAATGTTTCCTACCTTACCAAACAATGTTTCAAAGTATTGCGTTTCGCTTCAGGACATTTCGTTCATCATCTGGACGGGTGACCTGGTGCCGCACGACGTTTGGAACACGTCCCGTGAGGGCAACCTGAACATCATCCGCGAGTCCGTGGCCACGGTGGCACAATACTTCCCATCCATCCCCGTCTTCCCCGCTCTGGGGAATCACGAGTCTGATCCTCTGAACGCGTAAGTCTACAGCTCTGAGCGTTGCAGGTGAAACGAACTCCAAAGAAATGGTTACCTACACGTATTTTTGAGGACTCAGTCCGCTGTTTGGAACGCATGTAGTGGTTACAGTGGATAATTAGAATTACAGTACGTCAGAGCATCATTTGTTATTTCAATTTAGGTATCAAACATCTCTGGACGGTCATATTAATCCTAACACCGGCCAATCATTTAGATTAACATTTGCGACAGATTCTCTCAACCATACATCGACAACGAGTTCAGCATGGACTGGCTGTACGGTGAGGTGGCAAGCCTTTGGCAGACGTGGCTTCCGGAAGACGTTGCAGCAACAATTGCTTACTCAGGTTCCTACAGCGTAGACGTGAGTAGCTATAAGTACTTTTACATGCAAAACACTAAGGAAGTAATGAATTCTCAGGTTTCTACAATTTGCAGTTGAAGGCAATTACCGTTAACGAACTAATAGAACAAGGAAGACACTAACGTGAGATTTCGAGGGCAATTAATTATATTTAATAAATTAAGAAGGAATATAAGGTATCCACTGTTTTTTAAAGAATTCTTTGCATTTCAGGTGTTTCCAGATCTACGGTTGCTTTCCGTCAACACGAACTATTGCTACGGCTTCAACTGGTAATAACGTTAAACTTGTCTTACATTTCTCATTTCTCGTGCGTTGCAGTGGTTTTTCTCTTTCGCAACAGTTATGATTCAATATAAGGTTTTACAGGTTGTATATGGGAATTATCTATTTATTCGGTTGCGCGACGTCTACCACACAGGTGGCTGTTGTATGATTCGGTGGACCCTGGGGAGGTGCTCGAGTGGATGGCTGGGGAGTTACAGAGGGCTGAGGATGATGGGGTTTACGTGTACCTCATCAGCCACATCCCCTCAGGGGATGTTGACTGTCATTACACTTGGAGCAGAGAATATGCCAAACTTGTCGCCAGGTGAGATTTGTTATTGAAACCTTCCACTTCAGACATATATAAATTGACCATATCTAGTAATCTCGTAACTGGACGTATTTCATTTGGTTCTTGTGGTTTTTATAAGTGTCTTGTATATTCCAAACCTGAAAGTTTTCCATAATGAACATCGCGCACGACATTATTACATATTTTAAATGTTTGAGCAGATATGAAGGAGTGATCGCTGGCATCTTCTACGGCCACACTCACAACGATCAGTTTCAAATGTTCTTCGACCCCGAAGATAAATCACGACCGATCGAAGTTGGTTTTGTGGCTCAGAGCCAGACAACTTACGAGGACCTGAATTCTGGATACAAGATATACACCATCGATGGCGGCCACGAAAACTCAACTTATGTAAGGACAATTTGTAGTGAACGAGCAAAAAAAAGCAATATCATCCGTTTAACCCTGATCACAAAAATTATATTATTCTTATTATATTATTATACTATTCTGTATTGAAATATGTCGTCAAAATCCCAAGCGATGACTGAATTAAAAGGTCATTGTTGTAGGCAAATTAAACGACGAAGAAGGTTATTACAATTGTGCTCATTCACATGACCTTCACCATCTGTGATGATTGGTAATTTCCTAACCGGAATGCTTAAGCAACTTCGGCTAACCATAATAGAGCCTTTTAAAATGAGCCTGTCCAGTTAAGATACTAGTGATGAGGGACCACGAGCAGTCCTCAGTTTACGAGCATCTCGACAGACAAGCACGTGATAGTTCGTCATTTATTTAATAGATGTTAATGGCAACAAATTACGTTCATCCGGACTTCCATATAGGAGGATCTATAGGGTATATAAACATGGAGCATAGATAGGCAATTTAATTGAATTAAATCTAATGAACGTCGGTGCTAAAGGATTCAGCGCGAAAATAAATCAAGTTTCAAGCATTATCCTATTTTCTATTCTCACGTTTCAGACCGTCCTGGACCACGAGAACTGGTACTTCGACTTGGACAGAGCAAACTTTGAGATGGTACCAACCTTTGAACTCCTTTACTCTGCAAAGGATGCATATAGGTGAGTGAACTCTTGGTCAATGTGTCTGCAATTGTGTGCGTAAATGTTGTACGTTCAAATGTCAAGTAAACTTTCTCATAAATTCAACTTTAAAAAAAATTATGCGATTAGCCTAATCATAGTTTTTGGGGAATATAAAATTGAGGTACTAAAAAATTAACGTAGCGTAATTTACTAAATGAATACATAAGTAAATTTTCTTAGTTATTAATAAATGTTTATCTTCATCGAAAATATCATCATTTCAAACACTTATTCGTGGTCAGCATGCCAGACTTGAGCCCGCAGTCGCACCTTGATCTTATCTACGAGATGGCGCAGAACAACAGCGCTACATTCGACCTCTTCTTCAGGTGAGCTTCACATATTTACACACAATCAAGCTTGTTCTTTTCAATGCTAATAGATGAATAAACGCATATTAAAAACTTGCCATGGACGTTACTCCACTGTTTGTGAAGACGCCCAATGCACTGGATTCTGATCTCGGGAAAATATTTTCGCTGCATCTGACCGAGGATTCGGTAATCGTTGTGCTACGAAAACTATTCTGTACCCCTTCTAAAAAGTGAGATGTTCAACACCGCACCTGCCACTAAATTAAGTAAAAATATGTATCAATTATGTTCCAACTTCCTTCAATGCACTACTTCAGTATCTCCGCAACTCACCCGTGAAGTATATCCCTAAATATACGGGAAGAACAGCGTTTACACGGCATTTTATCAAACGGTTAATAGTCTGTGTAGGCCTATTTGCATTGGCTACAAAAATTATTCATTTGCATGCATAAAAAATTAGTTGAATAGTAATGGACTTGACTTGACTGGATCTACAAATTTTAATATATTAGGCAATAGAAATGATTTTTTGTAAAGCTTACGCTTCTGAATTTTTTAAGCTCTAATTGAGGCAGTACTGCAGCCAACATTTGACACGCTTTGCTCTGTTCTTCACCTATAATAAAAAATAATTCATTTCTTTAGAATAAAAGAAGCTTTATCGTCACTCAGGAACTACGTGAAGGCCGGCAGACCGAGGATGGAAGAAGGCTGTGACGAGGACTGCAAGAGCGACCTGCTGTGCAGGCTGTTGGTGACCGACACGTCAGACCGCTCGGTCTGCCGCCGTGTCCTCTAAACTGCATAAATAAAATATGACGTTAAATCGTTTTTATTTATCTTCCGTTTCAAAAGGCATTCCATCATCTTCAATTGATTTTTTAAATATTGATTTGGTGTAAGAATGATACAGCATTAATAGGATTTTTTCATAACACTATTTGTTTGCAAAAATCAGATGGAATTTATGTAAAGATGTTAGAGGAAAATTTATCAATAATAGCAAAGCGGCTCAAAAGATGCGATAATTAAATAAATAAACGCATTTTTTACTGAAAAACATGTCTTCTTGAGTAATGGCTGAAAATTTTTTCCGTGAATATAAATGACTCACTAAAAGACTCACTTAATTTTTCTTAATCTTAATGTGAACATGTGAACCTTTGGAATTTATTCTATTTCCGTTTATTATTTGGCAGTTAAATACCTAACTATAATAGATCAATTTACAGCATAAAAAATTGAAAAAAGTCCTCCTTTCTCTCATCTTCCGCACTCTTTACATCATTTACAGTTTACACTCTCAATCACAGCCATAGTAACTCGCCACAGCGAACCCATTATATCTGCAGCCCACACGTCATCTGTTCTCTCGCATAATGTTACTACAGAGATTTGCAACACAAACATTAACCTTCAATGAAAAATAAAGAGAACTCTTGTATTCTGCCAGGTCATCCAACGATATTGATAGCTAGAAGGGTCGTAGTCGGGGTCTTAATAAGATATTAAACGCCGGAGATTAGATGACACGTTTCAAAATTAGCTTGTTCGATGAGAAGAAAAACTTAAATTCCTCACGACTCATAAGAACAATTAGATCCGATCCTTACTCATTGATATTACATTGAACGCAACACATGTGAGAAAATGTTACACGTACTAAGTCAACTAATTCACAATAAACTTTCATTTGTTGCGCATAATTTATTATGCAATAATATACTGTAGACTGGTAATTCAGGTTTTGAAAAATCCAATCATGATGTTCCGACCAACATCAGATATGCTAACCACTCTCAAGAAAAATATTTCCTCCAAATTAATATTGCCTATGATTCTATGGAAATCATCTAATTATTTTCTCTTAAAACATATTTCTTACAATGCACAATTGAATTATTTTCACACCTCTTACGCCAACAGGTGGCATTATTCTATTCCAAAACACCGCAATGAGGTCACATTTGTCAATTCCCTCTCGTGGACTATCTCAGTTGCCATCTGCCTGTATTCACGGGGAGTTCAAGGTTATTTGAGAACATATAGTTTCTAGGTTATTTTTATGATGTGAATTACTGATAGTCAAGCAGGTTCTAATTCCCCAGCTGACGTGATGAGCCTTTCTATTTTGCATTAAGTAAATGTCCAGGTTTGTATCTAGTGCTTCTGTGACCGCAGACATGGACACATGGCAATTTATGCTCTTTCTTATTCTTATTTCAGGTAAGATCAAGTTGCTTGTGCAACATCTGCTTCTCCGGTGCTAATGTCGCTTCAAATATTTGCTTGATTTCACCACTTAATTACGTATCCGGAAAACTATGCACCTGAAACACTCGTCATTATGGTGTTTTTTTTTTGCTGAATGGTACGTACCAGTCTAGCATCCAAGCTTCATTAATCGTATCAACAAGAGCAGAATGCGTGTGTTTATTTAGGGGGAAACTGTAATGAGTTGCCATCAACAGTTTGCCTCCGTCCGAAAAAATTGAAGTGTGGAGACGAACGGAAGCAATGCGCCGACGTTGCATAGTGATTGTTTGGTGATATTTTATTAATATTAATTAATTTAAATGAATTTGAACATCTTCTTTAGCTTGCATAATGTACAGTAAATAAATTTAATGTAAGTCACCACTATCCTGCTAAAGAATGGCTTACCTCAGACCTTGGGTTTGCATAAATCATTTCCAAGACTTCTCATTTCCAGTTCCATTTTTTAACTATACTATAGAGTATAGATCATCGTCTGTGCTTCCCCCGCAGGAGTGGCGAGCTCTAAAGACCTGGGGACGCAGCAGTTCTTCGATGGCTTTCCTGACGACGTCTGGGACTCGCTGGAGACTGAGGATGTGATATCAATTGTCAGCCAATTTATAGAAGGTGATTCTACTACTTTGCTATTCTACATTTATTATTTGTTCACTTTATGCAACCTTTTTTCGTCTCATCAACTTCAAATTTATTTTCTTTACATTCAACAGGACCCTCTCTGTTTAAACTCTGCAATTTTAAAGCGCCGTATATGTTATTTTTAAATACTTACTTCTTTACAGAGTTAACATCATCGGACTCCCTCTCCTCCCGCGACCTGAACCCCGCGCTGCTGGAGACGGACGGCGAGCGCACGGTCGTGTTCTGCGAGGCGTGTCACTTGGGCGTGGGGCGCTTGATCGACGCCTACGCCAATGGCACGTCTTTGGACGTCATCTTCAACCGCACGGTTGACTTGTGCATTAATCTCAACATTTCAAGTCCCATGTTCTGTGAAAATATGATCGAAATTTCCAAGGTGACAACAATTGAGCACTTTACTGCTTGTGGACTAGATTCCTACCTAGATTCAATGGTGTTCGCCATGCTGCAGATAATGCTGGTCATTGCGTAATTAGGGTCTTTACTGAATTGAGAGAATATTCGTACCATCTTTTTAATAAATGCTACAGGGCGACGAAATGAACGTCCTTGCATTAAGTTAGTAAGGGAGAGGTAAGAAAGTGATAAGATATCGATTGATTATAGTAAGCGCGAACCATTTTGTTGCTGAAGCTCTTTTTCAACATTCAATTAATAACTTTCAAAATATATAAATGACTATTCAATTTTCCGCCAAATATATATTTTACCATATATTTCTTCAATCATCGAATCATATATGTATATAATATAACCTCATTCACTACGAAAATCAACGATCTCGTTTCGCAACTAAACTTGTGACTAAAAATATAGTTATATAACATTGAATCTTTCTTTTCCTGCGTGCAGCCTCAAGTCAGTTGGATCATCACACACAAGAACCTGACGGCCAAGGACGTGTGTGGCGTTATTTTCGTGAGTCAAAATTGCCAATCCGACAACCCTGAGCGGGAGTGGCAAGTCGACCTGCCGTCGGACGTGAAACCACCACTAGTAAACACTCCCATTGATCCGGTAGGTCAGACCGATCAGGGCCTATACTTTAAATAAAAAAGAAGTTTAGAGATCGTAAGTTCAGCAGCCAATCATTGACGGCCTTTCAAGCAAAATCCACCAATCATAGACAAGAAAATAGAGCGAAAGTACTTACGTTCACTGAGCGAGTTTTGTATGTATGGCCCCAGATCTTAACTCTTTTATCTTCTTGTTGGGCAAAATGTCAAACATTCATTCCTCATTGTTAGAAAGCAGCTAAAAGCCCAGTTCGTCCAGCTTCAATAACAACCAACATTTTTTAAGCATGTTTCCTATACTGTTAACAATACATTTCTATATAAACAATATTCCCAATTCTCCATAAAGCTGAACGTCAGACTTGTGACATATGTATAACATAACTCGAAACTACCGACAGTTTAACTGACAATAATTTTGAATTATCCTCCTTTCTATTACGCATTGCAAAATCATTTGTGTTCAAGAATTCTACTCGAAGTTGCCGTCTAGCCAGTTACATTTGCACTGTATAGCAGAAGAACGAAGAATCGAACAACACAAGGTTTCCAACGTCAATGTGTTCACTGGCATCGTGATGAAATATCCAGACGCACACAGATTGAGAAGTGTCGGATGCCTTAATTTTCAAGCTTTTATTTATTATTTGGACTACCTACATTTAATTTTACAGTTGTATTAAATATTTAAGAGCCATAAACGAGTTATACAAGCAATTATTTACATGAAAAATGCGAATTTTGCTTTCCTAGATTTATAATTGAAATGGCCTATCGAATATGTGTCACATCTATTGAAAAGATAAATATTATTATTTGAAAGCATGACTTGCAGAATACCTCGTTCATCAAACCCTACAAAAAGGGAATCATTAACAAAATCTTACACTAATTTCATTCAAAACTCTAATAAAATATATCTGCGTTTCGTGTATATTATCAACTATGAGGATTCATGATGCTCTGCATTGATTAACTCGCCTGCTCACGTAATTATTTCGACCAGGGATCTCCGACATTGAAAGTACTGCACCTGGCAGACACCCACTTCGACCCTTACTACAAGCCAGGTTCTAATGCAGTGTGTGATGAAATCTTCTTTTGTTGCCGTGAAGAGAGTGGTGAGTGGGATGACTGTCAATACGTATGAAATTTTCGTCAAAAAGAGAATATTTAATACAAATCCTACTTTCAAACTATGCGCTGTCTCTTCACTGTGATGTGAAAAGTGCAGATATATGACTGAACAATGTATGGCATTCAATAGTGTAGTTGTAGCATTTCAAAAAATGTTGAACGCATCATCATGTATTAACTGTTCTGCTAAATGCAGTGAATATAGGTTGTAAAATTTTCTTCGCATTTGGTATCAGCCGACGCAATTGAACGTCTCAAAGACAACCTCACAAAAAAACGATTACACCACAGAATATTGCGAAACCAACACGCGAAGAATTAACCGGTGATAACATTCTAAATACGTTTGACTGTTGTCAGGGCCCGTAAAAGCACCTGAGGATTCGGCAGGCTTCTGGGGCGACTACCGAGCTTGTGACTTACCTAAATGGACTGTCGAAGCCATCTACGAGCACATTCTCGCCGAGCACCCGGTTAGTAGTTCATCATGAGCATTTTGTATTTGTCAGCATTTGTAAGCATCATAAGCATTTTTGTATTTCTGTGTTCAAAAGCCATAAAAGTAAAAATTTTAAACAGCAAAAAGTTTAGTTTTTCGTTAAAAAAAGGCAGCGAACTTTTGCGTTCTGCTCCAGGACATTTCGTTCATCATCTGGACAGGCGACCTGGTGCCGCACGACGTCTGGAACACGTCCCGTGAGGGCAACCTAAACATCATCCGCGAGTCCGTGGCTACGGTGGCACAGTACTTCCCATCCATCCCAGTCTTCCCCGCTCTGGGGAATCACGAGGCCGATCCTCTCAATGCGTCAGTCGATAAAAAATACGCCTTTTTCGAATGATGTAAAATCCATTACATTCGTTGTTCATATACCAAAGACCGCAAAATAAAACTCGATGTAATATTGTAGTTTTTTTAGGAAAATCTGTTCGTGGATATATTTTGTATTCTCTGATTTAATAAGCGGAGACAGTTCTGGTACTGGATAAAATCTATATTCAAATTAATTTGAAATTTTTTTCAAAACAGATTCTCTCAGCCATACATCGACAACGAGTTCAGCATGGACTGGCTGTACGGCGAGGTGGCAAGCCTTTGGCAGACGTGGCTTCCGGAAGACGTAGCAACAACAATTGCTTACTCCGGTTACTACATTGTTGACGTGAGCTGCCAGAAAGAAGTTTGCTCGTGAAATGCCGTCGAGTTTGTTATCAGGAGAAATCTCAGCTTTTACTCGCGTGCAAAGACCTCCATGAATTACTTTACAAAGAGGAGGACGTCTTTATATATAGGGAATAAAAAATGTTTTAGCTAAAAATGTCGTCTTGGTTGTCGTATTTTGCATGCATGTTATTGCACTTATTTTATTTCAGGTATTTCCAGACCTGCGCCTGCTGTCCATAAATACAAACTATTGCTACGGGTACAACTGGTAAGGAAATTTAAACGTGTCTTGCTCCACACATGCGTTTCCTGAAATACCTAAACTTGAATTTACTGTCGTGCTTGTCAGCAACTAAAATTTTCGCCACGCAGGTGGCTACTTTACGACTCCGTCGACCCTGGGGAGGTGCTTGAGTGGATGGCTGGGGAGCTGCAGAGGGCTGAAGATGATGCGGTGTACGTGTACCTCATCAGCCACATCCCCTCTGGCCATGACGACTGCCATTACACTTGGAGCAGGGAATACTCCAAGATCGTGGCAAGGTGAGACTCAAATCCTGTTTCTCCCTCGTAAATTCTATTCTTGCCAGTATGTTTAGTTACTGCAATACAAATTCACTCAAGCATCAACTGTAAACGTATCACGGCGCAGGGTTTTGAAGGACATGCTTGTGTAATGCGCAGATATGAAGGAGTGATCGCTGGCATCTTCTACGGCCACACACACAAGGATCATTTCCAAATGTTCTTCGATCCTGACGATCCCTCCCGACCGATTGAAGTTGGTTTTGTAGCTCAAAGCCAGACAACTTACTCGGACCTTAATTCTGGATACAAGATATACACCATCGATGGTGGCCATGAAAACTCAACTTACGTGAGGATAATTTTTTCTTATTCTTCGAATACTTGAATTGTGCGTTCATCAAATCTCAAGCTTAAATCATATTTTAGATTGAATAAAAAATTACAGAACTTCAATAACCCAACATTTAATAAGTAACATTAGCAGTGGAAAGAATCAAGTTTCGCAACCAGACTGTTATGCTCAAATTCCATTTCAGACCGTCCTGGACCACGAGAACTGGTACTTTGACTTGGACAGAGCAAACTTTGAGATGGTACCAACCTTCGAACTACTTTACTCTGCAAAGGAAGCTTATAAGTAAGTACTGATGTGTGTGAGCTCGCTACGCAATCAATTTTCTGGAACTTTCAGAAATAATAAACAACATATCAAAAAATTTTCTCTGTAGTTCCTTCTGAACAAATTATTAGTGTTTTTTTTATGCTGCTATTGCCTATTATTCATTTGGGAAGAGGCCCATGCGATTTCTGTTTTGTTTCTTTTTAGCGCATTTTCTCATTTATGGAAAAAATGCACTATTGTGCTCGCCATGTACGTCTGTCTGTCTGTCCGTCCGTCTGTCCGTGACCTCAAGTTTTCGTCGACGAGAAAATGCGCTCAAAAAAAATATAACTCAGTACTCACTGCAGTGAGTACTGAGTTATATTTTTTATTCAATCGGTTGGAAAGATTCAATTGCTATTCTCTAGCAATTCAACTAAATCATTATCTCTATCATAACAAATAACTCTTTAAACATTTGGTCAGCATGCCAGACTTGAGCCCGCAGTCGCACCTTGATCTTATCTACGAGATGGCGCAGAACAACAGCGCTACATTTGACCTCTTCTACAGGTGAGCTTCGACCTGAAGACCGGGCAGTCAATGCTCATTGCTTTCCCTTTCTATTCGATGTTTTATTGATTGAAAATTTTCGGTTGAAATCACGTTATGACCAACGTGTTGTGATGTTTGTTCTCCTTAGTATTCAATTGCATAATGTCCTTTGTTTCACTACGTCTATGATTATTTGCCATGTTCCATTTCGAGCGTCTGAAGTTTTAAATGATCGATAACTAATTAAGTTAAGCATTGTAAACATCCACGAAATATTAAATTCCAGGCTTGACTACTTATTTCTTTTTCCACCCTGATCAAATGCACGTGTTAAAAATCCTCCAACAAAATCTAATATTTTTGACGCCGTGAATGTGAGGGTATTTTCTATTCTCTTCGTTATTTTCCACCATAAGCGCAATGAAAATCTGTCCGTACCTCAAAGTCGACCGAAAATTTGACGGTGTGCGTAAGCACTCTTTGTTCTGTTCAACATCGAGTATAAAAAATCGTTATCCTCCCTCAGGAACTACGTGAAGGCCGGCAGACCGAGGATGGAAGAAGGCTGTGACGAGGACTGCAAGAGCGACCTGCTGTGCAGGCTGCTGGTGGCCGACACGTCAGACCGCTCCATCTGCCGCCTCGTTCTCTAACCTACCTAATAATAAAATTAAAAATTAAATTAATTTGATCATACTTTTCAAATCAATAATTTGGGCATCTTTGATTCTGAACATTCATTTTTTATTTGTTGTATAGAAAGTGATTCAATTTAATCATTCTTAATTAAGCCGACGATTTATTTTCATCCAGATGAGATTTAAAACAAATCAAATTTGGTTACTCTCTGGTCATCTTCCACTGAAGTAAGCTCGGCCTGCACAATGTACTTAATACGGCTGAGAATAATAGAATTCTCTCTTCATAAGCCCCTTCAATACTATATTTGTATGACAGCACATAAAATAATCTGATTGTATGTAATAATATATGTTAGAGATTAGTAACATTTTCGATCCCCATATATTCATATAATTGACATATTCCTCATATTAACTCTAATTCTTAAACTGAATCACAGGTAAGAGTGATTCAGCTCAACTCTTTGAATCACAGGTTTCACGCGATGAGACTCCAGTTGTGTCTTGATCCAGTGGCCTGGAAACGATATATTTATAACGTAGGCGGACGATCAAACGATCGCTTGTAGCGTAGAGTGCCTGATTAGCCAAATTTCCGGTCTTAAAATAATCACGTCCGGCCTTGCGGACGACCATTCAAGCCGCTGCCGAGTCCAATTTATCTTGTCACCTCCCACGCACCGCGGTACACGCTATCTAGCTTATCCAATACACTAAAAAAAATTAATTGGTCATATTGTCCAAATAGTGAAACATTTTTACCTCTAGCATGAGTAGAGAGCTGACTATGCACTAATGCTCCCTTATGTCAGGCAAACTGAATCAGGATGCCCCACACAAAGTAAAAATTACATTGATATTTGAACAACGTTTCAATAATTTCCTTAAGTGTACCTCGGCTACTCGAGGAAGGTAACAGCTAAGCTTCCGTGACATCCATTTTACGAAGGGATGTAAGATCACGTTCGTGATAACCGAGAGAATTTCTCTAAAGTTTGCAGCCAGTTCTCGATATGTTAATATTATAATTACAAAAATAAAATGGAATATACGTATAACGACCATGAAGTTGAATAGCATAATTATGTCTGCACTTGTGTACAGAGTTATTGATTGAAATCACAGTTCTTCACGGTGATGTACGTTTGTGTGCATAACTTGTTGAACCGTGATATAGTTACTGTATATAGTTTCAGTAGGAGCCTTGCTATAATGTTACTGAAACTATACTGATAATATAGTTTCAGTATATCTACAGCATGAAGTAAATAGTTTAGATTAATTTATCCTTTGGGTTTTGTGCCCAAAGTTTACACAGTTTATTTAATTAAACTAATTGGCATAAACAAAGTAACTACATGGATGTAATTGTTTTGTTTGTTAACTACAGATAATAATATTCCAACATGAAAGCGGTTTAAAAAAGTTAAACATATTTCCTTCAAAGAAACTTCATTGATCGTATGGGGAAAATATTTAGCGGAAGACTATTTTGAAAAATTGAACTTAGAAAATGCAAACAAACGGTAAGTAAACACCATTTTTTTAGTCTGCAATTCAGGCAAGTAGCACGGCCTCATTGGGCCGAGGTCGGTCTGAGGTATATAAGAGCCGTCCGCTCAGGTGACTGGTCAGTCTCCAGAGGGAAGGGATCAGGTAAGCGGTATTAGTTAAAGTAGAGCTGATAAAGTCGGTGAAAGGTACTGTTAAATCTATGAAACTTGATCTATTTCTTTTTAAGTAAATTAGTTGGAATGCGAGCATCACAAATATTTTATTAGGGGCCAAACTACACTGCATATTTTTACTGTGAAAAGCATAGTTTTAGCTCCCAGAGGAAAATGTATTATTATCAATCGTTAAAGGATTCATAAGCAATTTACTCTAGAATATTATTCATAAGAACAAAATTTCAGAAAAAATGCTAAGCAAAATATAAAGCGACGTGACAGGGTGCGATGTTAAAACTCTACGGTAAGTGCATATGAAGTTTAAATTACTCCAAGTCTTTCATTTCCAATGTTTCGATAAAACCCAATTAAGTTGCTATTGCTTTTGATACCCACGCTTATTAAGTAATTATTCCGCCTAAATCTAAAAGTATCAGATGTATCGAAAAATATCGGATAGCTCATGAAGTCTGTGAGAAAATCTTGTTTCAGTTAAATTTCTTAATTGAGATTTGTAAATTTATGCGTCAAATGAACGAACTTTTTTCGACTAAAGGATAGCCATTCACAAGAAAGAACAAGAGATATTCCCAACCAGCAGGTGTTGTTTCTTAGATCTAAATGTATTTAGGGCACTGAAGTATTCAGAAATAATTTATTGGATAGTGTATAATTATTTTGAGCATTTCTTTGAAAAGAAACAAAATTGACTTACCTGAAGATAATGGTTTTCTGATTTGTCACTTTCTAGCAGACAAACACTTCCAGCAAGCAGAAAAAAACACTTCCATCTTGCCAAAAAGGTACACGTTGTTGGTCAGTTTTCATCCCATCCTTACACTTTCAATCAAATTTTACACTTCACTAAAAGTATACATGCACGAAAGTGTAGGAGAGAAAAATGTATATATGCAATTACAATTACAACATTTTTACTACTGAAATAGTGAACCATCTCTTGTCGGCATTTAAAGATCGAATACGAGACTAGTCAACATCTGATTTTTAATTAATTATATAGCACGGTTATTATAGAGTGTCTGTCACCATATTTTAAATGTAACTTAATTGCATCGGACTCGTAACAAACGTTCAAAATTATTCGAGATCAGGAAATTGTATTACTAGTATCTATTTATGCGCATTAAATCTTGTTGGAGTAATGAAATGTTGATCCAAGGCTAAAAGAGTTTATATTACAGTCAGCAAGTTTATTGCGAAACTTCTGTACATTCTACAACTTCGGATGGCAGTTGTTCTGCGTAAGCACCTAAAATTATATATGCTAAGCCGAAATGGAGCCACTAGAAAACCAACACTTGGTGACCACGGTAGGACATTTGACATGGTAGGCTCACGATCTTCACATTTGGGTGCTCATGGATTTCACATTTGGGTGCTCATGGACTTCACATTTGGGTGCTCATGGACATCACATTTGGGTGCTCATGGATTTCACATTTGGGTGCTCATGGATTTCACATTTGGGTGCTCATGGACATCACATTTGGGTGTTTACAATCTTCGTCTTCATAAAAGTGATGTAACTTTCGGTTAACTGAAGGCAATGACTTGCAAATGTTTGTGGCCAGCGCGATGTTTTATAGGGTTATGGTCTATAGGGTTTTAGTCTGTAATTATAGTCCATAAATTTAATTATATAGCGCTAATGTGCGTTCGGGCTTGTGTATTTAGAAAGGAGACTTGGAGCCGATTTAATAGAAATTTATGTATTAATAACAATCCATTGTTAGTTGTAGTTGCTGCAATTGCTTTACCAAATACTGGACAATTCTCAGATATTCAATTCAAATGGAAAATTTCTATTAAAAAATTGTGACTTATTAGTGCACTTCTAACCATTAGTCGTGTGACGCGACCGAAGTTTAAAAATGGCCGCGATCGGTGGGCTAAATTACGTGTACCACTTGCGTTAAGTTCTATTTCTGTATCGCGCGCTACTGTCCAGCCGGTCTTCGTGTGGTTCTGACACCTTCTTGACACTCAAGTCTGTGATCATGACACCCGAAACTACTTTTGGACAACTCCGGCAAATCTAACATGTCGAACATCGCCTACATTACTCAGTCTCAAATTACAAAGCTCCTTGTAAAGAGCACCGCACCGTGACGTCGTTCTTTGGCCCTTGCAATTTACCGTGATTAATACTATGGTTTCAGTATCAAACTTTGGCATCCCTGGATTGATGTGCTAGACCACCAGTCGTGATGGGAGCCGCGCTCCACCTGATAACTCAATAGGCCATCAAAGCTAAAGTTTCAACTTGTTCACTGGTAATCATGGCCCCTAAAAAAACTTGGGACATCTAAAAATTCCAGGAGTCTTCTATTTTTAGGTGTACTGTAGTCGGCCACTGAATTGCGCTTTATTAGAGAACAACGTACATCAACTTTTTCGTCTTGTTCTGCGCTCAAGGCTGGTCTGAATTAAAGCGGTTTGTGCAGATTTATTATTACACGCGAGCATCAAAGAAATAGTAATTTTAATTATTTCGATCTCGAGAAAAATAATGCCTTTAAGAAATTCTTATGCGAGACTTGAATAATCTCATACAATTTCGAATAAATTGTGTTTCAAGCACTAAATTTCCAGCTAAATTTTAAATAGATTGCAAGCATCATTTATATAATGTATGTTTAAGTTAAGATAATTTTGATCGCCGAACGACTAACTGTTGACTTTCCAACTATACGCAATGATTTAACCTACCATCATTGGAATGTAATTTTCGCTGTACATCGACGATGAAATGTACAATTTTGCCCATTTATTTATTTATTATGCAATATTCGTAAGAAGCTCTGGAAAAAATTACCATTTTTAGCGAATTTTCTTACTTATGGAAACAAAGGCGCTATTGTGCTCGTCATGTCCGTCTGTCTGTCCGTCTGTCCGTCCGTCCGTCTGTCCGTCCACTGTCCGTAACTTCACGTTTTCGTCGGCGAAAAAATGCGCTCTCTGTCACTCACTGCAGTGAGTACCGAGTTATATTTTTTTATTTAGGGAAAACTTAAGTACGTAAGGTACAGTGCTAAAAAAAGTTTTGATATCGGGATTTACTTATGCGTGTATTTCCGTAAAGTTAGATCTTATTTCAAGCAAGATCCTTCATTAAATTTTATTATTTTCATTACATAATTACTAATTTACCCCTTTGTCTCAATACAAGAAGCACTGTTACTGCTATTCGTATCTATTCGTACTTGGTAACTAGATATAAAGCAAGCATTGGTAGTCCTAGGTTTGTAATCCATTGGCGATATTAGTTGTTTAAATTGTAGTAGGTTGCATTATTTGTTGTCATGTGTCATTCTTGACGCAAAAATTTAGTATCTCCTGCGCCTAAAAATTCACTTTATTAGCGTTGCATTTTTTCATACATGAGCAGTAGCGTGAAAACTGAACAAGTATAGTTTGTAGTTTTTCTCTTTGAAAGAGATATTGCGTATAAAAGTGAAATCGCTGATGTGGCGAACTCCTGTTTGCCACATCGAATTAAGTCCTGTTCTGTACTTAATTACACGCCTCAGTTTTTGAAGAACTTGCTGTGATCTTAAGCGAAATTTTATTTATGATCTTGTTTCTTTCGCGACAGCAAATATCTTCACTCCACGGAAAATTCACGATGACAATGGGCGGAAAACTCTTGCTGTTGCTGCTACTGTTCCTGGACACCTGTGCAGCTGCAGCAGCTGGCATCAGGCCTGCAGGTGTGAAGCAACGACTGCACGAGTATCAGGCTTTCTGACAAGCATTCACTTACGTTTTGTCATAACGCTTACGTCAAAGGTTGACAAGCATTCATTTGAGCTCCATGATGACACGCATTTACTTGTATGCTCGTAGCAGTGCATGCAATTACCGTTCTCTATGTTAGCTTGGTTCGCTTCAGTGTAAGATGAAAGAAGAACACGAAATAGAGGAAATGTCATAAGCGAGAATAATCAATTTAGTGGGGATGACGTCAGGAATACTAAAAATCCATCTTATTTTGGCCCGAAAAACTTGATTGTAAGTTTGATGCGAAATGTTCACTGATTTTACTTCTTATTTTTCCCTGTGTGTGAGCGTCACTGTGCAGGATATTAGTTTGTTTGTTTTTTTCCTCACCTGTAATCAGCAATTTCTGTTAAATAAGTTTCATTGCGTATCGTAAAAAATAAAACTGTAAGGATTAATGTACGTTTTCTACAGCCGGGGGGCCATGGCAATTTTACGGCTGGCCGTACCTCATCCGCCGCCAGACGCCGTACAACCTCCAGCCGAAGCCCCAGCAGCTGGAGGGTGCGACGCTCCCCTCACTACACAGAGGGAACGTGGAGCTGGAGGGGGAGAAGGTGGTGTGGGGAGATGGTGGGGGTTACAGAGCGGCTCCCTTGCGGGAACGGCCAGGCAGGTGTGTTTTGGAAATTCTATTACAGTGTTATGTGTTCAAAGGAAAATTTAAATAGTTTTTTGATCGCCGTGCGAGTTGTTATTCTGAAGTATGACTTTCACTCGAGCTATGACGTGTTTTTTTCCGTACGAATTAAATGTAGTTTAACTTTTTTGCGGCAAAATGCCATGAAGCAATAGTGTCATTTCCACTACTTAGCTATTATCGTCAACCTTATGATGCAGCGAACATATTATCTTGCGCAGGTCGTGGTGCGGCGGCGCAATGCCATGTCGCCGCAACGTGGACGCATCGCTCAGCCTTCTCATGCGCATGCTCGAGTCTGGACGATGAACTGAGCAATCGCTGGGGTTAAGCGTGCCCATCGTATGGGTTCAGTGTGTCCCAAGCAGGGGTTCAATAAGCCCAAATAGAGGTTCAATGAGCTCATGTAGAGGTTTGGTGTGACAACGCAAAGGTTCAGTGCACCCCACATGGCAATTAGTCAAAAATAACTGCGATAGTTGTTGGTATCATGATGATCTTAATTTTGCCTTTTACGAGCATAATGAGCAAGCTTCTTGAAAAATTATTGATCGTTTGCGGTATTTGAGTTGACTTTAATCATTAGAAAATAATTTATACGCCTGACAAGGATGCAGTTGTGTCCGAGGACTTTTACTGAATGCTAAATAACGATTCACAAATTGAGAATATTCCTTGAATATTCGTTTTGCATATGTAACATGTCTGTTGAAATTCTAAAGTCAGGACAATCTTCATTACATTTTTTTGAGTGGTAGACCTTAGTGGTAGACCTTATTATTATTTCGAGTGGTAGACCTTATGTTCAATAGTCACTTTAACATATTAATGTTTGTCATTTTTCTGAGAATTTATCCCGGGAATTTATATACTATATGGGTACCTACCTGAGTTAGTGTGTTCGACAATAAATGATATATTGAGTAACCACGTTTATCTCATATATTCTAGCAAATAAAATTTATCAGAGAAATGAGGTTTTTATTGTGTCTAATAAGGTTGCGCTCGACCCTATATTGCAAACAGACCCTACGACGCCCCCATTTTGGCTTCAATCACACGCCTGGCAGCAGTGTAGTGTGGCCATTAGTCACGCCAGGGCGTAAAGGGTTAAGTTCCGATCACACGTCTGGCAGCAGTGTTTTATTGTTGTCGTTATACTAAATTACGCGTCTAGCAGCAGTGGTATAGTATAGTATCTTCGGCATTAAAGAGTAGGCCTGGATAGGCCTGTCGCCGATTCTTGTGCTTTTCTTGACTAGACTGGCCTTTTGATCAGAACTTTTCAACGTTATGTTGCGATTAGGTTCCGATCACGCTTCTGTCAGCAGTATTGTGTTGTCAATAGGTTCCGATCACACGTCTAGCAGGCAACAGCAATGATATCTACTGCTATGATGCCATTAGGTTCCGATCATACTTCTGTCAGCAGTGTTGTGTTGTTGCCAGTAAGTTCCGATCACACGTTCTAGCAGCAGTGTTATGTTGCCATTAGGTTCCGATCACACTTCTGTCAGCAGTGTTGTGTTGTTGCCATTAGGTTCCGATCACACGTCTGGCAGCAACGTTAGTCGGCATTGGCCTCTGATCACGCGTCTGGCAGCTATGTTGTCTTGACGTCATTAGGTTCCGATTAGACGTCTGGCATCAGTGTTATATTGTTGTCATTAGGTCGCCACATTTAATTAGTGATGAGTCAAGGTCGAAGGTGAAAGTTACTGTTGAAATGGTATCTTTGCTCCGTTGTTTGAAGAAAGTACGAACTTGGGAGTTTCAAACATTCAGAATGCTAAAAAAAGTACGAAGGAAGGAAACGCCTCAGAAGGAGAATCGTCGAATTAAACCGAAAACGTTTATACAGGCAACTAAGAAAGAAGAAGCCCCTACCGCATACCTTCACTTATTAGCGGTTATTAATAAACAAAGATTAATAATAACAGTAAGGATAAAATTATACATAACTTCGTTTTTCAATCGAAACCGAATTGCCTGAAAAAGTAAACGTTTTAACTGCTATTGATTTCAGCTAATCCGGGATACGAACCTAATTTTTCCAGTAACTGAGTAAGGGAAAAGGAGGAAAGAAGATGGGATTCATCGTTGTATTGTATACAGACAGCGACTGTATGGTATACAGATAGCGACTATTGTATGCAGATAGCGACTGTACTGTATACAATTTGCGACTATACTATACAAACAGTGGCTGTACTGTTTACGGATAGCCACTATTGTATACAGATAGACTGTTGTATACAGATAGGGTCTGTATTATACAAAGGCAGTGACTGGATAGCTTTAGGCACAAATCTTAACTCAAGAGAAAAATTGTAACAGCAAATAATTCTAGGCAACATCAGAACAATTGAAACGGAATAAAAACTCACATACAACAAGAATCTTTTCGTATTTTGGGCACTTGTAGAAAATCGCAACAGAAGCTAAAATCTACGCACATGACGACGATTTAATTAAAACATTGCGGATGACCCATCAATTTTAAGCTGATGGTTGGTATGTATATACATGGACTTAATTCTACAAACAAAGATTCTATAGAGTCTACCTATATTGACCAAAGAGAACAAAACATGTTTATGCGTAAAACGAATATTTTGGAAAAGTAATGCTAACAATAGGAAGAATGTATTGATCGACAAGACTAGCGACTGCACCTGTTGAAACTCGTAAGCACGCAATCAACTGTGACTGCTATCTTGACAACAATGTATTTTCACACACAATTACTTTCTGCTTCGTGTTGCTATCTTTTTTAAAAACAGCTGTGAACTTTTCTAGCAGCTATAAAAAATTTTTAGCAGTCTTCAATTTTTTAAGCAGTCGTCAAATTTCTCAGCAGTCGTCAAATTCCTTAGCAGTCGCCAAATTTCTTAACAGTCGTCAAATTTCTTAGCAGTGGCCAAATTTCTTTGCAGTCGCCAAATTTCTTGGCAGTCGTCAATTTTCTTGGCAGTCGTCGATTTTCTTAGCAGTTGTCAAATTTCTTAGCAGTCGTCAATTTCTTAGCAGTTATCAAATTTCCTAGCAGCTTAAAATCTCTTCTACTTACAATAAATCAATCAACGCCTGGCCCGGAGCGACACGACAGTCATATACAATTAAAATTCAAGTATCTTAAAGAGTCAATAAAAAATCTGGCACTACACAATTTGAAATAATTCTGAGCGAAAGCACTTGTCACTCATAAAGTTACGCTGCAGACGCAGTCTGGCCAGGTGGCAGGCGTCTTCGGTGCTATCTGACGCAGAGCTGCAGATCGGCGCCGTGAGTAACGTCGTCGAAGATCAGCAGGGGCGCCCCGGCGTGCAACCTAACGTCGCGCAAGCAGCCATTGAAGGAAGATAGAAAGAGGCCCTCCGTCGCCGAGGCTACAGCCACTTCGTCCAGACCTCCTGCAGGCGGAGAAGAAAAGTCCGCGTGTAAAAAAAATATAACTCAGTACTCACTGCAGTGAGTGACAGAGAGCGCATTATCTCGTCGACGAAAACGTGAAGTCACGGATGGACAGACAGGTAGACGGACAGACGGACGGACTGACATGGCGAGCATAATTGCGCCTTTTTTCCATAAATGAGAAAATGCGCTAAGAACACAATTGAAGGAGTCTTCGTTCGGTTATTGTGCTATCGAGAATCGGTACATTGCTGGGCCATGAGGAGTCTCTCGAATGCATAATTAATCGGACCCAGCATTACAGTTTAAGAGGAAGAATATAATAAATATTCTCACTGTAACATAAATTACTTTTTGTAGCGATGACGCCAAACAGCACTACCACTTTTTACTTTACTTACTTGACTTTTCACACACTAGCACTTTTGTTAAGGTAAAGACGATGATAAAATGATCTACTATGAAGAAGTTGATTGGTGGAGAAATGATAATAACTGACCGATGTAGACGGTAGCGGGCCCGTCTCGTCGAGTGAAGTTGACAGGGCCTGTCTTTTGGGACAGGTTGCCGTCCACGTATAACGACAAGGACGAACCGTCCCTCGCCACCACCACGCTGTGCCATCGTCCATCGTCCACCCGGACTAGCGGATCAGGACAGCCGTCATAATAAATTGAGTCAAAATACTGAACCAACCATGAACAAATAGCTATTTGTATTCCGAACTTATTGCTTCATCGATACTTTATAAATCAGTTCGCCAATTGGCTGCTAAGCTCCGTTTCAAATATTTTCGTATGCTAACAATTAGAAATTTTTTTTTAAATATTGCTGCATTCTGAAGGTAGTTTTGAAATTCCTATGACGTTAAAATATACAATATATACTGAAGAGGTTGATTGGCACTAAAAACAATAAGATTTCGGCTTTGTACTACGGTATTAAAATTTGAACAATAAAAACAAAACGTATCTACAATTATTGCACAGTGGTCAGTTGGTAGGGGATATGTTCTTCGTTATTATTTTTATTATTCAACAAAGCATTTATCGTGGCGTCTGCTTCAAATGAACTTCGAGGGCACGTCACACATAAGATTAATAGTACTCATGTACTCACCATGAGATGTGAGGGAGCTGGGCTTACCCCCACCAAGGGTCCAAACGACCCTCACGGCACCTCCATAAACACCGACCCCCACCCAGTCCTGACTCCTGGCCTCCCCCACCTGTAGGAAGAATTTATATATTATAACTTCGAGAAAATAATGTAATTTATGCTGATATCGTGAGTGTCATGGCTCTGTTTTTATTTCATATGAGAGTAGATATATATTCACTGGAACTTCAATTTCTTTACTCCCGATGAACTTTGTTGAAACACATCCAGCTCTTGCAACGCGTATTGATTACATCAACACGCTCAGTACCGCAAGATGATTATATCAAATCGCTTTGTGCTGCATGTCGTTTATATTAACACGATTTGTTCTGCGTGCTGATTATATCAACCCGCTTTGTGCTGCTTGCTGATTATATCAACCCGCTTTGTCCTGCGTGCTGATTATATCAACTTGCTTTGTACTGCGCGTTGACCATATCAACACCCTTTCTACCCCAGCTGCAGGTTTAACTCACAGGTCCCCGCCACAGCAGGAGGCCGTGAGGGGACGAAGTTGACACGTTGAGGGACAAGTCATCACGGCGGGTGTCGGCTGGGGCGTTGGCTGCCCCTGGGCCTTGACGGGCGAAGCTCTGCCCGCTGAACTTGGCGGCAGTTTGCCCACGCGATGCTGCAGTCAGAAGTAAAATTATCAATGTAACTGTTAGTAATCAAGAGGTAACATTTCAAGACTGTTTTCATTAACTTTTAAAGCTGCGATTCTGAAATGAGTAGGAGTAACAATAGGAGCAAGTATTGCAGCAATAATTTAAATTTTTAAATAAAAAATATAGTTCGGAACCGGTCTTGTCACTTTATTTGATGATCTTGCGTGCTGAGGTTTGAAATAAATGATTTCCACAACAAAGTTCATAAAAGAATGAAACACTGGAAATAAATACTAGCAAGAATCTAAGAAAATTAAATTGAACAAAATTAACTGAGCACAGGAGCGGTGGTATACAAGTGGGTGTTACTGGCCATTTGTTCAGGTATTTTATGAATTGTGGTTCTTTAAACTAAAGTCTTGCTAGGAAGTGTTTCTAATGGAGGTTTGTAAACAGTCTGAGTATGCGTTTGAAGTTTCGACTAAGGTTCAATTAAATGAGTAATTAACCTCTGAATTTTAATTTAATGAGTCATGAATTAAATTAGTCATGAACCCATTACAAGACTTTTACTTGTTAAACCGTACCCTGGGCAATAAACTAAATATTTTATTTGTTAAGGAATTGAACTCTTTGAATTTCTACGAGTGATCAGGTCTTCCAAAATTTCTCCCAACAAGCCAATTATTCTGTAAAACAATCATAGCTCAATAACTACAATTAATCTATAAAGATGAATCTAAAAAATATCAATGATATTGTTACAAAATATCATTGATATTGACTAATCATAAAAAGCTCACCTCTCTCGCACAAGCGGCCCACTCTTCCAGGAGGACACAAGCAGCGGTAGGAGCTACCATTCATATCATCAGCGATGTCACGACTTCTTCTCTTCGCTGATCGAATTTTTCTGTTTTCTATGGATTCTAAATGGCCTGCTGATCTTTTATTAACGGCATGCATGCTTTTCGGGGCATTTTTGTTTAGAGATTCAGGATTTTGTGATAAGATGAAGGACGAGCTTTTGCTTGTAGAAAAATCAGACTCCGATTGCATATCATCGTACCACGAATCGAATGAATCTAAAGATTCGTATCCCGTAACTAAGGGCTCAGAAAACTCCGATCTTCTGGCTTGAGGATTAGGAGAATGTGATCCCGTAGACGTAGATGATGCTCGGGCCCAACGCTTCTTGCGGGAGGGGACGGAGGGACCGGAGTGGATGGAGGGGACGGAGGGGACGCAGGTCCCTCCAGCCATGCACGGGGAGGGGGAGCAAGCTTCGGCCACTTCACACCGACCACCGCTGAACGACTACAATAAATAATAACAGTTGCACTTCAATTAAATGCGATAGCAATTAAAAACATTTCAATTAACTAATTATCCATTCGATGATCGAGTTCAGCATCCGGTAACGATAGTCATGAACCACAAAATAAACTGTTAAATTAGTAAAATTCTCAAAACTCAATTGTACAAATTCAAAGAACCGTAAGACACCTCATCTTGGAAGTGATATCAAGTTTATATAATTTTTGATAATATTAAATTAAACTTGTATACTACAAGAACTTTGTGAACTTGAATACCCGGAGAGCCTCACCGCAGGGCAGTCGCACACTGCCTGACCGGTCGAAGTAGAAGCCCCCGTTGAACCCGACGCGTTGGGGGTGAAAGCTGGAGGGATTTGGGGATCAGCAGAGCTGTCACTCTTCAGGAGGCATTTTCCCCCGTTGAGGCAGGTGGCGGGGCCACATATTAAAGGGGTTTGGTCCTCACAGGAGACCAGCCCTTGCCCTCTGACAACCCCCAGGGGGCCTCCTTCGCGGTCTAACTTATACAGCGCTCCATTCACGATCACCTGGAAAATGTATACACGTATAAATGAAAGCCTTTGCGCTGTAAAAGCAAACGAATTCCTAGACAAAAAATTCTAGGTAAATTTAACGCGTCATGCAAGTTAGGTTCGAATCAAGCACAAAATTAGCATCATTAGCTTAAGAATTTATTTCCAGTTACAGTTATTGTTCGATGAAAGTCTCCTCAGCCTCTGTTAACTTAGTAAAGCCTTTATTATAAGAAATAAATAAAAAAATTTGACGCTTGCCTCCCCAATGCAGCCCTGGTATGACTGACGGGACGCGAGAGGCCCAACAGAGTCCGGGATGATCGTCATATCCGGCACCCCGCCTGGGTAGGGGTAAGTCACCGTCAAAATTACCCATAATTAACACTCTACCGCTGCATGTCACTCTCCGGGAACATAACTTTCAACTTACATTATACGTAAACTATTGAGTGTAGACCTGAGGACGTTTGTACGCAACAGAGAACATTTTAAAGTAACTTTCAACTTAAATTATACGTAAACTATTGAGTGTAGCAACCTGAGGACGTTTGTACGCAACAGAGAACATTTTAAAGTTGTACGTGGTGGTAACCATCAGTGCAAGTCATTTTGCGCTCACTAGTAACGGATCCTTTTTGGGAAGTAGGCTTGTGACAATATTGCTCCGGTTACTCATGTCAGGCGGTAGAGGATTAACACATTTGATTGTCAAAAGCCCCATCGGTCTCATTCGGCAATAAGATATTACAATTTTGAAATGCAGTCACACTTGGCTAGTTTTCATGTGAAAATATCCCCGTGAAGAGGAATGGTTTATAATGCAATTAAGCCCTATTGACATCCGCCTGATGTTAACGCACTGTGCACTCACCAATAAAAATTTCATCCCCCACTTCCATGTAGGCATCAGGATTGTCTTGAATCTTGCGTGTCTTCCTCACTCGCGACACCGACGATGCCGAGCCGTTGGAGAACAAAGTAGTTGTTGATACTGCAGGAGCGTGATTTTCCGTTGATTGTTCACGTAATCCTCGCGGGGGATCATAGTCAGGTGCGTCCACGTTATCAGCGGATTTGTGGATTTCACCGTCGAATATTAGATCGGCTTGTGTTCCCTTCCGCCTGAACGTCACGGAGTTCCACTCGTTGAGCTTAATTTTTTTGGCAGATTGGACGATGCCGCTCCTGCCAGCTTGGCCTGTAAAGAGGAGTTTGAAGTAGGCATGGTTTATCTAAGGAATTATTTGCTTAGAAAAAACTTTTAAAAAGGCTCAACTCGGACTCCCTTGGGTTGTGAAATTTCTAGTTTATGTTGCCAAATTACGGTTTATTTCATCATAATAACAGCGTAGTAACTGCGCTTCATTAATTTTTTTTGTAATTAATCGAAGGTATTAAATGTTCAAATTTTTACCTGAGATGAGTTTTTCAGGAACAATTCCGATCTAGCCAATCATTATGCCAGTCAGCATTCAAGTTTAAACTAAACAGAGTAATTACAGACGCAATAGCCGAGCCAACGATCACAAATCTTTGGGTCAACTTAAACTGCTTGATAACGAAAACTTTTGTGACGTCGTTGGAAACTTGATAATCACCGAGCTTATATGACAGGCTGAGAGAGCCATTATTGAGGGACAGTGCCATGAAGTCTGGAACTGCACGACCCGTGGTTGGGCCCGGGGCGAGTGTGGTGGGTCCTGACGCGTAGAATATGAGGCCTGAAGAATTGTCGGGTCTGAAGGCGATGGACGCATGGCACACGCGTCGCAAGGACCCCACAGGTGCCACGGTCAGGTAGGAGCGACGACCTCGGAACTTCGGGATGGGTGATTGGGCCACATCTGGTGAAGATAATGCATTGCCATATGAATTGCGATCGTGCAGTCCGGAAAGAATTTTTTTTAACAATTGTTTGTTTTATGTTAGATTGAAAAACCTTAAAAAAATTATTGATATTATGGAACTGATCAAGTTACCAGGCTGTTATGATCTTGAATATTTGAACAGCTACTATTGCTAGAATTTCATAGTCTGGAGTGACTCATGCGTTTTCGCCTACTAAAGTGGAAAGGACATTCAACTAAGTCAATACAATGCAGTTTCAAAAATTCTGTGAATTGAACACAATTGTACCGATACGTCCCAACGTAAATCAAACTTGTAGTAATCAGGATAACCAGAATTTTAATAAATACATTCCATACTCACGAATGCCTTTGTTGGAGAATCGCATCAGCTCGAATAAGTTAACTGGGAACGCTTGTGTTTCAAATCTCATAAAAAAAGCATCAATTTCAGAACCTGGCTCGTTCCATTGCGAAGGTGTCCAGGAATTACATAGGGAAAGGCAACGGCAGCTAGCCACGCAGAGGTTCAGGGCCACAAATTCAACTCTTACATTTAGCCATAGTCACGCCCAAGCCTCTGGTGTATAGATGTGAGTTCGAACACACCTTGAACAACGTCGCACAGCGGTCCAGTTTTGCCGAAGGGGCAGATGCACTCGTAGTCGCCGGGATATTCATTAGAGGCAACACATGACGACCCAGGAGCACAATTGGGAGTCCCCACGGGAGCGTCACTGGGGCACACGTGGCTGGGTAAGTCGCATAGGGCACCTTTGTACCCTATAGGGCAGATGCACCTGTACGGGATGAAACACTTTTGGTAAATTCTCATGATTTTCATGAAAAAGCTTGAATATAAATCCCGCAGCAATGGTGTTGAAATTGTGAGCAAATCATTCTGAAAGACTGTTTTGGTGCCAAAATTGAATATGTCGTGCAAGCCTGTTTCTTTGCTGGGATTTTGCGAGCCAAGCCTTGAATTTCATGATAAGGATATTGAGACAAATCAACTCTAGTTTAAGACTAAAATCTTGTTGATCAAGTTTGTTACCTAAGAAATATCCTTTAAAGAACACCAGAGTTCTGAAAGATCAAATAGTGACTTCAAATTTATCGGACAATGTAAGAAATTTTCAGACATGGGAAGACATGTACCAGTGGGGGGACTAAAATCGACGTACGTGGCACCGTTCATGATGCCACCAGTCGATGCCGTGGCATTGCGCATACATCGTCACAACTAACACCTACTAGTAGGAGGCACCGAGATCAACGCAGGTAGCACCAGCATGTGTTATACTACCGCAGTAGCACCAGAATGTTACTATACCGCAGATAGCATAACACATGCATTGCGTATGCATCGTCACAACTAAATATACACAAAATACGCACCAGTACGTGGCACCGAGTTCAACGCAGGTGGCACCAGCTTGTGTTGTACGACCGCAGATAGCACAACACATGCATTGCGTATACATCGTCACAACTATATATACACAAAATACGCACCAGTACGTAGCACCGAGATCAACGCAAGTAGCACCATGTTGGCACTGATGCATCGCACAAGCATCGTCCGCACACTGCGCCACGTTTCGCGACCTCACGAACGTTGGCTTCATCCAGCGAGCTTCCTCCTTGTGCCCCGCCGCGTCCCCAACTAAGGAAGTGGACACATCGTGGCCACTCGAAGACTGGCGGCGACGGTCTAGAGTGTGGAAGTGCGGATGCTGAGAGACGCGGATGTCATAAACGCATCCCCGGAAGCCTTCCAGTCTCCAGAGATCTGCCGGAAGCTTGTGCAGCTCCCAGGACTCGTGGCCACCTGAGAGACATTGTTATCAAAATCAATATTGTCAGCTTCTTAAAAAAATATAACTCAGTATACTCTCTGCAGTGAGTGACAGAGATCGCATTTTCTCAAATCGACGAAAACGTGAAGACAGACGGACGGACGGACGGACATGACGAGCACAATAGCGCCTTTTTCCATATATGAAAAAATGCGCTAAAAATGGAGAAGATTTTAGAAATAGTTACGACTTTTATCGATGTTTAATTTTAAGCCTTATATCAATAAATTTAAATAATGCTCCGAAAGTGCCCATTTATGCTGTGATAAATGAATATCGACATTGGCCAACTAACCCCACAATCACATAAACACTCACCGACAAACATGATATTGTCGGTGTCCAGGGATGAGAGGTAGCCGGGCGCCGTTCCGCTGACGTTGGCCTGAGCGTCGACTGCCAGCCAGGCGTGCTTGCCGCGACGTCCGACCAGCACGGAGTGTGTGTGCAGACTGGCGTCCAGGGGGCGGGGCGACACAACACGTCGTGGACCTGTAAACACTCGCATGAACTTTACCAACTCGCATGAACTCGACGAACTGGCATGAATTTGACGAACTCTAATAAATAACCTACAGTCAAGATTTGCTCTGATACCGACATTTCAAACAGACTTCATTTGAACTTGGTAGAAATGTTACTGTCATGATATTTAGATTAATAGAAATTCTACAGTCGTTTCTTTTAAATTGCCAGGTAATTTACAGCCACTTTAATATTTAAATAATCAATCGATTATAATCCGCTACACTGCAAGTAAAATGTCCATTTATACCCATCACATGTTCGACAGACACGGCATTTTCAATAACATCAATTCGACAACTTTCACATATTAAATCAGCAGCAGCAATATTTTTGAGTAAGTTCAAGCCACAAAGATATATTTTTTGTATAAAGCATTGAAATGGAGACATGAATTGAATTGACTCAGTTTTAATGAAGGAAAATATTTCGGAAAACTCTACGGATATTGCTACCCGTAATCAATTTACTCTGGAGTGTCAAAAAAGTTTTTTAAGTTAAGTGAATAGAAGTTTCAGCGTCGAGCCCTAATTCGAGATTTTGGACAAACATCATGAGTATTGCTGCAGGGAATACGAAGTATTAAAATTAAAATTTTATAAATCATATTAAGACTGAAGTTGTAGGAGATCGAGATCGTAACGCAGCAAAAATTAAAAATTAGTTTTGAGCAAAACCTGGGCCAGGGACGAGTTTAACGTGGCGCTCTATCACGCAGGTGTCATGTGTGATCGTCGGTGAGATTTCTCAAGAATATGGTAATTGTTTTTTTGATCAATGATCAAAAATGAAATGATAATGATTTTGGAACAACATAGAGTGGTTAGGTAGTGATTATTTCGAGACAAAGACATGAGTATTAGAGATAGAGATCGTTGTCTATGAGATCAATATCGTAGTTTTGCTAATGATGAAGATACAAAGATTGTATCTTTAGATCAGATTCCAAGATTGCATCTTAAGATCAGATACAAAGATTGTACATATCTTTAGATCGGATACAAAGATTGTATCTTTAGATCAGATACAAAGATTGTATCTTTAGATCAGATACAAAGATTGTATCTTTAGATCGGATACAAAGATTATATCTTTAGATCAGATACAAATATTATATCTTTAGATCAGATACAAATATTGTATCTTTAGATCGGATACAAAGATTGTATCTTTAGATCAGATACAAAGATTGTGGTCATACCAGCGGAAAATGACAGCCATATGATGAAGATAATAATAGTGATCCTCCCAAACAACGATGACACAATTATCGAAGATCAGGGTCATTACCTGTCGTGATATAAAGTCCCGATTTTCTGTGATCAAGACCGCGGTCGGACCAAATCATGAATTGATCAACACTTGATTTTAGATTTGAAACTTGATCAGCAATATTTTAGTCTTAAGGACACTTGGCTCACCTCCACCTACGTCCCACGTGAGCATGACGTGTCCCTGCACCAGGGCAAGACACACGAAGTCTTTGCGAGCTGCCGTGGAGGCTCCACCCAACAGCAGCAGCAGTCCTAGCTGCTGCGTCTGCCACGTGCGGAAGTGAAGTCTGTCGCGGCGGGGGAAATAAAAAAAATAATAATATAACTCAGTACTCACTGCAGTGAGTGACAGAGAGCGCATTTTCTCGTCGACGAAAACGTGAAATCACGGACGGACGTCACGGACGGACAGACAGACGTACATGGCGAGCACAATAGTGCATTTTTTCCATAAATGAGAAAATGCCCTAAAAATTAGATCAGTATTCACTGCAGCGAGTGCATTTTTTTCGTGAATAAATCGGTTTTCATTGCGATTAGTACAGTGCACTGCACTGTCCGTGACTTCACTGTCCGTGAAGTCACGGACGGACGGACATGACGAGCACAACAGCGCTTTTTTTCCATAAATGAGGAAATGCGCTAAAAATTTCAACCCTAGAACGCAAAACTGTTTCTGGCCAATTATTGCAATTGAATTACTTCAATATAAATTGCAATAAATACATTCGTCCCATTAATGGTTGGTCGAAGTTTTCTCCAATAGGATATGTACGCTGAATTTTACAGCTAATTTCTGTAAAAAAACGAATTGTGTCTGGAAGTAATGATTTCTTAAGGATGCAAATGAGCGAATGAGATGTACAGGAAAAATTCTATGAAGATTGTATGGTAATTTTTGAGATGCAATTATTTACGCAGATTACCTGGTCGTACAATGGCCAAACTATTACCATCGTTTGTACCATTTCTACAACATGCAAATTTGTTCAGCGATGTTAGCAAAATGAAGCGCTGCTGTGGTCTGTCAACCACTAAGCACCCCTAAGGTAAAGACTTGTCAGGGCAAAGCACGCCTAAGGTAGAGGCTTCGTCGTCACTAAGCTCACCTAAGGTAGAGATTTTGGCGGGACTAAGCTCACCTAAGGTAAAGGTTTTGGCGGGACTAAGCTCACCTAAGGTAGAGGATTTTGTGGCACTAAGCTCACCTAAGGTAAAGGTTTTGGCGGACTAAGCCACCTAAGGTAGAGGCTTTGGTGGCACCAAGCTCACCTAAGGTAGAGGCTTTTGTGGCACTAAGCTCACCTAAGGTAGAGGCTTTTGTGGCACTAAGCTCACCTAAGGTAGAGGCTTTGGTGGCACTAAGCACGCCTAAGGTAGAGGTTTTTGTGGCACTAAGCTCACCTAAGGTAGAGGCTTTTGTGGCACTAAGCTCACCTAAGGTAGAGGCTTTTGTGGCACTAAGCACGCCTAAGGTAGAGGTTTTTGTGGCACTAAGCTCGCCTAAGGTAGAGGCTTTTGTGGCACTAAGCTCACATAAGGTAGAAGCTTCGTCGTCACTAAGCTCACCTAAGGTAGAGGCTTCGTCGTCACTAAGCTCATCTAAGGTAGAGGCTTCGTCGTCACTAAGCTCACCTTAGGTAGAGGCTTCGTCTTCACTAAGCTCACCTAAGGTAGAGGCTTCGTCTTCACTAAGCTCATCTAAGGTAGAGGCTTCGTCGTCACTAAGCTCACCTAAGGTAGAGGCTGTGTCGGGTGTCAAAGGGCAGCCTGTAGGCCGAGTAGGAGCTGTAGCCTGCAGTGACCGAGCCTGAGTAACGTGGCCACAGCGGCTGACTTCCTGTCAAGCCAGCTGGAGACAAGACAAGATTATTGGCAACTTCTTGTCATGCCAGCTGGAGATGAGACAAGATTATTTATTGGCCACTTTTTGTCAAGCCAGCTGGAGACGAGACAAGATTATTGGCCACTTTTTGTCAAGCCAGCTGGAGACGAGACAAGATTATTGGCAATCCTCGTAACATCGGGAGAAGCAAAATTTATTTTGAGGCGTATGTTATTCGCGCGACGTATGGAAGTCCACAGGATCATTAGGGCATATTCATCACAAGAAAATACTACAACTACAACCACCGGATAATTAGTGCTTGCTTACGGCAATTAAAACATAAACAGTTTGTTCGAAATTTAAATATCTGAGGACATTTCGTCAATAACTTAGTTCTTTGTACATTTGATGTTCAAATACAAAAGAAAGAACGGTCTTCAAATTACGCATCATAGAAACGTATTTATACTGCCATACGTTTGGCTACCCAGGTTAACTAATCAGCAGACGTAACGTTAACCTGCTCCACCAGGTTAACTAATCAGTTGACGTAACTTTAACCTGCTACACCAGTTTAACTAATCACCTGACATAACTTTAACCTGCTACACCAGGTTAACTAATCACATGACGTAACTTTAACCTGCTACACCAGGCTAACTAATCACCTGACGTAACTTTAACCTGTTACACCAGGCTAACTAATCACCTGACGTAACTTTAACCTGTTACACCAGGCTAACTAAACAGCCGACGTAACTTTAACCTGCAACGATTAAATTAATTCCCACAAAAAACAATTCAGCGAGAACTCACCAGTGAATTTATTGGTGAGTTTTCTCCTGCGCTGGTCAGGCACCTCACAGAAGCGCCCGTGGTATCCACTGGGACAGAGGCACAGGTTTGCCTCTTCAGCCGAGGTCGTTGGTACGCTCTGTGTGGTAGGAGGAGGCTGCTGGAAGAGCTGCTGCTGGTACCATTCCTCAGTGGCATCTTCTGAGATGTCCTGGGTATGGTTACCATGAGCATGGAAGAAATCCAAGTCAACATAAGGATTCACAGAGGGTTTTAGCCGTGCCATCTTTGCCCTCTTCTCAGTCATTGTGGATTCCTCCGATGATATTTCTTCCGAACTGTCATTGCCGTGAAGCTGCAGCTGACTTTCAGAATCGTATAAGCGAGATTTCTGTTCCTTACTCGATTTGTTCGCGTCTTGTGTATCGTAATCACCTGTAGATTCTCTCTTTTCGTCATTTTCAGAGCCTTTCGAACCGAGACCGTATCCAGCATTTCGATTTCCAAATTGGCGCTCTCGGAAATGACTCACAGGATGCTTGTTGCTGTCGAGTTCGATTTCAGTACTGCCTTCATATGGAGGAACTTCACTCGATCCTTCCAACGCATCACCTTGATGCCCTAGCAAAGCAGTGACTAGTGTACGCTGTTCCCTCTTGCGTCGTGCCCCTCGCTCCTGCAGTTGGTGTTCGCGTTGCCCTGGGATGAGAACCTGGAGCTGCCCGTCCTCCAAGGGGCGTACGTCGTTGGGCGCCACGCACTGTCCTCTCTGGCAGGGCGAGCCTCGGCACGCGCGAAGCTCGCAGAACGTACCTTCGAAACTAACCACATCGGAAACAATTTATAATTCGTACATATTCATAAATTAATTTCATTGGTGTATTATTTATTTAGAAGGTTTACACACTTACACTTAGGACTGAAAAATAAATAAACTAAGCGACCAGGTAGAGGGACTTCCTAGCAGGGAAAACAGTATTTCCGACAAAATGAATGAATACCATCTTTAAAATATGCGATAAGGCGTCATAATCGCGTGACATTGATGGAAGGAAAGAAGAAAGCGCGAGAAAATATGATCAAAAACAAGACCAAACCTTTAGGATTGAATTAAAAAACTATAAGGTAAATATGCACTTGACGCTAATAATAGGAGCACTTGATATTATTAATATTCGTGTTATATTTTCTTGTACGACATCAATGGAGCGTTTCTTCTTGTAATTTTCAGAGCAAGCTTGAAAATTTAAACGTGTCATAACATCCTTTTAAGACAAGATTCTGGCGGTTCGATGAACTTAGTAAAGGGACCATATAGTCAGAGGGACAATGCTGAGGGACATAAAAAATATATGGGCATTATACATATTGAATATGTTTACAAAAAGACTGTCGACCAAGAACTATGTTTAGATGTGAAATATTTTGACATAAGTAAATTGACAGAAGAACTTTATTTACACATCACTATAAAGAGATAGACAACTAAGTAACGAAGAAAATATATACACAAAACCCTGTACTGAGATAAAAACTAAATTAACGAAGAAAAAAATGATTGCAAAAAATTATGACGAATGTTGACAATGAAATATGCTATATGGCATATGCTATTCGAAATATGCTATGCTATATGCCATATGCTATGAAAATATGTACAAAACCCCTATACTGAGATAAAGACTAAATTAAATAAGAAAAAATGATTACAACAAACTATGATTGTTGACAAAGGGACTTTGATTTTAAGACCCTATTTTGACATCAGGGAATGAAATAATAAACTGATGAAATAATTATACTAACTAAAAGGCTGATTAGGAACGCACTGATCCTGAGGCTGTACCCACCCTGGGGGGCAGAGGCAGGACCAGCGTGAGGGGGCACGGGCGCAGGTGCCCCCGTTGAGGCAGGCGTTGGGGGGACAAAGGGCGCTCTCCCCACACTCCGTCACTCCCTCCCCCTCTTCCCCCACCCGCCACATGTCCAGTTCTAGTCCGTCAATCTTAAGGCAAAAATAAAACAATTAAAGTTTGAATTTTGATGAAATTTGAATTAGGCCAGGTTATAATTCACTTGATGCAGCACCGCCCATTCACTGCTGAACCAGACCACGGCACCAATCACTCATTAACGTTGAAATGCAACAATCGTTCAAAATGCAAAGCCTCGCGAATTAAAATAATACTAATTAGTAACATCGAACAAGTCAACAGCAATTAAACGGGTATAAAAATATAACTCAGTACTCACTGCAGTGAGTGACAGAGAGCGCATTTTCTCGTCGACGAAAACGTAAAGTTACGGACAGACAGACGGACAGACAGACGGACATGACGAGCACAATAGCGCCTTTTTCCATAAATGAGAAAATACGCTAAAAAATGAGCAGGTATAAATCGAGTATGAAAACGTAAAAATCTATGTAAACTCGATGCCAGTACAGCAACAAAGCATAAAATTGATCCAGTAACAGAAAAATCACATCATGCAAAATCATACAAATGAAGTTGCAGAGGTGTACATATCCGACGTTGTAGTACCAAATACAAAGTTGCAGAGGTGTACACATCCTACGTTGTAGTACCAAATACAAAGTTGCATAGGTGTACATATCCATGTATTAAATGATATTAATTACGTTTTAGTTCCAAACAAAGGTAACTAAAGCACAACACACCTCAAGCGTCCGGATGCAGCCCTCGAGCCTGGGCTGGAGGCCAGCCTTGACGACCCACTTGGTGGGAAAGTGGGTCGGGAGTCCGGCCAGGTACAGCGACTGTAGCACCACGTGACTGGAGTGCGACTCTTGCTCGCTGTACAGCGGGGCAGAGTCGTTCACCTGCCCGAGTGAACGACTTTATACGAGATTTATTGTTTCAAAATTAATGGTGAAAATTTACGACTCAGGTATTGATGTAATATTACAATTATTCAATAAAGACATATTTTCAATAAAAAACGCTTACTTAAATCTTCCATATATCCAACATCTTTCACAATTAATGGTGAAAATTTACGATTCAAGTAATGATGTAATACTAACAATTATTCAATAAAGACATATATTCAATAAAAACACTTATTTAAATCTTCCATATATCGAACATCTTTCACAATTAATAGTGAATATTTACGATTTAAATATTGATGTAATCCTAAAAATTATTCAATAAAGACATATTTTCAATAAAAAACGCTTATTTAAATCTTCCATATATCCAACATCTTTCACAATTAACGGTGAAAATTTCCGATTTAAATATTGATGTAAACCTAACAATTATTCAATAAAGACATATATTTAGTAAAAAACATTTATTTAACTCTTCTATGTATCTAAAACCCCGGCAAAAGTACCTGTAGTGACGCACTGCACTTGCCGGCGCCCCACGGTAGCCGCGCTTCGTACGGAGTCCACCACAGCCTGGAATTCATACATAATTCAAGTGAAGTAATGCAGTTATACAGTAGGAGAATAAAGTAGTAGTGGTAGTATAGAGTATTGTACAGAAGTATTAGTATAAAGTGGCTGTATGACGTGTGGACTTTAAACATTTGTTCAACATTGTTTCGTGCATTCGTCCATTTCAAAAAGATTGATTGATTAATAACTTTTGAGTTTACCGAGAAAAAATAGACACTTCGTTTTATGCGGTGAATAACACAGAGATACCTGGCTAGCCTAGCCTGAGTATATTACGGATCAATCAAAATAACCTATCAGAATTCAAAATTAAGGAGTTATGACACGGAAGTTTTTACGTGTATAATTGTAATACTAACTTGATGTTATTTTCCGAAGATACAAAGCAAGCTTAGACTTCTAGCATTACGAACTTACTCGACTTGTAGAACTGAGGGTTGACAATAAAGTCGGCAAGAAATACGACAATGCAAGTTATCAAAAATGGCGGTACAGCAAGAAATAAGTTTAATGAAATTTATCAAAGTTGGCGGTATAGCAAGAAATGAGTTTAATGAAAGATTGAGATAGTAATACTTGAAGGATACGTGTAGGGTGACAGCAGGAGGGATCCTGTCGTTGGACTGTAGGAAAGACACCATCTGCACACCGCAGCTGAAGACGAACGTCAGGTGGCTGTTGCGCATGAGCAACATCAGGAACGAACCTGTGAACGCATGTACTGGTCGGCGCTGGCGAGGTTATAATATAATATACATAATAGCAGTTTCAGCATTTATTAGGCCGTAGGCCTTGCTCCGATTCTTAACATTGCGGAATATTCACAGTATGTTGCGGACTTGAACTCGCAACTTACTGCTTCAAAATTTCTTTGCTTAATTAACCGCCCGGCCGCCGATTCTGACCAGAAACTGGCGCACAGAGCTGGGATCGAACCCGCGCCTCTTTGCTCCAATCTTGGTACTCTGAACTTTAATCACTGGGCCATCCTGCCCATTACATTGACTCTTCAAGTTATTCTTCGGAAATTAAAATAATTATTTTTTATTTTATTGAAAGTTATTCTTGGCTGAAGGATTTTTTTAATATTCTATTCAAAGTAATAGAATAGAATCCTATTTATACAAAATTGTTCTTTATGGTCACGGCAGTCAAACCTAGACACCCGTGAATGTTAAAAAAGGCATCAGCAATTAATGTTAAATAAACATTAAATGGTAAACTCAGAGATATTATTGGGTAATAATGTCAAAATAGTGACACAACTTCTGCTCGCAACACTGCAGTAATACGCACTTTTACCGAGCCAAACTGGGCCAGGGTGACCCACACAAGTGCAAAAAGTGCGTCGCAATGTGGACAAAGTGTCGCTTATTTGTTTGAGTGTAGCGGTACTCACCGTGGGCATCTGCCTCGCCGTATAGCACAAGGCCGTTGGCTGCCGTCGATGTGAATCCGATGTAGACCTAAAAATTAATATATATAATGCGTTAATGATTTTTGTTTTACCATTTAGCTTTGAACATATTTTTATCCTTGTATTTAGTTGTTAGGGACTTACGAATAAAGAGGTATCATGCCAGAAAATTAATTGATTAAAATTTTTTATTATGAAGCTAACTAACTACAAACCTAGCTAACTAATGTTAACAACCGAATTACAAACTACATGCTTCGTATCCAATTAGTGCAACCTTTCTTTTCTCAAGGATTCTCGTAAAAAATTTATTAATCATTAAGGAAAATAACATTTAATGAATCTCATATATTACACCTAATTATACCTATATATACTGTTATATATGCTATCAACTTATTAAAAAATGTATTACTAACATCGTGCCATGAGAGGTAACTACTTCTAAATCGTTTGATTATGACAAATGATGATTATAATAAATGAATGATGTGACAATGGTTTTATAACAACAAATGATTGAGATAACAATAATTAGTGACAAGTGCAAGCATGACATCTAAGAAAATGTAAACGATATCTCACCTGGACTCCGTTCCTAAGGTCTAGTGGACTGCTGGGCATTACTTTCAGATAAGAAGACCCAGTAAACCGAGGTATTGAGATCACAATAACTAGTGACCAGTCACTAGTTAAACGACATCAGAGACATCAAAGGTCACTAGTTAAACGATGTCTCACCTGGACTCCGTTCCTAAGGTCTAGAGGGCTGCTGGGCTTCACTTTCAGATAAGAAGACCCAGTAAACCGCGGCACCGTAACGTAGTGGTACGCTTCACAGTACGCGCCCGTGTAGTTGAAGGGGCAGCGACACTGCGGAAGAGATGCGTGCACATGTCATGAGCGAAATGTGTTTAAAGCTGCAAGTTCTGAACAAATATTTACGGTTAGTATATTTTACAATACGAGGCACAAAACTGACCTAGTAAATGATCTAAAAAATTGTGATTAGTGACATAATAACAAATGTAATTTCTCGGTTTGCAAAGAGATGTGTCAAAATCAGCAGGTCGATTTTGTATTTTATACATTCATTAGCGAAGTACAGACTATGCAACATTCATACGAGCCCCCAGCTTGAGATAAAAAATTTAGCATCTCTTCACTAAGCATTAAAATGCACAAAATTACAACCTATATCAGTGTATCTAGAAAATGATTTTGAGTAATTGCCTCACGTACCGCTGCAAAATTGTTCACAAAGATGCACGAGCCTCCATTTTGGCAATTTTTGTCGCAAATCATAGGCACGACAGTGGAAGATGAGTCGGTCGTCGGAATAAGAGTCGACGTCTCCAAGTCTGTGACTTTCTCAGTTGATGGCAAATCAGTCGTCTCTTCCTCAGTTTTTATCGTTGTAAAATCTTCAGATGATGTTATAGTTGTTGCTGCGGTAGCTGTTGAGCTTGAATATGTAAATGCAGAAGATGTATCAGGCTGAGAAGTAGAAATATCCGGGTCTTCAGTAGTGATAGGTAGAGCAGTGAATCCTAACCCGGGACCTTGGGTCAGCGAGAAAATCGGAGACTCAGTAGATGTGAAATCTGTCACTCCAGCATCGTCAGGTGTCGGAAATTCACTGATCGACGTTGGTTCCACACTACTAGAGGTAGTGGTGTCTTCTGTAATGGTCACTTTGGGAGAAACTGTGAACGTTGTCAACAAAGCAGAATCAAAGGCATCAGTAGATATTGATTCCTGACCTATGACAGATGTCGTTTCTACCTCACTAGTCGAGTGGGTGGCGATCGAAGTGGTCGCATCAACATCTATGAGAGAGATGACATCGGAAGAAGGAACAAATTGGGAAGTGAAATCAGGTGTTTCGTAAGTGGAATCGGGTGTTAAAGAAGTGTAATCTGTAGCATTCTCAGTAATGGCGATAGTACTCAATGTAACAGAGCTGGTTTCTTCTGTTGAGACACTCATCACGAAATTTTTTGAATCTAAAGTAATATTTTCAGGAGCGTCAGTCGTGTCCGTGAGTTCAACTGACGGTGTTGAAGCTGATTCTGTGAATTGCTGAGCATCACTAGTTGTCTCAGTATATGCAGTAATTTCTTGTGTTACAGTGGAGTACTCAGTCGAATTTTCATCACCTAACGCGTCCGTGGTTGTCGAGGAAGTGACATTTTCTAAGTCGGTGGCAAGCGCGAGATCGGGCGTGTAAGTTGGAAACGTGGTGTACGTTGTCAGATCAGTGGTGGAAAATATTTTTTCTGATGTTGTCTCTTCTTGTGAGAACTCGGATGTAGATTCTGGAAGCAAGGTTTCCGTCGCGTAGGTGACAGTGGGGGAAGTAAAATCTAATGTCGAAATAGTTACACGTTCAAATCCTCCCTCCACCGGTGTTTGAGTGGTGTCCTCACAGTCAGCCACTGTGCTGGTAGAGAAACCATCAGAAACCTGAGAAGTTATAACGTCAGTCGTTGAAGAGTAATCGGAAGAAGTTGATAGCACAGTTGTTAAATCGAGAACTATAGTTGATGTGGGTTTGACATAGCCATCTGGAGCGTCTGACATGATTGTTGCATTATCAAATCGATCTTTTTCAGTGGACGCAGTTGGAAATTTGGGTGTCCATGATACAGTATAAACACTGGGGAAGTCGCTGAGCATTGTGGGTGTCGGAGTGAGATCTGGCTTACGCACGGTGATAGGTTCCGTGACAGTAGTGACTTGTTCAGTCTTGAAATAAACCGTAGAAATTAAACCACTTCCGTCGTCGGGAGGCTCAAAGGTCGCGTCCAAGGAAGTGTTAAGGAAAGGATCAAAACGTTTGTCGCTGATAATTGGTCTATAGGGACGGTCTTGAAACCAAGATGGAAGCTCCTGGCAATTCTCGCCATTTTCGTCGCATTGGCACAAAACTCCAGAGTTCTGAGGCGAGCAGCTGCAAGCGAAACTGTCAACGCCATCAATGCAGGTGCCGCCGTTCAGGCATCTGAAATGATCATGATTTAAATAATTAAAATAAAACTTCTCGAAAATGGGGACTATTGATTGAACTTCAATGAGTTGTGCACATTTTAGATTCAATAGATGTACATTGTACCATTACCTAAGTTTATGAACCTTAATCGATTGCAAAAGTCTTTTGCATTGATGGACAATCGGAAAATACCCAGGTTTTAAACTTTTAATTGCAGATTTTGGGTAAAATTTCTCTCAACACTTAGTTCATAGCACAAAACAACATAAATGGAAAACATTTGAACGGATTTACTTTGGAATTTCTAGTTTATACTACACTTTGGGGCGTGAGGAAGACTAAGAAGGTATGACACCTTGGGATGTTAGGATGACCTCCAGAAGGTACGACACCTTGTGTTGGGAGGAAGACAATGAAAGGTACGACACCTTGGGGAGTGAGTAAGACAAGGGAAGGTGCGACAGCTTGGAGAGTGATGTAAATAATAGAAGGTAAGACACCTTGGGGAGTGAGTAAGGCAAGGGAAGGTACGACACGTCGGAACGTGAGGAAAATAAGAGAAGGTACGACACCTTGGGGCGTGAGGAAGGCAGTCGTTATACTGAAGGTGGCACTCAGCTCCGTGGAAGTCTGGCACGCAGTAGCAGGTCGCGTTTCCGCTCTCCGTGATGCACACGCCGCCGTTGCGACATAAAGACGACTCGCAGAACACGACTTGAGTCTCACACAGCACTCCTGTGTATCCTGAGCACCGAAATACTCGTGTTCTCGTATATTGTAATAGTGCATGGGAATATTACATCGTACATGTATTGAACAATGTGAATTCAGTGTTAGATGCGATGTTAGGAATGGTATTATATCGAAGCAGCATGTATGCAGTCATTATGCTATTTAATATAAATAATACGTGACACGCAGGTGCTTGAGAGAACACATGAATCAATAAAAGGATAAATGATGAACTTGCACGAGGTGTGTATCAAATATCTAATTAATTGTTCGTACCTAAGATAATTATGAATAAAGCACAGTTTATGGTGCAGGCAAGCGCACGGAACTCACCGTGCGGGCAGGCGCAGGCGAAGCTGCTAGGCGCACCGGACTCACCGTGCTGGCAGGCGCAGGCGAAGCTGCCAGGCGCACAGGACTCACCGTGCTAGCAGGCGCAGACGAAGCTGCCAGGCGCACATGGTCTCACCGGGCTGGCAGGCGCAGGCGAAGCTGCCAGGCGCACATGGTCTCACCGTGCTGGCAGGCGCAGGCGAAGCTGCCAGGCGCGTTCACGCAGACGCCGCCGTGCAGGCACGGACGCGCGGCGCACTCGTCTACGTCGACCTCACAGCGACGCCCCGACCAGCCTGACATGATGACGTGAATAGTGACATGACCAGATGACCAGATGACATGAATAGTGACATGACCAGCCTGACATGATGACATGAATAGTGACAAGATGACGTGAATAGTGACAAGATGACATGAATAGTGACATGACCAGATGACATGACAAGATGACATGACCAAATGACATGATGACATGAATAGTGACATGACCAGATGACATGAATAGTAACATGACCAGATGACATGATGACATGAATAGTGACATGACCAGATGACATGAAAAGTGACATGACCAAATGGCATGATGACATGAATAGTAACATGACCAGATGACATGAATAGTAAACATGGATCAAAAGATGAATAATATGAAACCTACATCCAATGCAACCTTAAATTTCGTGTAATTAAAGAGTACAATGTTGTTCATTGTCTTGCCAATGAACGATGTCAATAAGATCGTTTGAGACGACCACAATGAACAACATTATTTATGGTCATTTCAATGAACACAGGTTGTATGAATGAACAATTAACATTAAACATTCATGGCCGTATCAATGAACGATAATTCACGGCTATCACGAAGAGCACGGTCCTTCACAATATACAATCAATCACGGTCATGACAATGCAGTATACAATATCAATCACGGTCATGGCAATGAACAATGACCGTAAAAATTCGTTTATGTCGCCCCACCGTCGCCGCAGACGCAGGAGTACTCGAGCGCAGGCCCGTCAACGCAGCGGCCGCCGTGGAGGCAGCGCGCCTCACCCGCCACCGAAGTGTTGCACACGCTCAGGTCGCGCTCACAGTTGGCTCCTGCTCATAACCAGATTGTTCTTGCTTATGTTTTACTTTTTCAGCTGACGTTAGATCAAGTTTTACTCCTCTACATGACGTTAGCTCTAGTTTTACTTCAACACCTGATGTTAAATTAAGTTTTACTTAACCACCTGACGTCGAATCAAGTTTTACTTCACCACCTGATATCAAATTATGTTTTACTTTTATCACCTGACGGCAAATTATGTTTTACATTCACTACCTAACGTCAAACTAAGTTTTACTTCACCACCTGTTGGCAAATTATGTTTTACTTTCATTACCTGACGTCAAGTCAAGTTTTAATTTAACCACAAGCATCTGACGTCAACTCAAGTTTTACCTTGCCACCTAACGTCAAACCACACGACGTTAACTGAAGTGCTACTTGACCTGCTATTCCTTAATTTGTTAGTAGAAAAATCCTATTTCAACAGGGTTGGGAGCAATCTATAGTCCATTCTTTCAACAGGGTTGGGAGCAATCTATAGTCTATTCTTTCGACAGGGTTGTGAGCAATCTATAGTCCATTCTTTCGACAGAGTTGGGAGCAATCTATAGTCCATTCTTTCGAGAGGGTTGGGAGCAATCTATAGTCCATTCTTTCGACAGGGTTGGGAGCAATCTATAGTCCATTCTTTCGAGAGGGTTGGGAGCAATCTATAGTCCATTCTTTCGAACAGGGTTGGGAACATTGTCTATTATTTCCACAGAATAAAATAATAATAATAGCGGTTTCAGCGTTTATTAGGCCGTAGGCCTGTCGCCGATTCTTAACATCCCAGAACATTCACAGCTTGTAGCGGTCTCGAACTCGCAACTCACGGCTCCAATTCTGCTTTGCTTAACCGCCCGGCCTCCTTGCCGATTCTGACCAGAAACTGAAGCACAGAGCTGGGATCGAACCCGCGCCTCTCTGCTCCAATCTTGGTACTCTGAACTGTAACCACTGGGCCACACTGGCCAGTGGTTACAGTTAGTTACAGTTGGTGGTATCTTTCATTTTTTCAACAATGTTGGTAGCGTCGTCCATTATTTTCAAGTTCCTGTGAAACACGTACGGTCTACACTTACCTATGTAGCCCGGTACACAGGTACACTGGTACTTGTCGAGCAGGTCGTCGCAGGTACGGTCTACACTTACCTGTGTAGCTCGGTACGCAGGTACACTGGTAGGTACTTATCGAGCAGGTTGTCGCAGGTACGGTGTACACGTACCTGTGTAGCCCGGTACGCAGGTACACTGGTACTTGTCGAGCAGGTCGTCGCAGGTTCCGCCGTTCTGGCAAGGATTGCTCATGCACTCGTTGATCTCAGCGCCGCAAAGCTCCCCTGCGAATTAGACGAGTGATTTCCGTTATGGATTCGACAATTGAGTTCACATATTTTACATTTAATGCTAATATTTTTTGTTGCAGATGCTTTTTAATCTCTAGCGATTGCGGCTATTTTTTTGTCGCAACGTCTTTTTATTCTGAATTATTGAGGTTACATTTTTAGTGGCCGGTATTTCTGGTGACATGTTTTTAAGACAATGTGCAGGTAGACAAGACTACCATCTTAAAATTATCCTAACATATTTGATGGAATATCGGAGGAGCCGCCAACACGCCTTGAACCCTCGTACGGCAACACGACTTTGGTTATGCCTAATCAAATGTTATAGGTATAATTACCTTAGTTCATTAACATCCAATCCAAAGAGAGTATATAATATGCGTTTTAAACTTACTTTTTTTTAAATAAAAAAAATTATTTCAATTTTTTATTAAACTAAATTTTTTAAATTTTCAAAATTATTAATTCTGTCAATTGATTTATACATTGTCTTCGACTTAACGCAAGTGTGCGAAATTTCAGATCGATTGGACAGGTATAATTGTGTTAAATATCAATTATAAGATTTGTAGCAGAAAAACAAGAAGTGAAGTTGAATATAAGTGTTGTAAAAATATTAATAATAAATATACCAGTAAAACCCGGTGCGCAGACGCAGTAGAACTGCGCGACACCATCCACACACGTCGCCTGGTTGAGGCACGGCGAGGACCAACATTCATCCCAGTTTGTCTGGCATTCGTAACCTGTATAGCCGTCCTCACAGTAGCACGAATACGAGCTGAAATATCGATAATAATATCAAATGTTACGATAGAAACGAAATATTTTTATAATTATTTTAAATAACAATATTATCAACATCCTAGATAAGTGGCACGACTCTTTGTCTGCTAAACTTATTATCAAACCACGAACCGAGTTTACTGGACATTTTAATGTGCATTGTTCCATAACTCAAGTAAACTTATTTATTAGTCATGATTCAAACAAATATTACAAATTTGATCGCAATCAAGAATAGACGATACGGTAGTATGGAAAACTAATTCATAGGAAATAATTCGCAGGAGAATTAATCGACCGGAAATGATCCTCAAGAAAACTAATTCACAGGAGAACTAATTTACAAGAAATAATTCCCAGCAGAACTAATTCACTGGAAATAATTCCCAGTAAAACTAATTCTGAATAGATAATTCAATCAGAAAGCAATTCTCGCCTGTTAAATTTATCGATGCAGATACCGTTGACGCAGGGTCCACTGACGCACGAAAATCCAGCTAGACCCATTCCTACGGCACAAATCCAAATAAAGGCAGTTATTGGAACGTTAAGTTCAGGGTAACTTGAAGATAATCTCCTTCTCGGCTTTCTTATTCGCCTTTGCAGGGCTGATAGTGAGTCTTGCATTGGTAGAAAACCAAATAAAATCCTGGAATTTTGCTTCTTTTTGAGGGTAATTACGTCATTTGATGCAGTTGTTTGTGAAGGAAAAGGTAGCTCCGGACTTGAAAGCTTGACTGACGACAAAGCACAACGGCTTAGCTCTGCAGCGCAAGGGCGATGCAATGCATGAATCTCTCGATCTTCCGAAGATTTTGGTTTGATCACAGTGAAGCATGTGCCATTAGTTTTAGTTACACTCTTTGAAGCCATTGTGAATATATAAAATTCGAAAGGAACGCAATACCACTTCTCTCATAAGGACAAATTAAACAACTTCTGAGAAATTTCTTGAAGCAGCTTGCAGATTCATCCAATACTGCATTATTTTTCATCGATATTGTGATGATAAGTTTGGTAATTTAACAGATATATTACATCTCTCGCGTGAGATTTAACTCAATCGAGACTAGAGTTGACACAATCTTGGACGTTTGACACAATCTTTGACACATGAGATGCTATATACGCGTGGCCGACATTCAGCGCTCCAAAAAGGGACCAATTCCGTCCATTTTGGTCATTGGCACGAAGAAAATATCACTCAGATTTCATATAACTGAGATTAACAACAATAAAAATATCGTGCCTGTAAAAGGGTAAGGTAATCTCGTTTATAATTTACGTTTAGTCTTATTCCAAAATGAGTAGTAGAAAAAGGTGGCCAACTATTTTAAAAATATTTGTTATATATTGTCAGAATCATAAGCATAAAAACGATCGCACCGCAGCCCTCTTCCACCTCACATATGTCGTCCCATGACAATCAACTTATATTATGACGCCCATGACACGCAACTACCTCATGCCCGTCATGTGTCGTCTCTGTCTGAGTCATAGGTAACATTATACAATCATTATAACCAACACCCATCTCCTCACATATCGTCTCTGTCTGAGCCATAACTATTACAACAATTATAGCNCAGCGCGTGTACGGGACATGTAGCACCCGCTTGCAGCGCGTGTACGGGACATGTAGCACCCGCTTGCAGCGCGTGTACGGGACATGTAGCACCCGCTTGCAGCGCGTGTACGGGACATGTAGCACCCGCTTGCAGCGCGTGTACGGGACATGTAGCACCCGCTTGCAGCGCGTGTACGGGACATGTAGCACCCGCTTGCAGCGCGTGTACGGGACATGTAGCACCCGCTTGCAGCGCGTGTACGGGACATGTAGCACCCGCTTGCAGCGCGTGTACGGGACATGTAGCACCCGCTTGCAGCGCGTGTACGGGACATGTAGCACCCGCTTGCAGCGCGTGTACGGGACATGTAGCACCCGCTTGCAGCGCGTGTACGGGACATGTAGCACCCGCTTGCAGCGCGTGTACGGGACATGTAGCACCCGCTTGCAGCGCGTGTACGGGACATGTAGCACCCGCTTGCAGCGCGTGTACGGGACATGTAGCACCCGCTTGCAGCGCGTGTACGGGACATGTAGCACCCGCTTGCAGCGCGTGTACGGGACATGTAGCACCCGCTTGCAGCGCGTGTACGGGACATGTAGCACCCGCTTGCAGCGCCTCTAGATGACACCATCCGCTTGCAGCGCCCTCGTGGGACAGCGCCCGTATGGGCTAATGCTCTCGTGCTGTAGTTGTAGTTCGAAGAGGGTGCGAGAGACACTAACATCTTGCGACTATTTACTGGCAATTACCTATTAATAATCCGTTATAAATAAATACATAAAGCAAAGCATGCGGGGATTTGTGCATCGTGGAGCATGTGCCGTTCTAATTTCACCTCCATACAATGTCAGTAATGACTTGTTTGCTAGAATAATGCCATGAAAATACACTATTAATAAATTTAAATATAACCTCAGGAACGGACAACATTATTTGTTTATTAGAAGTTGAAATATTTATGAAAAACACAATATGATAATTTTCGGAGATATTTTTATTAAAAGGCAGCTCTCCTGTCTCCAATCTGCCGCCTCACGATCCTTTTGAGAATTCACACTCAGTTTGCAGTGCAAGCATAGACGCTGAAATTTATAGACGCCACAGATCCTTGCAAGATGGACGCGTTGTGATCCTGCAAGCCGAGCGGCAATTGTAATAACAGGTTCCATGGGGCTTTGTGATCTCCGTGCGACCTCCATTATGCGGATGAGCTCGAGTCATGCCACGCCAAGGGCTGGAAACAAGCATCCATGTTATCACGAGACGTCGCTTGCTAGCTTCAGATTATTATTATTATATTTTTTTCCTGTCATTACAGCAGGTAAATGGTATTTGATAATTAAAACGACTTTAATCACCCCCCTGCGGGGGCCGAAGAGTTTACTGACAGAGAATGAAGAAAGTACTTTTGAACTGCTGAGCACTGCACCATAAATAAAAAAACTAATAGAAATGGATTAATTAAAGAACTAAAACAAATTTAAGACAACATTATCAATGGAGAATATTTGCTAATCACGTAAATAAAATAAAATCCTAATCATAATGCCCTTTATTTCTGCAAGCTTTCAAAGTGAACGAAATTGAGCTTTAGAAAAATCGACTTCATCTTTATAATTAATGACGACACAAGTACTTAATGCTATAGGCTAGAGACCGCCAAACGCTCCAGAGCAATCGATGAGACGAGACAAATTAAATATTCACAGCAACCGCAGTATAAATAAAGGCCTCTGAAAAGAGTCCGGGTTACGAGGTGAAAGCACAAGAAAAATTTCCAGAACAATACATTTACGTGAATGAAACGTGAATGAAATTATTACGTAAATTTCAAAGCTTTTCCTTGTCGGAGTTTTGGATGAGGAGAAATTCAGGATGGATCGTACAAGCAAATAAATTTGGTTCGGGAAAACCTGCTTACATACTTTTTTGTTCTTAGCCAATTTGCCTTGCGTCTGTTTGCGTGTCACAAGAAGCACTAAATTCTACGGATTTACACGCCATCGTCTAAAGCCACGCGCCCGGCTATGTTGCGGACTACAACGGTGCATCAGCTCTACAGCATAACAAAACTTTCCCTAACTTTGAGCCAATGTTACACTTGAGGACTAATCTTACCCCAGCAGACGGACGGTATTGAATATGAGATTACAACTCGTACATATTTGCGAATAGACTTTACTCGCAGTGTACAAGCACTCTTAATGGGACTTATATCGTACCATGTCGTGCATCATTCCGTGTGTAGCTCTTATCAAGCGCCCATGCGTCCGTTTCGACGAAAGGCACAGCAACAGTGAACAATAAGGTACTTTGAAAACTATATAACTCACTCTTATTATTAGGCGATTGTAAAAAAACTCAGCGCTCAGAATCGGGAACGAATTTTGAAACATTTTTCTTATTTTCAGTATCTACAGTGAGTGTATTTAATGAGATATTTTTGAAAATGATCATTCTGAAATTCTGTTGACAAGTGTTCATTTTCAAAAGCCAACTTGGCAAGTAAATTTACAAAGCTAGTAGTCGATATAACGTTTCCAAAAACAAAAATCCCTCTAAGCTTATAGGAAACTTAACATCCGAGGGCTGAAAACAACTAATGATATTCAATTTATGATTTAACCAACTTTCCAAATTAAAGACCTGCCATCACATCCGCAGCATGTGCTGCCAGAGGTCGATGTGATCAATGTAAGCTTCCCAATCTCAACTTCAATTGCGGCTTCCCCCTCGACATGTTCTCCCGGGTGGAGGATAATAAAGAAAAAATTGCGAGCAATAATATTTAACGCTGCAACTGACACGGCTCACCGCCACCTAAATCGCTGGGGAGTTGTAGGAGCAAATGGCGACGGAGGAAACATGTCTGCGGCAGCTTCCTACAGTTGTGAGCGGTCATGGGATGACAGACTATGTCTGACGTGACGTGCCACCAGTTGTGAGGACTGAGGCGTTCGGAATATCATGCACGAGACCATGTCTGCAGTAGCATCTTGCAAAAACATGTGGAAGCTCAGCTCAATTTTCACAACAAGCTTCTTATTAAAAGTATTTTTCACGAAATGCATTTGCTCTTAACGGAAATCCACGAAAAACCCTTTCTAGCATGTGATCCACCGTCTAAAAAATTAGGTTAGGTATAGAAATGGCAGTACGCCCAGTCGCTGCGTCTGCTGGTTAACGAAGGATATCCTGGCTTCATGAATTCACCAGCTGCGCGCCATCCATTCATGACATGTGCGCCAGGCTTAGTATTATCGTTTGTTCAGCACTGACTATCAATTATAGAACAAGCTGGATTAGGACGGTGAGATAGCAAAGCTTTACGATGCAGGACGAGACGGCGCGACACCATAACCTGTCGGCATGTCAACCTCAATACGAACGTCTATACCAGCCCAATGGTAACATCCGAATTGGCATATATTCAACTATTTAAACGTAGCTCAGCATGAGAGACGTTTATTTCAAGATGAGGCTTACGTATTATACAATATATATAGAATTACGAATACATTAAAATTTCTAAACAAATTGCCAACAATAGTTTAACTTTCTCTAAATTTTAACACAAAAGTCGACTTATTAATCAAAGTGAAGAATGATGTGAGTCAATAGAAGACCATTATTTCATGAGAGAAAATGTGCATTGCAAACGTGCAAAACATTATCTTTAAAACTCGCATTCAAACGAAGTCACGGTACAAAATGTTTTGGAGGGCTTTAGTCAAATCTAAATTTTCCATTTACGTATCGAAACGGAAAATTGCGCCTGCAATGAATAATCATATCTACCCTCAACTATGGCACCGATGGATCTTTTTGGAAAGGTGGCTGCTTATGCTATCTGACTTTTTTGTGGACACGGCTTTTTGATGCTGCAGAGTGAAGCCTAACTCGCGAAATTTCCAAACATTCCCTACTAACACAGAAATTCGAGTCCGGATCGTACATCATATTTCAGTTACATCATCTATCATTCTTCTCCATTTTACAATCCATCACTAATCATCATCTATCAGCTTGAACCGATTTATCACGTTAACCATTATCTATAATCTTTAACCAACCACTCAACCATCTTAACCCGCTTTGCAAATTTAAACCATTATCTAACATTTTTAAGTGTACGTGCAAGAGTATGAGATTGTACAATGTTACATTTGGTTCTTGTACAGTTGTCGAAAGTCCTACATCGGGAATGTAAATTGCCAGAGTCGTATTTGAATCAAGTTATTTGATTAATTATACTATTTGTTAAACTTTCATTTAAATCAACCGATTGGTGCCTGATAACAAGCTAGCTACCTAGTCGACCCGGCTTTAAGCGTTCTAGGTAGATAGTCCATGTAATTCGAAAATCCCTTATCCCATCATCCCGAATAATGTTATCCAATTGCCCGTCATTCAGAACCCAGTTGATTATAATTTAACAAATCAAGTACCTTTATTGAAAAAAAAATAATCGATTCAACCCCCATTTCACACCTATCTCCAATCTATATACAAATAAACTTACACATCGTTTATTTTTGAGTGAAATTTAAATGTATCGAACAACAATTTACATTTTACAATGGTCATTTCAAGTTTAAATGCTGTCATTAAATAGAATTTCACAGGTATTATAGAGATTTGGTAACTACCGCAGTTACACGTTGAGTATCCACTATATATTTACTACCTATATTTAAAGTGCCATACTACAAACACACAAAGAACAAAATTAAAGCCTCCCAATTATATAATACATTCATTATTATAAATTCGTGAGCAAACACTTATTTCTGTCTTTAGTAGGTTTTCATACTAACAATTATCCCATCCTCGAAAATAAAACGTGTACGAGAAAAGTTCATTTCGGTGCATTGCTCATTATAAAAGTGAAAAGTACCTAAGTATTTGATTAATCAACGTTTACAGTGAACCTGATTAGCTTCATTTTATATGAATGATCAACTCCTTTAGAATATTCGCGTTCAGGTTTCCCACTTAATATATTATAACGTTATTATTCAAGAAAGTAGATTATGGGCTTGGAGTACACATCAATTTACTGTGAAACTAAACAGCAATCTATCTCAACTAAGAACGCCAAGTTCCCGCTTTTGCATTCGAGTATCTAGACTTAAAATTTGTATATTATCTACATATTGAACAATAACCACAATAAACAAATAGAAGTATCATCTATTGTCGTGATTAGACAATAGGTTTTCTACTGGATCATTGATAAGCAAGCTTTTAACAGTTGGGAACTTCCTTTCCTCCAAAATGTTCTCTTTGCTCACTGGTATCCCAGGAGCGGGCGCTGCCACTCGCACCAACGCCACCGAACCACCCGGCCGACTAACCTAACTAAAAACAGAAGCCCACGATTGCGGGGCAGATGCTATACTGAGATAAAGTATTGATGTTAGCTATTCTATTATCAGCACTGTGATTTGAGAACTGCTAATCGTTCCATGTATATGATCTTATTCTTTAATTTATTCCTCGCAAACTATGTCCTGACAACATTGTAGAATTAAAAAACTCGCAATTTTCTAAACGAGTGCGGACTGGTTCACAAAGCTTTAGTTTTTTGATAATGTCTATAATAATTGAAATGAATGATTTTGTTACTTGAACGTTATAAGGAAGAGTAGAAGATTAGAAAGTAAAAAGACAAGGCATCATCGATTAATGCCCAAGATGTTCTTGGGGGTTGTTGTTAGGTGC